GCGAGCGCCGTTGTGAACCCCTAAACCAACAACAAAAGGTACACAAGCCTCAACAGCAATAACCTGGAGAGTCTGCAGTGAGTCTATACGCCTCATCGACCGTGCAGCTATGACTTGTGTCAGGAACGTGTCGGATTATTTTTAGCTCGCAGAGACGGTTGAACGCTACAGTTCCTACGCAGTGGCGGGGAGTTAAACCAGAAACCTCAGCATTGCCAAGTTCTTCTGAGCCGCCCGTCTCCTAGCCCTGAGTCACATCGCGTCTGAAAGGGTCGCAAATCACTCTCTTTACAGCAAGAAATCATATACATGATCATCTGCAGAAGTTGACAGATTGTCATGCGGATGGTCCTAGATCACCTTCTGACCTAGCTCTATGCCATGTAGGCGAACACAGAGAAGCACCAACGCCAACTCACAGACACAGTAGTGCTTTCACAGACAATCGCGGGCTGACAGATAGGGGGCCACTATCTGTGTCACCATCTACAAACTATCACAAAGCTGATGCAGCAAATGAGCATGGCCAGGTTTTCCCTCACCTACGCGACAGTTCTCTTGACCACTAAACTGTACACAGCCAGGGCTATCTGACCAGCCTGCACACCCGATAAGACTAGTCACTGCGCGCTGGCTCCAAGTTTGCCATCTCCGCATCAGTGCTGGCAGAAGTCCACTATGTTATAGTAGATACAGTAACCAACACATGACACAAAATTTATTCCCCTGATCATCCGCAGACGCACCCATCTCAGCCACTACGCGACACTGTGCTGGAGCGAGGACATGGCTCACCCTCGGCTGGAGGCGAATCACATGAGGGAATGCACAACGACAGGCTTTGAGAAATGTCAAACCAGAGGTGTTGCTTACGGCGTACCATTGACTACGTCCCCTATGTTCAAAATTCGCATTCAATCTCCATCTCGAGTCAACATCCCCACTCCACAGACGACGCATCATCATCCTCTGTGCCTTGAGGCAGTGCTTGGCTTCGAGGCAAGTCGACGTGCTCCAGCTGCCAGTCATACCATGTTCCTAGTCCCATGACTCTGCCAGTGCCGAACACGGCTAAGATACGAGTATCTTGTCTCGCAACGGATACATAAAAAGGGATGCCTTACCCTTACACGTTGCGCGTGCACACATTTGTCCTAGCACCTCTCGCCTGACAGCAGTTTCACATACAGACACGACGACCACAAGCACACTCGTCCGCGCTGTCATCACCAAAGACAAACACCAATTGCTGACGCAGCCTTACGGGCAAAGCGAGTTCCGAAGGTGCGAATGATACGAAGCATCAACATTCACACATCAGAAATGTACTCTAGCGTACTGCAACGACGTTGACCGTGAAGACTGATACGACCTATCCACGAGCACTCAGTCGGTACCACATCGAGCTCAGCTGGTAGACCCACTCTCTGAGAAAATACATACTTCTAGGTCAACCTTATTGTAGGGAGCATTCCTGCAACAGAGAAGCGACTGCTGAAGATTCGAGAGCATCAAGAGAAAGACCTGGTATGCCAGAAGATCGCCGAGTTCTGCAGGTCTGGCTTGCCTGAGAAGAGAACGCTCTCAGGTTACCTCAAACCATACTTTTGCATCTCAGCACAGTTCTCCATCGCAAACGGTATACTACAGCATGGAAAGAGGATCATTGACCCACCTCCACTGAGACTGAGGAAGAAACTACTTGAGACACTCCACAGTGGACACCAAGGGATAACAAAGTACAGGAGGAGTGAGCCAGACAATCGATCTGGTGGCCAGGGCTATCCAAACAGCTGGAAGAGCAGCCCAGAATGCCTGAGAGCTCAACGACAGAGTCCGCATGCTCTCACACCTACTCCCCTGCCACAGTTACCTTGGCAAAAAGTTGCTATTCTAATGGAAACAAGAGTATAGGTATCTTATAGTAGCGACTACTTTAATGTAGAGAATGCTCGACTCGACAACAACGGAAGTCATCACTCACCCTAAAAGCATCCTCGCTCGACCATGGCATCCCAGAAACTCTCATCTCTGATAACGGGCCTCAATATGCCTCCCGAGAATTTGCCGAGTTTGAACACCATACAAGCAGCCCCTAACTTCCTCAGGGTAACGGTGAGGCAGAGAGAGCAGTGGGGACAATCAAAAGTCTCCTCGGAAACAAGAGAGATCCATACAAGGCACTACTAGCCTACAGATCTCTGCAGACTGGCTATAGTCCTGCCAAGCTTCTAATGGGATGACTCCTAAGGTCCACAGAACTGACTACGAGAGCACAGAGAGAAACCAGAGTTCCAGACCTTTCCTATGTTAGAGCTCGAAACCAGCATGCAAAAGAGGAACCATGACGTCCATTATGGAGCCAGAGAATTACCTCCACTGAAGCCTGGAGACCAGGTATAGATTCCACAGGGACAAAAGAAGTGCAAGATGAGGTAGCGCCACAATCCTATAATGTAGACTCTGGAGGTCACACCATCCGGTGGAAACAATGGGATCTGATCTGTCTACCAGATGCCGAGACTGCGGCCACATCCGAGGATCCAAGCGAGCAGACTGATGTAGAGCCTGGTGAACAGGCCCAAACGAACAATTTGAATGATACAAACGATTTGAAGGACTCAAATGATTCAACCGATTGACTCCGACACACCGAGCACACAACTGAGTGTAGGTAGGAGTAGCCGACACTCCCAACCTCCGAACAAACTAGACCCAAGTTTGACTCGGTAAACTGATTATTGTGTATGCTATTCTTATTGCTATACATGTGTGCAAGGTGAAGTAGAAAGGAAGGCAAAGCAAAAATTGTCAACTTCACCCAGGGCAATTCTTTTTTTCGAAGGAGATACTGTATGTCCACTAAACCGTCTCGTGGGCATAGTGTAACCTATATGTACTACTAATATTTCAAGGTTTTACCAACAAGTGTGCAAGTGTAGTTGGGTGTAAATGTGCCGTGTATGTGTGCTGTACTCATTTTGCTGACGATTCTGCTTAAAAGCAGTACCGAGCGGCTCAGCCAATATAACATATAAATAGACCACATTACTATAATATGGAGTACCTGCTCTATTGGGATGAGCCCAGTGAACTGCATTGCTTTTTCATTCCACACTAAAATGAGAGCTTTGATAGGCTGAGGTGTCGCACTATTGAAGTGAACAATTCCGAACTGTAAGAAATAAACAAGCCTGTGAATAAACGACCGTATAATTAAATTATACAGTTTGGAAGGTTTAATGTGCTTATTATAGTTCCCGGACTCGGACCACGTAATGAATGATTGAAATCACTCCTTGGAGTAATATGCCTACTAGTTGTTACTTCAACCAACATACTATAATTATAGTGACTCGTTATTGTCCACCTCGTTATTGTTGTGAGTAAATCTGTTATCCAACAATCGTATGGTAGTAATGTTTGTGTCTAAAATGCCCTTGAAATTGATTTCTAAAACATGGTACGTAGGCTAGTATATCCATGCTGATCAACACTCTGTTATTTACAGTTGTAATAGAACGTAAGTGTAAACCAGCTGCAGTTTCACTGTAATTAGTGTAATTACAGTAGCATACTCAAAGAGTAAAAGACATCGACAGCTCCACATACATGTTTTTGGGCCTGGTCACTAGACATGAGTAGTCGGAGGGTGTAAACCTGCTCCGGTGGCTCAGCAAAGTTAAAGGTCACCACTCGAACCATATTCTGCTGCTGGTTTAGCTTCATCAGTGACATAATCATACTCTACAGAAGGCAAAATACATGGAGTCAATACTAAATATGGATCAAATGCTGAATCAATTTACCGTAGCCTGCTTAGGATAAGCCTGCATCATGAGATATTGAGGCCAGTTTTCAGGGTGTCTAGATAAAATAGAAAATAATCTTGAAAATGTGAGGATGGCAAGTTTGGAGTTACAAGTTCAGACATAGGCACAAAGTGGTAAAGAAGAGAAGTATCATGTTTGGATAATGTACACACATTTGTATATACCCTGTTCCAGGTTCTAGGTGCTAGAGAGATGCTTTGTGCAAGGGACTGTCTATCCAAAGTTAAAAACGGCATGCACTGATGTAGAATACGTAATTAGGTCCCTTATTCATTATTCACTAAGATGCTCTTTTTCTTGCCCTACAGAAAATAACGATTAAGTAATGGTGAGGAAAACAGCTCCCTAGAACAGATCGCTGGAGGTTCTGGGATGCTCAGTTCGTACCTGTAACTGCTGCGACACACTTCTGGTAACAGAGAGGGCACAAACCTCAGCTAAAACTGCCTGGTTGCGGGTCTGGTGGCACTAGGAGTTGGTTAGTAGCCAGTTGTGATGCTAAGTCGTAAGAGCGCTTTCTGTGGCAGTCCAAGGAATCTGCTGCTTGTAATTGTAAACACTAAGGCATTGCTCGTTAGCATATTGGGCCTTTATACTTGTGTTTCATGCCATATACAACTCTTAATAAATCAATGTCCTCATAGCTCTGAAGCAGTTGGTACCGCTCTTTTGCAGCTTCAAGAATAGCTGACAGAAAGACAGACAGACACGCCAACAAAGTACTGTAAACCTTGCTGCACATGTGCACCTATCATCAAGAGTAAATTGTAATGAAAGCTTACAATTCTGGGATATTATCCCTTTTGGCAGATATGGAGCACTGCATTGGGCGCTTCACTGGTCTCTGTCCACGATGCTGTAGGAGCAACCATACAATAATCACACACCACAAAAGAACAATTTTGGCTGTGGACAAAAATGTGTGTTTATAGTCTGCTATATACTGAAATGTGAAAAAACATACATCCTGTCAGGAATAAACTGTTACGTACAGCTTGTCCGGCAACGTAAATGTCCTACCCACAAATTTCATGAATTAAACGTGGTTGAGAGCTGAATAAGTAAACAAACCTGCTCCATGATATCCACTGTGCCATTCCAAATTATTGTTTGCTGTACCTACGTAGAAAAAATAGCCACTGATCATGTGTTAATGCATACACAGAACATGTAAACACCTTTGCACCCATCTGTAAACCAAACTGCAGGTATATACAATTTTTAGACAGATTGCGAGGCAGCAAAACGTATAACATATTTCGTTTAATGTTCCACCTAGTTAACCTGAATCTGCTTGGGTTTTTCTATTAACCCTTGGCGCGCATGTGCAGCGAGGGTTACTGTAGTTGTACTGTGTGTGTGTCGACGCTTATTCTGGCACTACAGGCTACGAGGTGGCCAATGAGCGATACCAACGGCTTCAGAACTACGCGAACCTGAAAAACGATTAGGCGATTTTCCTGAAAGGATTGCGTTCGAGAGATATGCCGTGAAAACAAGCGAAAAGGCCAATATGCATAATCGCGCTGGCTTACCTCGAACTGATCGGCCTACTCCGCTTACCTTGGAGGCACAAGAAGTTACAACAGAGGGCGTGTGTCGACTCCCGCATGCAATCTACTAGTGTAGCTAGCCCGTGTCAGACTCTCTGCGAGCTACTAGCGGGAGACCACAAGTAACTGCATAGCCTAGCCCCAGCCCATCAATTAGCGATACCGCCTAGTGCGCCGAGGGTTTGCACTTTAGTGGAAAAGTTCTTTTTCTTTGCTTGACAAATAAGGCTGGCTTGGTTCAAAATGTAGTATTCCATATACTTGCTGAACCTCGAGTAGCTTTGTTTGAAATCAGTCTGGGATCTTATGCTTGCATTTAACTTTTATACGTGGATATTGTTGTAGACGTTCTGGTAGTGGACTGTCAGGTTTGTGATATACGTAGTTATAGTATGCATTAGTACTGTAAAAAAAACCAAAATACTTTCGCGAATTTGAGGAAACCGCGAAAGTATTCTTCGCAAAATTTAGCGCGCTGCATGCTCAGCCCGCATTGCAGCGCGCATGCCCAGTGAGTAATTTCACAGACGTGCAATTTTACCTGCTCGCTCAATCGAAACAGGTGGTTATACTACTTCAAGAGAGACGACTCGAAGGCAGTTTTGCCAAGTCCTGAAGGCATACAAGCTGCGAAGAAGAGCATGGGGCCACTGCTATCCAAAAAGGAGTCTGGGTCTCGTGGCCGGCATGAGTATTTCACGGAAGAATACAAGGCAGTGATGGCGAAGCGAGCATGTGAAGTTGGCATAACCAACGCAAAACGAGCACTTGCCACATATTTTCCTGGACAATGGAAAAGAAGGGCACAAAGAGAGTGGAAATTTTTGGAGCTGAAGACAAACAAAAGATGGCAGCACTTTTCGGTGGAACAATAATGACTGGTAATTTCCTTCCGCTGTAGTTGATATATCAGGGCAAAACTGTGTAATGTCTGCCAAAGGTGAAGTTTCTGAGTCTTGGCACGTAACATACTCAGAAAACAACTAGAAACCATGGAAGAATACATCACAATGTTTATTAAGCCATATGTTGAACAAAAAAGGAGCTCTTTAAAACACCAATGCTCTTGCAATATTTGACAGGTTTCATGGACAATGCACAGGGAACATCGTTCACCTGCTAAATGCAAATAACAATAAGATTGTGATTGTATCCCCCAATTGTACTGACATTAAGTGTCAAACTGGCAAAGGATTTTCTAAGAAGGCAGTTTCAGTCATGGTACATACTCGACCAAGTTTTCGAAACTTGAAGCAGGGGAAAAAAGAGGCAATCGATGTAAGAATGAGCGTAGTGAAACCACTAAGTGCTAAATGGATGATCCGTCTCTATGACTACATGAGGTCCAATCCAGACATTATTGCGAACGGATTTTCTCCAGCTGGGATAACTTTTGATGACAGATGCTTATATGTAATTATACATAAACTGAAGTGTGTTAAGTGTTTTAGTAATTACTCTTGTGGAAAGAAAGTCACGAGGTTGTCTTCAAAGAATTGATTCCTCATCTTCTCAGTGTCAAGTTTAGCAGCTGTAGAGTCTGTGCCAAAAGCAAGGGCAGTTGCATTGGCAATAGCGAATAAACCTCTGTCCCAAAGGTTTGTTTGCTTTTGTATTTTCATGTTGTCACAAAAACGATTTCTGATAATTTGAAGAGTTGCATCATCTGCAGAAGCATAAAATGAGTCACACACAGTCATTTCTCTCTCGCAGGTGTCAATACTAGAGACTGTGATCCAGTGGTTGCCTCTAGAATGAACAAATTGTATTCCATTGCTAATTTTTGCAGTATGCTGTGTTCGTAGCAATACTGACTCTAAGCCTTCAATTGAATTCTTTTTAAGGTTTTGATCAAAATTTATAGGGTTATCGGTAAGCACTTGGTCTGAGTCACACAAATCTTTCCTGTCAATATGTGAGAACGAAATTACTACATTTAACACATTCAAGGACAGCCACATACCCGAAGCTGGATCTAACTTTACATCTGAAACTAATTTTAACTTTTTCGCTGGCATACTTGTATCACTACCAGTGATATCGGGCATTGGAGAATCTGGTAGCAACATGATGTTTGCAGGCTAACAAAGAAAATTTAGCTTACAACGCACTTCAAGACCTCCCTGTGGTAGGTCTGCTGAGTATCTCCTACTTCCAATTATTTCACACTCTAATGATCCACCTCTCTAGATAGAGCAATAGCAATAGGTACATAGGAGATGCTTCTGGGCACATGCCCTACAATATCAGACGCCATAGACATCAAGTACATTTGTTTGCTCCTGGGTGCATGTCAGAATTTCTCCTATTACTGGTGCCCACATTTCTTTGGAAATAGAACCTAATAAAAGTACATGTGCTCATCCATTAGACCCTGTCCAGCTGCGCAGCAGGCTGTGCGGCGTTTCAGGAAGCACGTAAGTACGTGTGCGTATGAATGTGCACGTACACAATTGTGCTTGTGCGCGAGCCACGGATAGGCTCCGCCCTCTTGCATCATGCATGGAGATCAGTTGCGAAAGCTTTTAGTTATACGGCATTATCTGCTGTTTGAATTAAATACGCATATGCAGCTGATACACATTGCAAAACTCATGTGCATGTGGAGGTTGTTAGTGATGGGCTGGTCTAAGCATGGTCGAACAGGCATACCACGGGTGCCAGCTCCTACTCTCCCACTTTCTACAACTCCCGCAGTAAGGAAGGTAAAAATAAGCAAGCAAGAAAAGCAGGTCGTCATGCATGAACGACCTAAACCCTGATTAGGACTATACGGGTATTCACAACATTTTATCACATCATTTTTCTTTTCTGCTCGTGCAACCTCGGACTTAGTTGTCCTGAGGGTCAACTTTGGCCTATGTCATTATCACCATTAGAAACTGACTAACAGCCTTTGAGTTTCGGGTACCCTAAAACTGACATAATATTACATATGGTTTGTGTGCAGTTAGATTTCACAGATGTGGCCCAGAGTGTTCTGATTCAACATTGTAAAGAGCAGCACCTGAGAGCTTTTTATAGCAGCCTTTGCACAACTGGCATTGAAAAGCAGCTGTTGTATATAATTATATCAGAGCAAATTCACTCTACGTACCTCTGTTACACATGCCTGTCGGTGAAGTACTGTATTTTACATGAGGCAAGTTTGGTTGTACGTACATAGGTGTTCGAAATACACAACTGTGGAATCACAATTGCTGGCCCAGGCCAACGGCAGGGAAGGGCAGTAATGCGTGTCTTGACCACTACTTAACATCTCTACCAAACGAAGTAAATCTTTCTTTGTGGCAATAAATTATTGTATCAATGTTGTTCACACAATAGTCATACTCACAGCGATGCCTAACACAGACCTTAGCCATTATGATGCTGACTGCAGACTTCTTTTGTTCTAACCTTTTACGGCCTTAAGACATCCTGTTTAAAGCGTTTCGGCATGCTTTAATGCCCAACTGGCAAACGTATGCATGGAGGTGTAATGCAGCTTTTAGCACCAATTTTTAGTGAAAAATGCAATTGAATGGCGCACTAACACTTTCGGATTTACAGTATACAGCAGATGCTTCAGATAATAAAGGTGTTGCACTTTTACTATAAAGAATGAAAAGCACTAAATTGCAAACCCTCGGCGAACTGCGCATGCGCGATACTGCGAATTGATGGGATGGGCTATTTTTACTCCTGGTCTCCCGCTAGCAGCTCGCGGAGAGTATGACACGGGCTAGCTACAGTAGTAGATAGCATGCGGGAGTCGATATATGCCATTCGTTGTGACTTCTTGAGCCCCCAAGGTACACAGAGCGAGCAGGTCAGGTCGCAGTAAGCCCAGTTCGATTATGCATATTGGCTTTTTCGCTTGTTTTCAAGGCATATCTCTCGAACGCGGTCGTTTCAGGAAAATCGCCCTTTTCTTTTTCTGGCTCGTGTAATTCTGAAGCTGCTGGTATCAGGCCGCTTCGTAGCCTGTAGTGCCACAATAAGCGTCGACACACACACACACACAGACAAACAGAACGACTACAGTAACCCTCGCTGCGCATGCGCACCGAGGGTAAATATATACCTGTTGCTGAGCTTGTACTCCAAAAGCTCCTGGTTGACCAGGATGTACCTGCTGTCCAGGTGGCTGCATGCCAGTTGTCATTCCAGGCTGTGACGCCGAATGAGGAGGCTGCTGAAGGCCGCTTGCCATGTTTGATGAAGTTCCTTGTGCCGGTCCAAGCATGCCTGGCTGCATAGATTGCGGCTGCATGTGACCAGGTTGGGTGGGGGGCATTCCAGGGTTGGGAAGAGACATCTGAGGTCCACTAAGTGGTTGCTGCCCCCGTCCCATGCTCTGTGGCATTCCTGCTTGTTGTTGAGACTGAGCTACCCCAGGACCCATCACATGTCCCTGACCCTGTGCTCCAAACTGGGACTGTACATTTGGCTGACTAATAGAGACCCCGGATGGCTGTGTCCCTGGCTGCAAGGTGCCAAGTGGATGCTGCTGCTGCTGCTGTTGCCCCTGCATAGCTAGCTGCATGGCAGAACTATTGGGCTGTGTTCCAGTCACATTCTGCTGTGATGGTTGCAATGTGGAGGGTGCAGAAGAAATCATAGCTGGTGTTGCTGTCGTTGATGATTGCGAGGAGCCAACAAGACTTGTTAGCCCAACATTCATGCTTGGTTGGCTAGCCATCACAGTGTTGGTTATCCCCTGCCCAATCCCTCCTGTCTGGCCAGGGATATTGATACCAGAAGACATTGGTCCCAATCTGGGAGGCAAGACCTGAGCATTAGCCTGCATCAATGCACTCTCAGCGGCAGCAACAGCAGCAGCCATTGAACCAACTGGCTGCCTTTGATTTAGAGCAGATTGGTTCCCTAGTGATGAAGTTACTCCCAAGTGGGAGAAGATGGGAGCAGTACTCGTTGAGGGGATGCTTGTGCATGTGGCTACCACATTGGGGAAACCTTGAGACATGGAAGACGGTAGGGAAAGTGCCGTCATGGCGGTAGAGGAAGATACTGCCCTATTCAAGGAAGGACCCATATTAAGAGCACCTTGCCCTAGTTGATTAGGGATAGATGGTTGAGTTGCCCCCATGTGAGGAGGCTGTGACGAAGCTAGCGAAGTAATACCAATTTGCTGAGTCCCACCCTGTGCTGCCAGCGATCGATTTGGCACCTGCAACTGTGGGACATTCTGTTGGACAGATGCGGAAGGACTTGCTGCAGGTTGCATGGGAAGAGAGGCACTAAATGATGCTCTAGTTGTGTGCAACTGAGTTGAACTGGGCACTCTAGTGATGGGAGCTCCTGCAGCATTGGAAGGAGGAGATACACTTGTTATTGTGCTAGGTATTGGTTGACGCTGAGGTGATGCAACACCGGAAGGACTAGGAGCAGCAAATACCGATGGTGGTGGGACGGAAGTAGGATTCTCGTCCGCCACAGTACTTGGAGTGGCTTTTGTGAAGGAAGGAGAAGGATTTCTGGTTCCACCGATGGGACTGGACTGATTAGGAGGAGTCTTGCTGTCGTAAGTTGTAGACAGGAGTTGGCCTGACTTGTCTGAGTGCGGTGCCACACCATTTGTAGGTAGTGCCGGCGTCTGAGTGTCCATGCGGGTTTCTACCTTCAAAGGAATCTGTTTCAATTCATTTACTTTCTTCAATAGTCCTTCCTCTTGTTTTCTCTTTAAACCTGACGAGAAAAAAGTTATGTATGCGAGATTGACAATTAAAATGTAGTAGTGTTTAAAAAATGCGTGCGTGTGTACATTATGTGCAGACATGTGTATACATATTTATAATTGGCCAGCATATCGCTCTTCACGGGCTATGTAACTACATTGGTACATGTAGGTAGAGTTACAACCTAGGGCGTTATTCATCTCTTTGGTCACACACCCTCCATTTATTTCAGCATTGTCCACACCTTCTCTCTGGCAGGTCTGACTAAAACACTAAAATTCTGTCATTCAAGAGTGAAACTTGAGATTTTGCAACAACATTGAGGTTTACTAAAGAAAAATTTCGTTTGAGCACATAGGTGTGCATGTTCTTGATGATTTCCCATTCGTGGGAAGCTTTTTAAAGGCGGAAGTACGGCGACGGTGTCATTCTGTGGGGAACTTCTTCCTGTCAGGCAGAAACAATGTTTTCCGCCGGTTTGTCGACTGTGCACTTCACTGGCTAACCTAGGCCTTTCACAATGGGTATGGAGGGAGGTATATAGCTTATCCCGTACAGCGACGTGAAACATGTCAAGATCCTAATTTAAAGCAATTGATGTCCGCTGTCACTGGTATGCAGGACCAGCTCTCGTCTATGCATTAGGAGATGGCGGAGGAGACAGAGGAGGCTGACGAGTGTCCCACCAACCATCTGCACCTGGAGAAGAAAACAAACTTCAAGCGCTAACGAGCGGCAGTACGATTTCAACGAGCAGGTACGGGAGATGGAGCAAGCTGCTGGTCATCTCAGTGGGATGTGGAAAAGGCCAAGAAAGTGCTCAAACAGTGTGAGCAACTAATTACTGAGAGACAAAAATTGATCAAAAGTATATAATATAGCAGATAGATCTGAGCATGGGTGGGTGACAGTGGAACAGTACATTACTGACGAGTTGATGGATACTTCTGATGACGAAAAGAGACTATTCAGAGCTGAGTCTGACATTCATCAATATGGTTGGCCTTTTCTGGGTTTTGCATGGGTTGTCAAGGGTGAACAGAAGTTTTTATAATGTTCACAGTGTTGCCATTTGGTTTGGCGACTGCATGGTATGTTTTTACGAAGCTGCTCAGACCGCATAATCCATCTGGAGCATAATTATTTTCAGGCCTACCCTTCCAATAAGCGGACAACCTTTGAAAAGTAGACAAACACCAATGAATGCAATTATAAACATCTGTGAAGCGGACGCCCGCGTGTCCGAGCTCCAGACATTGAACACCAGCCACACACACGAATTAGTTCAGCCTACACAATTTGCCTCTGCAAATGGACATATATCCTATACTCCATGCAGTTGAAGAGCGAGCCACAGGCACAGCTCACTGTACATTACACAGAATGTCGCCACTTCACTCAGCCTATCAGGTCCTCCTTGTACAAGTGCAATACAATGCCTTTGGAGGCACTTTTTGCTGACATTGTGCCAGGCAATTATATTCATGGTGCACATGAAAATGACGTTTGAATCACTCAAAGTGCATTGGGAGATAAAGGAAAGGGAAAATCTGACCCTCTCTTCTAGGGACAAAAGTGTATCCCCAAAGCGTCCCTTTTTTGGAAGTTACACTGCACACAAACAGCTTTCAAATGTACTAATGGATGACGCAGAACACTGCCTCAACTGTTGTACATAATATGCTACCATGGCAGGGTGCACACGGGCAAAATAAGTACTGTGTTTCAATAACGATCACGTACTTTGCAGAGTGAAGCCTTGGAAGAGCACAGTGTGGCCCGAATGAAGTGAGTGCTGGCTCTCAGAGAGGACCTCTTTGGTGTCCGCATCAGTATCTACGAGACCCTGCACGGAATTCCAATGTGGTTGAATGAACCACTACCACAGAAACAGTCCCAGTTAACAAATTTGTTCTGGTCCATGGCTAAGGGAAGTCAAAGTACTATCAGCACATTCACACAAGCATGTCCCACTTGTATGACTTCTTATGGCTCACAAATTAAACCTGCTATTTCTATCCAGTTAATTAATGCCAGTCAAAAACAACTTCTTTTCGGAAGTTACGGGTATGCACGCCACTGACGGCGAAGAATGTGGAGATAACATCATTACACAACATATCTATCCATGCATGGTGCAAAACCTCAGGCTGCACGAAGGCTGAACAAAAATAGGTCAGTTACAGGTAGACGTATCGCATAGAACACCTTACAACAGAGTATGGCTATGCACTGAAGTATATACTATTTCTAGGCTAACATAGCCTCTGCCTAGGTTTATAAAATCATAAGAATATTATATGTACAATCAACTACATGTACGCACTAATAATTCACACACTTGAGTAGCCTAATTAACGACAGCTACGTACTCCCTCCCCACCAACATCAATCATCAATGTGATAAAGTATATACATGTGCTTACTCTTTCAAATATGTTCTTGAAGTATAGCAGATTTCTCGGTGAGATTACTGATACTTTCAAATTCCTCTATGTTAAAACAAAATAACTACTGAAAACTGAGAATCTAAAACACTCAGAACTAACCTCAACCATTATTTTAGATAGCTGCTCGTGAGTTTTTCCACCATACTTCATTGACTCCACACATGAATGGCTTGACGGAGGAAAGTTGCAGACCAGAAGGCAGTACTGTTCAACAGCTTGATCAGGTCCAAGACTGCAATAACAATTCCATATGTAGTGCACATTTTTGTCATGCCAAATCAGTGACAAAATAGAGGTAGAATGTAGTTAACCCTCGGCGCGCATGCACAGAGACTGCGTTTTTAGTCACTGATATATGTACTAATAAAACCAGCTCAGTCCACACATGTGGGTTGGTCCCGCTTGTCAAAACTTTAATGTAGCTAATGTGAACATACTAAAAGAATTGTGTACACACAGGACCACAGAGTATATACATGTGCACACAAAAGCTCGGCTGAATTACCTACTTCATTTCTAGATCGTCATGCACGCCGGCTAACCTACATTTTACAAAACTTTCTTATCACCTTTTACCTCATTTTGAGTCAGGAAGTTATTTGGTTATACAATACAGACAGACTCCTACCATGGTTCTCTGGTTGTAGACATGAGATCACACAATTCCAGCACTGCTGCAAACCCTTCAGAAAGCCTGAGAGAGTGCTCCATGAGACCTCCTTCGAACCTGAGCAAGGCAACCAGCCATTTTACAACTAATTTCCCCACGACACTGTACGACACTACCGTGCAGGTGAAACAACCACTGTGTATACATAACATACCTCATTTCCTTGAGCCACTGATGAACACGAGCACCATCACAAGTGACAGGATAGTAGGTACAGGCCTGGCGGTATGTGAGTCCTGGAGAGTTCATTGTCACCAGTCCAAACTGCACGGGGCCATACTGCAGGAGCAATATATATATGTATATGCATAATAACTGCGTAGCAATCCTTTTAGCTGGTTCGAGAATTCCATTGACACTCTACATGGGTCAGCAAATGCCATCCATAGTTTGCATACACAATTACATTCGGAAGAAATGTCTATATAGTGCAGTGGAAGCATAGCCAGATAGATCTGGCTTAAGAGAAGACGCTTACTATTTGGGGGACAAAGTACCCCCTGAAAAGCTTACAAATGAAGAGATAGGTGGAATATGTATGTCCCCCTGGCATGCTTTGGCACCAAGCTTAGTAGCATAGATTATGTTATAATTGTCCTGAAGTTTTCTCGCAGCAGCAGTAAATGCAGCACATTCATATGCTAGTGGGATCAACTGTCCCAGAACCTCTGGGAGAGGACTGGATTATTGTTTGTGGACCTGGAAGAGGTTACTCAAATACCAATAATACTGAAATAGTAGCCATAGCGCGTGGGCAACGGCCTAAATAGCATGTAAGTAGACTGTGTGAAGTGGCACAGTGCCAGTATGAATGTATAGTATGGGATTAGCGTTGACGATAAAATCTCGGCAACTGAGTTTCAAAACTTGTGCTCAATTGTAATACTGCCCGTGCAGTGGCAGCCTGCTGGAAGCTGGTATTTTCCGATTTATGTACTCATTCACCTTACACGTTGTACATATATAAAATATGTGGGTACACACATAGAGGCTGTGAGCGCTAAAATTAAAGGAGCATGGCTGGCAGCTATCCTGGAAAGTTTGGAGCCCATGAGAGGTGTAACAATTTGATGTAGTCTATATACCTTGAGTTCAGATGAAGAATGTTTCATTGCTCCTCCGGAGAAATGCCTAAAGTAATCAGCAAAAAAATGTGGTAAACTAACAGCATTGACACACAGGGTTTTCACCACTTTCGGGATGGACCTTCTGTTTCACCCTTTAAAGTCCCACCGAGGTACTGGCGAACTAATGAACTTCTGCCGTGCAGACAGCCAGGGGTAACGCTCGTTCTTTTTTGCTGCCGTTGCTCAAGAATTGGAAAACAGGCCCCTACTTCTTATACGCCACGGTTTAATCTGATCATCTCCATTGTTTTTAACTGTCACTCTAGCCCAGTTCCCATATAGCATACTGTGTATTGAACTACCAATACCTTCTGTCCCTCATTTAGTAAACGCTGATACGTATGATGAAAGAAACCTGAAATCTGATTGGAAGCACTAAAATTCGGTGTTGTTACAGAATGTTGGCCATAGTCACTAGTAGTCTAGCCTATTTCATGGGGAAGAAAGAGTCAGGTGACGTTAGCATCAACGACCCATACCCCAGGAATGCGGTGGTTACACAACATGACGTAACCGCGCATACTGATTACCTTCTACGCCATTCTGCAATCTGATTGGACTGCAACTATAGTTGCAGAGGGTACGGGTCGTTAATGCTAATGTCACCTGACTATTTCTTCCACTCGCGTGAAATAGGCAGGCCACGCTAGACGAAGTCACTAGACTGTCTTCCTCCGGATCATGTTGTTGCCTTTACTGAGGTGACAAATAGAGCTTATACTTTATTGAAGTTTGCTACTACTCACAGGGCTTCATGAACATTAGATCTATATCGATATCCTTCTTACAACCATACCATGCAGGTCTTTTTCTCATGTACCACATTTGCATAGCCTATCCTGCCCCCATATATATAAACCAATGCCTACGACAGGATCCATCCGCCAGAAGAGTACGACAGTGCGGTAGAAGATCGTGACGCCAGGACTCACTCACTCTAAACAGGGTAGGATGTAGTCGTTCATGAGACCTTGGAACACTCCACTCAGGGAGGCAGAGGCATCAACCAATAGGATGACGTCGCAGAGAGTGTTAAGAGGACATACGGTGGCAGTCACAGGCATCCCGTTACTTGCTACCTCCATTATCATCTGACTGACGAGAGGAAAGCGGTCCCCAGATCTGTGATCTGCCAGGGAGGAGAGGGATCGGCTGCACTAGCTTGGAGGTCAGAGGTGAGAAGCCGGGTGGCGCGCGCATGCGTACTAATGTGCACTCGCAAACACTACACCTCTAATACGAGCTGATTAACACATGTTTGAATATGCCTATACAACAGTGGGATAAGTAGCAGCTGTGGCAATTCCACACATATTCTTATTGTTGCGAGCAAGTCGCATGTAGCCTTGGTTGCCCCACGATGTTCCCCAGCTGTGAATCGAAAATATCACAAGTGCATTTATACACTTGTAGTTATATCATGTATACCTGTTTTTAACAATCCAGTAATCTTGTCCTCCATAAGACCCATAGCCAACTAATAACATGGCGTGGTTCAACTTCTTTGTGCTGCAACTGTCTTCAACATATAAACCCCCATGATAGTACTTGAATGAATAACTTGAAGCATCGATACTAATACTGCAGTCATTTTTTTAATGATAATAAGAATAAGACTGGTCAATATATCTACCAACCTGATAGGACCAATGGTGTACAAGGCATCCAGGAGATCAGTCTCACTGCCAGACTCCACTTTTCTGCAGCCAGAACAATACGCTACCTTTTTGCAGTAGGACTCCATACAGTGCCACATCTGAGGTTAATTAACTTTGTGTCAATCATTATCTCTGTATCACTAAGCACGGTAATAGGGGTGGGCAAGGGGTCATATATTTATGGGACTACGATAGGGGAGTCATTTTCTGCTCTTCTTCTCCAGTTCAGCTTCCATTACTCAAAAACCAAAAAAAACATTCCCCCCCTTGTCTCTTTTCCCTTTTCATAAAATTCCCATGCTCCGCCTTTTGTAATTCGCAGGAATTTTGCAGGCATGCATTGGTAACTGATGCACATAATTACATAGTTCTCTGTTGTAGAAAACTGATTTTTATGCACTTACATATCCAACGTAGGAGTACGAAGAAGAAGCACAAATTCCATGCTCCCTGTTGACGTAATCAAAAACACTAGTTGCCAATCCACCATGGCATCCTCTGTTTCCATGCAGCCAGGAGCAGTCGATAGCCTGTTGAACACTCAAATCCAGAAGGTGACCACTCTCCTTGAAGTTCTGGCCCTCAAGGGCCCCTATTGCACTGAATGCCCATGATGACTTGCATTTGCCTTGGTCCTTAACCTATGTAGAAGAAGACACCTTGTAGAGGAGCATAAATGCACAATCTCCCACAGGCCAATAGATTACCATCAAAGAGGCAGTCTGGCTTTACTAATTGGAAGTGGACTGGGCATAATAACATTAGCTACTCTGTGATTTTCACAACCATGAGGGGTCACATTTTGCATTTCGCTACTTATCATGGACGATTTTTGAGTAGTCTCATGAAGTTTTCACAGCATTTATGGGCAAATCAATGCTAAACTTTTGCGGCACTTGTTTCTCAGGTTTATAAATCAGCAACATACCCCTTAGGAGTATACATACCTCAGTGACAAAGCCACGCTCCCTCCAATCCAAACTGGAAGGATAGTTGTTCTTGTTGCTATTGACATGAAGTCCACAGCCCTCCACTCCATTGTTTAAATCCATGGGAGTAAGCAACAAAGCAGGTAGCTCTTCCTCACTCTATAGCACAAAATAGTGAAAACTAGCTAACGCAGACTGCACTATCAACGCAATACTAACCAGATCAGCAAACTGATTCAGTTCCATCACAAATGTTACATTTCTTGAGTTGTGGTCAGATATCTTGAGAAGGTTTCTCAGCCATGTTTGCTTGCGGCTAGCTTCCTCAGATTCATTCAAATAAACCTTGTTGTGTCTCTCCTTCCATAAGTGCCACTTTTCCCGAGTTCCTGCCTGTCCTACTGCTACCAAAAGCATGGCCAAAAATATTGTTATTCCTCGCATGCTGGTAAGAGCCAGAACTGGACTAGTGGGCTTGTACAGTAGACTTTTGACTCAAGAGCGAGGGGACATTTTATAGGGAAGAGGAATATGTAGAGTCTCTAAGTGCTTGCCATGTACACCAAAGTGGTTTTGTTTGTTTATAGATAAAATATTGACACTTCAGTCAAGTGAAACTTTTCTTTACTCCACTTTGCTACATGCACAGGTACTCAAAATGAAGTGGGGTGTATTACAACACCTTTATGGCAAAGAGACAGCCTTTCAGCCTCTAAGTGACAGTAGAACAAAGCCCATTATAATCATGATGCTTTACATTGGACTCTCGTTAATAATGAACTCAATGGGATTATCAAAATAATTATTACTCCATGGTTAGTTGTATCACTAGTGTAATGACGGGGAATATTGCAAGAACTGTTTTGGGGGAAAGAAATTCGCTGTTAGAGACATGTTTAACTGTTATACATTATGTACACTTACAAAACTGCGCAACAGGCAAAAAGTAAACTTTCGTAATCTTGTAAAAGACGTGATTGTACCCTCACCAAACTTATACACCACACAGGTCCTTTGCAGATGGGTCAGTTTTTGCCACCACGCCTAGCGGTGAGTTAGAGTCAAGTCGGTACATTGATAGTACGTTTTATTTGAGATGTTACAATCTTAACTAGTGAAAGTGGCTGCAAAATCAGCCTAACATTCAGGGACCTCCAAAACAACCATTTTCGCATATTGTCCCAAACTAAAGGTGAGCAGTGAAATTTGTCTGGCCTCAAACATGCTCCAATAAACTAGGATTGTGCATGATTACTTTTGGTTCTTAACTCACGGCGTTGCAGTTTTTCTGAAGGACCTTCATTTAGAGGTTGTTTGTGTCACTTGACTATCACATTACCTCTCGGTGCCTTCATCAGATTAATCAGCAATGAATAGGGATAATTTTGATACGTCATTTGTGTGGATTGCTTACAGCAAGACCGAAAAAGTGACATTCTACTCTCTAAGCACTTTCAATTGATCGGCATTATGTTGTACTGCCGGTGGTCCGTCTCGATAACCTCAACAGCAAGTAGCCCTTAGTTATGAAGCCCTTCCACCCCATGTTGAGTAGTTTTTGTAAACTTACTTTTCTTGAAGAAAAATTTGTCTGAGTGGGAATTTTTATCCTGTGAGGCGTCTCATCAGAAGTGCGAGTGGTAGTTCGCTTACGCACAGTACAGTTCAGAGGCTACATTGTACCACCTTCCTAACTGTCATACACACAAAACATATTTGCACATTGAAAGTGCAATGTTGTAGAGAATTAGGTGTCACGTGGCAGTAAAGTGAACTTGCTGAGTATCATTATTTGTTTCCTTATCAATAAAGTGTCCACTCCAGTCTCTACATTGTTGCTGTGTCTAGCAACAGCTACTACAGGCATAAAATTATGCATTCAGGTTTCTAATGCACAACACACCACAGCACACACCGCATGATGCATGTAGCCAGCAGTTGCTTGGCTGCTGATGTGTTGATACAGATCTGCACAGTAGCATGGGAACACTAGCTTCATACCTGTGTGAACCAAGCTCACTGGTGTAGCACATAAAATGTCCAACAGCTCTCAGTAGGACCCAGTGCATATTATGAGTGACTGAAGGTTTGGTTTGTTGCTGTGCCAGGTGAAGGTTGTTTGCTACCTGTCTGTTTTTCTCTGTTGTATCTCCAGTGTTTCTACAACAATGTCTGCACCAGCACAAGGTATATAAATATAGCTCAGGTGGTAGATGCATAAATAAAATATGTTCATACTGCTCTACTAGTAGCCAAATAACGATTCAACTTCCACAGTTTCCATCCCAAACCAAGTCCCTGTCCAGCCCCCTACAGCTCCATCCTACCCAACTCATAACTCCATCCCCATCCAGCTCCCCTCCTGCGCAACTCAAAATCCCACCCCCATCCAGCTTCCACCCTACCCCACTCCAAACCCCTTCCCGATCCAGCTTCAGTCCTACCCCAATCCAAACCCCACCCTCCGTCCTACCCTACTCCAAACCCTACCCCCATCCAGCTTCAGCCCTACCCTACTCTAAACCCCACCACCATCCAGCTTTCATCCTTCCTCACTCCAAACCCTACCCCCATCCAGCTTCAGCCCTACCCTACTCTAAACCCCACCACCATCCAGCTTTCATCCTTCCTCACTCCAAACCCCATCCCCATCCAGCTCCAGAGAGCTCCACCTTATCCTAATCCAAACCCTATCCCAATCCAGCTCCCCTCCTACCCAACTCAGAGCTCTATTCCTATAATCATCCCGGTCCCCGTCCTGACAGCTCCATCCTACCACATCCCAAGTGCCGTCCCACTTCAGGTCCCTACAGCATCACCATATCACTCCAACCCCAGCTATCTCCCTCTCACCCATCCAAAGAAACCTATGACTAGGCACTCTCGTCCCCGTCACCACCCATACCAGAAGGTTAGTTTGAAGCCAGTCTGTTTGCCATATTATTCATATTGGTGTATGAACATAGAAGAGCAAGCGTCCTCCGTCTATCACAGCTGCCACTACGACCCATTCTACCACTGCTGCTACCACAACTGCCACTACCTCATGGCTCTCAGGGTGGTTCAGCAACTGACACAGATTAATAACTTTCTCCAACTATACATTGCAGAGTGTTGTGTGGGTAAAAATTGAGTAGCTTGCGTGAAGGAAAAATAAACAGTGCTGCAAAAAGGTCACCAGTGCAAGCACTTCCATGCTTATAACACCCTCGATCACATACCAGCTCATTCTCCAGAATTTATGGGCAAACAATACCGTGGTATATACAACCATGGTATGGTACAACAAAACGCAAGAAAAGCAGTTTTGTGTTTGCAACATACTTTCCCTGGAACATCTGTGTCTCAAAGACTCTCCTTTCTTCGTGCATAAACAGCACCCCTCCTCTCATGAAGGTATGGGAGCCATCTTCCCAAGCAGGTTTGCACTATTGCAAGACACACAACTTGTTAAATTATAGAATGGGCAACTGATAATCAGATACATCATGAAGTTGTATATGCACCCTACATATGTGAAAAAGCAGCTCCTTTCTCTCAAGGACTTCTTCCTTTGCGACATTGTGGAACAGTAATGCATAGCGGAATGATAGGTCTACTAATAATAGGCATGCTCAAACCGAGCCTACCTACTGTACAGTGCAGTTGTCTGAATTCTGGGACTTCACTCTATCAAAAGCTGCACACTAGTTGATACGCATGTGGTAACATCATCATGTTATGTAGAGCGACTCAAACATCACAATTGCTTGCCAAATACCCCAACACTGTAGTGAACAGCTATTCCTGTCTGTCACTGGTTTCTAAATATAAATATAATTGGACGACTGTGGATCCTTTTTTTGCATTGAAGACGGAATTTTTGAAGACAATTCGGAATGCCTCATGACGTGTAGGAGCCTTCTTTGCTCTATGTATCCCACGAGTCTCCTAAGCATCTGGGTGGATCAGACAGAAACAGCTTCATGCATGCTGGGATAGCCTAGCCAGACCCCTTGAAAGGCCCCAGGCACCCATCTCATCTCTCCTATATACCACCTGCCTCCCAGTCCAGCACAGCAGACGTCACCACCGATACCCGCGCAATACATCCACCAGGTTCGGAGGTCAGAGGACGAAGGTCGCAGAAACCACAGCGCCCGACGTAAAGCAGAGGATGATAAAACTCTTCTCTCTGAAGCAGCAGTCCAAGGATGGGAGCACTGCTCAGAGTTCGAAGAAGACCAGCGCCGCCTACTTGAGAATACAGAAAGGCTAGTCACCAGGCACCATGTTTTCTCTTGATTGTCAAATGACCCACCAAAAAAATCATGTTCTTTAGATCTGGCAGATCTAAATCTACCAAAAACATGTCAGATGGACTTCCCTGATCCTGATGACCTTCTGAACTTCAGGCTTGTCATCATGCCCGATGAGGTACATGACATGGGTTATGTACAGTAGGGGTAAAAAAAACATTTTTTTGTTCCGTTCCGTTTCGTTGAGCTTCCGTTCCCTTCTGAAACGCCATTCATTTACCGTTGGAATTTGTTCCGTTTAGAATCATTGCCGTACGTGCGTTCGCGCGAGGGCCGTAATTCACGAGATGCGAAGGCCTCACTGTGAAGATATTTCTTCTAGCACCTACGTGGGTACTGCATTCTCGTTTCGCGTTTGCGCTAAGAAAAAACATTGTTTCGCTCCCCCGCTAGCGAGTCTCTACCGCGTTTGCGGAGAGCGTGTCACGCGGAATTCACAACTGAACAGAAACTGAACGGAAACGGAAACGGAACGGAACGATAGTGAACGGCAAACGGAAAGAAACGGAACAAAACTGGAACCGTTTTTTTTTACTCCTACTGTAAGTGTGCTGGACAGTGCTAGAGAAGTGGTGGATGGTGGTTTGTTACTCTCAGTCATATGGTTCTGAAGGAATGTAATGCAGCAATTTTAAACTAATAAAAGAGTGAATCTCTTAGCCGTAGTCAAACCTCATAACCCCTTTGATTAAAGTATATTTGCGCAACTATAGTATAGTCCAAGAACTGACGTGGACAGCTCGTACCTCATATAGGTGTTGACAGCTCTTACCTCGTAGGTTATTAACGAACGAAGAGCTAGGGTCATTCATGAAATAGCCGCTGTTTAGGCAATTCTGCTTGCAATGTAGGTGTTGTCCGCAGTATCTTTGGAGAGGCCAGCTGCCACCTTGTACATGAGGTTGGAGCACACGCTCTTAGGGTTCAAAAATGCTTGACTTGTCTGTACAAAAGTGTTTTTAGCTACAGCCACAGCTTTAGAGTAAGGGACACTCCAAGAAATGTTATTACGGCATTTGCGCATGTGCGGGTGCACATAAATGTAGACGTCAATAGGTTAATATAAAGTAGGTGGGGTAGCCCACGACGTGGGGAGTAACACCAGACTGAAATTATTCACTGCACAAAAAAACGGCAAGATTTGTTCATTGGTAGCAATCGAGCAAAAATCTTTCTCTTGTGTCTGAATGAATGTTCACCAGTGTCTGGAGTTACCCCCACTTTGTTCGTTACTTACCATCACTGTGCTCTTAACTGAGGAAATTGGCCAGTGAGGCGAGCCTACTTAGTCACCACCGTTTTTGCCATACAACAACGATGGCAACACTGTCACTCATACCATAGTGTTTGACTCTCGGGTTTGCTCACCAAAAATGCTATTTTGAGGAGAGAAAGAGCCAACGAGACTCACGTGCTGTCATCTCATTGGTCGAAGCTCTTGCCGGACCACCGCGGATTTTCGTAGAGCGATCCTCTAGCTATATAAAACTCTGAAATGTGATTGCGATGGTTGTTTCAGAGATGACTGCAGCGTATTTCTCCTCATAATCACCCATGTGATAATGAGCAAAGCGTCAGCTACATGTATCAGCTATACAATCCAATTATCCAGTCCATTTTAGGCGAACCACCACGGTTTTTCCTGAAGTGATCCTCCCGAGCTGTTATGCTGAAAGCAGAACTTTGATTGGTCAGTTTCAAGACCAGCGATTCCCTCGCCCATGCAACTAGTTCATACACTTTCCTTATCTTCTGCGACGTCACGGGCAACTCATTTGTAATCCTCGGCGTGCATGCGGTTACGGTAGTTGGTTCGTGAGTTTGTCTGTCAGTCAGTCAGTCTGTCTGTCTGTTACCACGTTTTCTGCCACCACGCACAATAAATCATAAAAGTACTGCATTTGCACGTTATGGCGTGAAAAGCAAGTGAACAAGCCAATATGCATATCAGCACAGGCTTACCTCGACCGGGTCCGCTTGCTCTGTGTACCTTGGAGGCACACAAAAACTCACAATGAATGGTGTGTATCGACTCCCGCATGCTATCTACTACTGTAGCTAGCCCGTGTCAGACTCTTCGCGAACTACTAGTGTGGAAATCGGGAGCATTAATGCTAGCCCAGCCCATCAATTAGCGGTATCGCGCATGCAGCAGTTCGCCGAGGGTTTGCACTTCAGTGCTTTTATGCAAGCAGGAGACGGATGACGAACAGACATCAACATAATAAACCAATCACGAAACAGACCAAAGGTAATTGAAGAGCAAATTCAGGTCTTTCGGCAGAGATGAAGATTATTAGTTCTTCAAGAGAGACAGATGAAATAGAGGAAGAGACAGCTGCAAAATATATGTGCAAACCACTTAAAAACTGATTATAGTCATCAAATATCCAAGCTATATTCTTCAGTATACCCTCTCTTGCATGCTCACTAAATTGCTGATTTACAGTTGGGTCCCTCTTGCTCGCCCAAAATACAAATGCACAGCAAGTACGTCACTGATAACGAAATTTCCTTACGGTAAAGGAACTTGCTATAACAAAACCCAACTGGATTTGGAGTTAGAAAGGATATGCGTAACCTTAGAGTAATGTGCAAAGAAACTGGCCATCCCCAGCAATTCCGAACCGGTCGGCACATTTTAGGTTGTAGTCAGAGGTCAGACATTAGTCACGTGAATCGTGCAAGAATTTCAATTAGTGCACTGATTGACTGCAGACCTTACATGACTTTACAGGTTCTTTTGTGGTGGTGCAGGCCTGAATGTAGATGTAGATGGTAAGGGGTAAGGGCATATGCTTTGAGTGTCATAGAGTAAAATTCTACATCTACATTCAGGCCTGCACCACCACAAAAGAACCTGTAAAGTCATGTAAGGTCTGCAGTCAATCAGTGCACTAATTGAAATTCTTGCACGATTCACGTGACTAATGTCTGACCTCTGACTACAACCTACAACCTCGTGACACCCTAAAGTGCTGTAGATTACAAAATCCAGACAACCCAGATGCATTTATTATTTCCCTGGCACATTCACATTTTACTATCTTTTGGAGGGTTGACTTTAGTGGGTAACACATGTAAAATATGTGGACTAGCTTGGTTTACTTGCATGCCCACACTCATTATTAACCCTCGACGTGCATGCGCAATAAGGGTTGTGGTACTTGGTCTGTGTGTGTCGGTCGGTTTGTCTGTCTGCAGCTATTCTGGCACTACAGGCTACGAGGCGGCATATGAGTAATACCAATGGCTTCATAACTTGGCTGAAAACTAAAAATTTTCCTGTGAAAGCAAGCGTAAAAGCGAATATGCATAATCGCACTGGCTTAACGCGACCTGATCCACTTGCACTGTCTTAGAGGCAGATATCTATTAAGTGTAGCTAGCCTATGTCAGGCTCTCCGCGAGCTACTAGTGGGTAAACGCAAACTCTTAACCCAGCCCATTAATTAGCAGTACTTTAGTACTTTTTCATTGCTACGTACCTGATTGCTTACTAATTCAGTGCTCTGCCTGTTTTATCCACAGGGATTCTACCGGCATGGTCGCTTTGTCTTCGGTTTCAAGGTAAATACCAATGACTTACGTAAAGCTGACAGTAGTGATAAATGTATTTCAGTAAATGTTATCCCCTTTAATGGCATTCATCCAAATTACATTTTGTCACGAAGATAGCTGCCAAATATATCACCTTCCCCTAGGTACTCCAAGTATCACTTGTAGGTACAAGTTATACTACCATACATCACAGCCTCTTCTAACAGGCTCTTGGTAGGAAATAACCTGGGTCTATCATTTTCACATGTTTAGAACAAATACCACATATTTTTGGCGATTGAGCTCGAGCAGTTCATTTTCATGTGTTTTTAATCACGTAGAACATCACAGTATGTGCAGTGCCCGTCACATACACAAATTAACGGTGTCTTATACATGCTCCCTGATGAATTGGCAGGTTGGTCAAGGATATCCTCATGATGCTCCAAAGGTCAAATGTGAGACTCAGGTACGTACATGTTGTAGTGATAAAAGCAAAAGAAAACATCAAAGCCCTTTGATAGGGATGCAGTTAGTACTTGGTGTAATGTGTTGCATCACAATGCTCTGCAAGGATTAACAGTTGAACACCTCTCAGAAACCACACATAACGGCATGTCATGCTGTGTCTCGCCTTACCCTTGTACTTTTAATACCCATCCCACTTCCACAACTGCAAAGAAAGTAATATTATCGGAAAGAGTAGCCATCCTCGAATAATTATGTGTTCCCCATAGTGTGATAACTCACATGCATGGAAACTTGCTAGCACAACATCAGCATGAAACAGCAACCGGCTGGGTCCCTCACTATATACTCAGCAGTGGATTCTAACAGACCTACTGCTTGGCAATCAAATGGAAGAAGCATACCAAATACCTGTGTCAGATGCAGTGCTGTATCCCTCACAACAACATATATAAATATGCAATACTGCTACCCTTACCATGCTTTGCCAAAAGTTTGCGAGCTGATTGTCAGCAACACTTGGTGTGCCATGAAAGAATCTAATTGCCTGAAGGCCGCATGGTAATCACTTAAATGTTTTATCGGCTACAGGTTTATCACCCCAACATTGACTTAGAAGGAAATGTTTGCTTGAATATTTTAAGGTCAGTTAAATTAATAATAGTATATATTGTATTTATGACGGACTATAAAGTAGCCTTGTCCCCAGGTCTCACCTTTGAGAAAGGAATGGGCCTGATATTCAGTGGTTATACATTCACGAATTTAACGACACAAAGCCCTTTGAGAGTGATGCAGTTAGTACTTGTTGCATCACAATACTCTACAAGATATATCAATATCCCTAATATCTTCTGCAAGAGCACCCAACAGCTAAAAATAACTGTGCCTCTACCCTTGCTTGTGACAATGTAAAGGTTTTTATGTGCCTCCTTTATCCATCAGTGTGTTGCTAACATGCCAACTCTCACAAACAGTAAAGCCAGTTAGAGGGTGATTTCACACCACATTGGCAGACAAACTTGCCACATGTTGTAATACAAGCTTAGGAGAGTTACAACCCCCAGTGAGGTTAGGTTGAATGGAAGGCAGTCGAATTGGTCATTAGCCTTAGACTTTAGGTTTCTTTCATTCCCACGCACGAGCATACAGTGGATACCGAGGCAATTGCCTTCGTGGGTGGGCCTCAGGACTAAATTTCACCAAAAAATTGCTGCATGAGTTTTTAAAAAGTGAGTGTTGCTGCATGCTACTACGTACGTACACACATTTTACGTGTCTGGACAGTGCCAGCAGAGAAAGAAGTAACTGTTGTACTGTGTACCCTAAATGACAGTCAGGTGTGAAAGAGCAGGCAGGGCTCAGTGTAGGAGCAGCCACGGGTACACTTACAGTGTACTTATTTTTAAAGGAGCTATCACAAGGGTGTGTGCATACGGGAGAACTTACACTCAGCCAGCAAAAAGTAGGAAATGAAGGATTAGCCTTCGTTAGAAGCCACCAACTGCGTGAAAAAATGGGAAACTGGAGGGTCAGGGCTGACAGCCTCGAATTCACTTTGCAACTATGTACGGCATGGTTTTGAATACTAGCTGCTAGTGTTCAATAAATTACAGTATACAGGGCGTGTATGTATATGGAACCAGTGCGATAGCTCCTTTAAGTAAGATAAACATGAAAGTAAGGCAAGTGCAAAAAAACCTCTAATGCTCTTTAGGGAGGACTGGAAGCCAGTACTGACGATCAGCTCTGTCATTTATGGACTTCAGTTCCTGTTCCTGGTATGTATATAAAACAGTAATCGTGCACCGATGGGTAGTGTTATATACGTTCTTCACTTACAGGAACCCAACCCTGATGACCCTCTTAACAAAGGTCAGTCCAGTCCCATGTATTTTTGTAGGCAACAAGTTACCCACACTGAGAAAACCCACTGTTTTCTGTGTTAGTCACTAACATGACCTTCCTGACAGTTGAAAACCGAAGCATGAACGTGAATGCCAGTTGCAAAACAGATCCTCACATGGGTTCAGAAGAAAGGCCTTTGGTGCCTAGTCTTACCTCCAGTGCAGTTCTTCTGTGAAACACTAGCAATAGGAAGTGTATAGTACTGTATGTGTTTATGAGGCACGTATTGGAGATGCACTGGGGAACAATGAGCTATGCATAAAAACCATTAACACATCGAGGGATCTCTTACTCTTTTGAAACTCAAGTATGATTGCAGGGTCCTCAATCACTGACTAAGACCTCTGCAATTCCCTACCTATAAAGTTGTGCACCAAGCCTGTGACAGACATTATAGAGAAGCACCAACTTCAGAGAAATCTTGGGGCAGCCCTGTGAAAATATACTTAGAGGGGTATTGTAAGGGCTAGATTTAGAAATGTTGGAACAGAACAATAGGGGCAGAGTGAAAGAATGCAATTGAGTTCTGTTTTTCTAAATTTAGCCCTTATAATACCACATTGCCTTTAAGGGTTTACGAGTAGTAAAGGTGTTTCCATGTGTGTAACTCTTTATGTGATGTAATCACATGTATGCCTGTGGGTGGGACGTCGTGAGGTCAGCAAAGTTCCCTGTTCTGACATCGCAGGGGTGTTAAAACACGAAAACTGTCTAAATTTATTCTGCATGGTATTAAAGGGAATGTGGCAGTAGATAAGGGCTAAATTTAGAAATGTTACTAAAGATAGAACTAAACAATAGGACCCAGTGCAAGAATGCAATTAAGTTTCCATTTTCAGTATATACCAGTTTCTAAATTTAGCCCATAATTATATTGACACATCCCCTTTAATTACAGTGTACATGAACATCCATGTGCACTCTATTCGCAGATGCTGCTGAGGTTCTGCGACAGAACCGACGACTATTTGAACAGAATGTCGCCAAGTCAATGAGAGGGGGATATGTGGGATCAGTCTTCTTTGAACGATGTTTAATGAAGTAATTTCCACCAGTGAACATACATTATTACATCCACCACTCTCTGCTCAAAAATACACATGTGTGACATGCATTAAGTGCAGTGTATTTTAGGTGCTGTATTTTTATTTTCATTGATCCTCATGAATCATTAGTTGAATGACCAGCCATAATATAAAAGTACCTGTTGCTCAGTAGCTGAGTCTAAAAGAAGGATAATTTACCACTGCTTGTCAGCTTGGGATTAGCCACTTTTTACGTAACCTAAAGCTCTTGTGGCTGGTTCACAAACTGCTCTTGCATTTATCAGCACAGGTGTTGTTCTGATGCAGTGAAGCTTGGCAAACTGTTCACTGTTGTCTTTTTGAGCCTTCGAGCCTTAGTGTTGGAGAAACAAAATTGAAAAGTGGTTTGCATGTGTGCATCCACTCTTTTACGGAGCTACCTAGTGGTTCGATTCATTGTCCACTTTGCAGATGAATAGCACGCTAATATTATACCTTGCTGCCACAGCAGCTGTTTGTTCATTGTTAGCATTGTGTGTGGGAAAGTGCTCACTGAAAACTGCATTCAGAGACCAGCGCATAAGGCCTGTGCATTTGCTGTTGGTCCAGTTGTGACCTGCTCTGCTTGGAATCTCTGGAAAGGACCTCCAGTTGCCCACTGGGGGTGGTGATACCAACTGGCAAATGGCAGCTGGCCCGAATTTCCAGGTTTAAGGTAACCATAGGACCTGCACTCCACGAGGTCCCCAATATTATCTTCAAAGTCAGGATTCGTGTCCCTCCTTCCCGTAGGTCATGTATATACTGTAGTTCAATACACGGTATGTGAGGAGGGTTGGGCTGGTGGAGGTCATAGAATGTACGCTTGGCTAGTGAACTATCATTCAGTGCATAGCCAATTGATTTTTAAAATAATTTATAATAGTACGAGGTTCCAGCTGATTTCTCATGAACCTCCTGAGCTAAAAGTAACATGAGAACGTGATAAGAAACCAGTTAATTTTCGACAAGTTAAACAGAATTTCATGTATAATTATAGGAAATGTATCCCGCAAAACATGATTTGTACAAATGTTGCTGATCTTTTTCCACAAGACAAGTTTTCTGTGTCTGCTTTCAGGCAGCTCATGCCCGCTCACAAACCATCACCGCCCACACACAAATGATGGGGTGGAGCTCTGCCTTTCACCCTGCTGAGACATGTCTCACCCATGCAATCTGGACCTTTTTGCATTTTGCTTTTTTGAAAGGGTAGATGAAAGAAACATCCAAAGTGCAAGTGGACACTTTGCCTCAACAAAACACAATATGACAAAAAACTGAAAGTTGGCCTTAGAAAACGAAACAATTATAAACAATGCCCTGTGGCTATATAAAAAAACCTAGCCAAAAATGGTTCCAAAAAATAGTTCTAGGGCAAAATATTCGCTCTGGTGCTAGAATGCTAGTTGCTAGGGCCCAAAAAAATATTATAGGGCATAAACCTGTTCCAGGGCTACAAGGCTAGGTCCTTCTAGAGCTAAAAAGCTAGGCTATAGGGCTGAACTCTTGCCAAAGGCATCAGAACTAGGGCTAGTGCTAGTGCCTAGTTCTGCACTAAACATCGGGACACAACCGGATATCAACGAACCTTCAAGCCGTCCATGTAGTGCCCTCGCCGCACTTGGGACAATACAAACGCGGAGGCCCTCTCGGGTTCATTGTAATCCGGTATGTCCGTCGCATGGAGTACATAACTTAGATTATTAATAAGATACCACTTCTAGGAAGGCCTAGTATTCCACTCAAAACATCAATGGTAACTTAACTATCACTCTTCTATGCTAAGTGTCCTCCTATTTCAATGTGTCATGCTACAGACTTAAAACCCCAGCTCCTGGCTTCTCTTGGTTTCTACAAAAATTGTGGGGGTGGTTGAAATGGTAGAGTCATAGTAATCGTCCTCAGCCTCTACGGGAATGTGGTAGTATTTTATAAAGGGCATAAAATGTCTCTAAAAATATAACAAAACAATAGGGGAACAGAAAACTTTTTTGGCCAAATGTTTCGACTGCTCTGCAGTCCTCATCAGTGGCAAAAAGTTAAAAAAATAGGCAATGGCTGAGTTTTTAAGGCATGAGAGACAGAGGAATGAAAATTAAATTCCAATGTAACTAAGAGAGGAAACAAGAGGCAAGAATGAAAATGAAATAGCAAGGTAGCTAGGTTTGCAAAGGTATATGAAATAAAATAAAGTACACAAAAAAAAACAAAAATAAATAAATAAAAGTGGGGGAGCGAAAGATGAAGGATAGAAAAGGAAAGAAACACTCTTCAGTGCAAACAGTGATATACAGGTGGAAGGGTCCCCCCTTCCCTGTTGAAGCTGGGATGTCTCTGTATGTGCCACGACTCCAGGGCACACCTTCGAAACTGGTTGTTCTCATGGTCAAGGATTGACGTAGATTGGAAGTCTACTTGATGACCCAATTTCCATACATGCTCAGCCACAGCAGACACATCAGTCTTCGCATGTTTCACTGCTGCCTTGTGCTCGCTGAGACGCGTTTCCAACAGGCGGCTTGTCTGGCCAACGTAGACCTTAGAGCAGGTCTTGCAAGGAATACAGTAGACAACGTTGGCTTGTTTGAGAGGAGGAACTGGGTCTTTGACTCTGACCAGTTGTTTACGGAGGGTAGAAGCTGGCCTGTATACAACCCGAATTCTCAGAGGGTAGAGAAGACGTTGTATCGCCTCCGACAGACCCCTAACATAAGGAATTACAATAGATCCGGACCACTTTTTTTTGTTTTTTTTGTGTACTTTATTTTATTTCATATACCTTTGCAAACCTAGCTACCTTGCTATTTCATTTTCATTCTTGCCTCTTGTTTCCTCTTTTAGTTACATTGGAATTTAATTTTCATTCCTCTGTCTCTCATGCCTTAAAAACTCAGCCATTGCCTATTTTTTGTATTTTTTGCCACTGATGAGGACTGCAGAGCAGTCGAAACGTTTGGGCAAAAAAGTTTTCTGACTAGTGTTAGTAGATAGAATTCATAGAGAATGCAATGTCCTAGTCAACCAAGTATACTTACAATAGGGGAACAGTGAAAGAATGCAATTATTGAGTTTCGTTTTTCAGTAACATCTAAATTTAGCCCTTCTATACTGCCACATTCCCTTTTATCAACACAGCCACTAGACTCCATTACCATGCATCATTACACAGTCAGGAGCTTGCTCAGATCATACAGTGAAAGTGTACCAGAGGAATGCAACACATTATTGGCGAGCAGTTCAGGATTTTGCATGTGTTTTGTTGTGTGTATTTAGGATCACGCAGAACATCATGGTATGTGTAGTGCCCGACACAAATAAATAGAAAATTTACCACATTGAAACGACTAGGTAGGTTCGCTTCGCTACAGTAGAGAGAAGAAAATGTGGTGGAGGCCTGTTCATAGAGGTGAATCATGCTGTCCTGTAAGTCTGGAAGTACAAGAGTACAATGCATTTTTGGCAAACAAAGCAGGTACATAGTTGAATTTCCGCGTGTTTCACGCTCATTTAAGAACATGCATTACGGTATGTGCAGTGCAGCTGTGTGGGTCACATAAAAACCCCGCATTCAGACTAGGTGGGCTCGCTCCACTCACCAATTATACATGACCAGGTGGGGGTCCAAACATAGAGGGTTTGGTTTTACACAAACACAATAATAAAGGCCAGTAGGCTTGCATAACACTGAAGAACTGGCTTCCCCCTCTGTTGGCAAATTTTGTTACTCAGTTCCCTTTCTTACAAAAATTCCTCGTGATGCATGATGCATAAAGACCTTTTTATTAGCACAATAGAAAAGAGTGAGGAGGAGCATAATGAGTACATACAATGTAAAAGAAAATGCTGTTCTTTAGTTTTTTTCTTCTGTTTCAGAACTTTGTGGTGGATGCTCCGGTGAACCTGGCTCAGATAAGAGATTATCTTCTGTTCCACTTTCATCACTGCATTATCAGAAAATAGAAAATCTCTAGACTATACAAGCACAATTGCTTACGCTTTACAATTAGCTTGTGACTAATCCAGACACTGAAGCAATAAACACGTGGTAATTCGGACAGCTGAAGGAAGAGGCATCCTGTTTTCAACGGTGACATGCACCATACACCTTCCACGAGACTTTTACATGTGCATGTAGTAAACTGTAAATAGGCCCACTTCCACAGTCTTAGGGTGCGGTTTCGTGCTCATCAACATCATTCTTAACCCTTTGGGTGCCATTTACATATAATATATGCACAGAGCCTCCATAAGTGCATAAGAATTTATATATGGCTATAATACTAGGCGCTAATATGTTATACATCAATTTCTGCTTATTTAAGGAGACACCTATGGCGCCCAAAGGGTTAAAGACCTGGTTCTCCTTCATTATGGGTTTACTAGAGGGATTTTACCTCTAGCTTCTCCCACCATGCTCCCAGCTCATCCTTACTCATCACCGCACATGCTCAAAAAACTAATCACACCATTGCCAGAAGGAGTTAAAGAGTTGCAACACTTCGCTTCTCTCTAACAACGGAGACTTTGTATATTGACACAGAATATTTTTGCACTTAGCAACTTGTGGTTAATCGTCTGCTTATGCAATGTCAAGTGTGGCATGGACCTAACATATTTTGCTTCCGTTTCCAACTCTCTTTCCTATCTATAACAAGGCCAAGATTTTCTCTCATACACAACATGGGCACGTGCAACAAGAGATGGAACTACACACCATCAATTCCGTAACATTGTTGCATGTTATTTTCTTACCTATCACTTGATGAGGCTTCAGAAGTGGTTGCGGTGGGTGGCTCGTTTTCACTTTCACCCTTGTCTTTTTCTTCCAGTCTTGGCCCTTCAGCACTATCTGGTAACGGTTCATTGTCATCAGAAGGATTATCATCACTGGAATCGACAAATGCCTTTGATATAACTTTTCTTCTTTTCCGTCCACCCTCTCGACTTCGTTTCTTATCAGGATCAGTAGCCCTTTGTCTAATAAAAATTTAATAATAAATATAATAAATTTTCACGCCCTAACTCTGAAATGCAGTATTTTTATGAAATTCGCATCAAGCCAGTGTAGTGCTTAACCGTTTGCTATCACTCTTTTGTTGTACAGTTGCGCGTGGCGATAGAAAATGTGGTAACAGACACATGGACGGACGGACACACAAAGTAACGAACCAAGTACCGTAGCCCTCACTGTGCATGCCCACCGAGGGTTAATGACATGCCCTGAAAACCTTGTCACTTCCCAGTAAAAGGATCATGAATATCTTCTTGTATGTAACTTAGAATGGCCAATAATATTCAAAAGTGAAAGATTCCACAGCCTAATAATTCCTCGAGGCACCACATATTTTTGCAAAGTATAATATAACCTTTTCCGGTGGCGTTTATGTTGCTGCTTGTGTTCTTCGTCTTTGCTATGGTCAGCTCTGAAAAAAGAGCACAAAAAACTAGCATGACACATCCTTCAACCATGTGGCTTATGCCACATGGTTGACATTGAGCAGCCAGCAAATGTATTGCAGTGAAAGTGGCAACAAAAATGGAAAGCATTAAAGTGCAAACCCTCGGCAAACTGTGCATGCGCGGTACCGCTAATTGATGGGCTGGGCCATTAGTATGCGTTTACTCGTGGTCTCCTGCTAGTAGCTCGCGGACTAGTTACAGTAGTAGATAACATGCGGCAGTCGATACACGCCCTTCGTTGTGACTTCTTGTTCCTTCAAGATACACAATTGATTCTTCAATCCTCAAACTTGATAATGGTAGCACGTATGTAGATGAAACTTGAAACGTATGGAGATGAAACTCTATACGTGCTACCATTGGAAGTGAAGAAATTGCCTGAGGCTATTTGCTGTTATTTATTGTTGTATGTTTCATGTTGGAGATTGAATACGTTATGTATGCATAGCTCTTACCTATGGATTATTTTTGTAACCTTTTATACCTCTTATATGGTTTATTTTATATATCGCAGATTATTTTTGATAACTTTTATACTGCCTGTACCGTCTGTTGTACTCATTTCACCACCTTCGTGCATCAGCTCGCGTGTTTTGCTAGTCCCAAGTAAGCCCTTATGGATATAATGAAAAGCACTAAAGTGCAAACCCTCGGCGAACTGCGCATGCGCGGTGCCACTGATTGATGGGCTGGGCTGCTATTAGTATGCGTTTACTCGTGGTCTCCCGCTAGTAGCTCGCGGAGAGTCTGGCACGGGCTAGCTACAATAGTAGATTGCATGCGGGAGTCGATACATGCCCTTCGTTGTGACTTCTTGTGCCTTCAAGATACACAGAGCGAGCGGACCCGGTCGAGGTAAGCCTGTGCTAATTACCATATTGGCTTGTTGACTTGGTTTTCACGCCATAACTTTAGAACGCAGCACTTTTACGAAAATCGCCATTTTAAAAATGAAGCCAGTGTAGCGCTGAACCCGAATTGAAAGGTGACACGGGAGTGGGGTCTGGGTACGAGACTACGAAACGACTGACTTCCTCTGGCCCTACCTGCACTACTGCTCTTTAGTCGACCAACCTCTGACAATGAAGAGAAAGCGTTGTAACAGTTACCATGAAACCATTTGACCAAAGCGAAGGACAGAGGAGACCGCGAACATCATCTACGCGAGTGAAGCCAACGTGTGGGGCAAAGTCGAGGAAATACAAGTTGGGGAAAAAAGATTCCAATACGCGGAGAGCCCTGCAACTTGTGCTATTATACTTTGTCACCAAAAGTTCAAAATCACTACTGGTTCTGAGTCATATACACTGCCGAGTGTTGAGGAGTTTTCAGACAGCCACTATTGCAAAGCAAAATCTTTTTGGAATTACACAGCATAATAATTATGTTCCCTCACTGGAGGAGGGGAAGGCTTTCCCGAAAATTGTTCGAAGGGAAAGGGCCGGCAAAGATGTTACTGGCGAGGCTGATTCAGGGGATGAGCAGGTGCCAGACCTCCCATGTGTCCCACCATTCTCTGCAGAGGAGCTTCCTGTTGTTCAGGAGAAATAATCGCGCTTTTTGTTATAGGCTGTGACAGTGGGGTTTTCGATTGCTGTAGGAAAGCGTTTTATGGAAAAACTATGCTCTCATGTGTACAGAAGAGCAAGATACACGATTCTTACCCATCCAAAGCACTTCCACTGGACCTGCACAACCAGGTGCCTCGGAAGTAAAGTGGTCTTTACCTCGGAAGACCCTCAGGACTACGTCAGCCACGTCAACAGTATGTGAAACATGTGAGCGTTATGCCGATGTTGTGGTCTATGACCGCAAAACATGTCTCTATGTCATTGTAGTTGAGCTGAAAGGTAGCGATCAGCCAAGTGAAGCCCAGAACAATGAACAAATGGTGGGGTTGTGGGGGAAGGAACAGCTGTGTATGCTTGGGTTGGAGGTGAAGCACGGCAAGGTGTTGCCAAAAGTCTTGGCCTTGGAACACGAAACAATGAAGATGTTCTTTCTAGAGGAACTTGACCTCGAAACTGTGACCGACATTTGCCGTCTAATGAAAATCATTGTGTCGTTCATTACGTATGTGATGAACTGTTAACATTTTTAAAATGAAGCCAGTGTAGCGCTGAACCCGTTGGTGTCGCTTTTTGGCCATTTTGTTGTGCATGGTGGCAGAAAACGTGGCAACAGACTGATAGACAGACACACAGACCAAGTACTATAACCCTCTAGCGCATGCACGCCGAGGGTTAAAATGCCATCACCATAGCAGAGGAGCACAAAAGCTGACTTTCTCGAGAATTGAAAGGTGACACGCGAGTGGGGTCTGGGTACGAGACTACGAAACGACTGACTTCCTCTGGCCCTACCTGCCCTACCGCTCTTTAGTCGACCGACCTCTGACAATGAAGAGAAAGCGTTGTAACAGTTACCATGAAACCTAAGTGAGAGACGAGGTGTGTCCACAGCCAATCACCCATCTCTCCTCCGCTACTGCCTCCTCCTCTGGGGCTGCCTCCTCCTCCACTGCTGCCTCCTCTTCCACTGCCACTGCTGCCAGCAGCTCACATGTCACTGCCCAACCAACGAAGGCAGTGCACAAGATCACCCACCACCGACAAAGCGGCCACGAATTTGCAGCAAGTGCCGACCAGCAAACATTTTGTAGGTAGGCACCACTACCTCCACTGTCTGTGTACCAACCAGGTGTGCCACGTTTGTCTCCGCAGAGCAGTTGACGACTCTCTCCAGATCACAGAGGCTGGCGACTTTGGTGCGAAGGAAACGCTGAAACACCAGTCGGGTGAAAACTTGGTGCAACCCACAATGAGGAAGGAGAAAGTGTTTGGAGCCCAACCATCACCTGCCATATGAGGTAATGGAGCATGGTGTTATTCTCGTTTTTCCCCACACAATTTTCCGCATGAAGGTGGACAAGTGTCTCTCCCAGTCCATGCTCCTGGAAGAAATGGTGGAGCATGCTGACGATAGGGTTTGGCCCCCTTCCCCGTATCGCAGGCTTGATTAATGAGGTAGTTGATCTGCCTTGGAATGGCTTCACAACATACTCCAAAGATTCCACACTTGCGAGGGGTGAGGAAGTAGCAGGTTGGAGTGGATCAGAGGGATTGTGAACTTGTTGTGCCATGTCAAAGGAGTAGTGGACGGAGGGAGTCGGGAGGAGGGTGGAGGAGGAGAGAACACGCCAGTCTGTTGGAAGGTCTGCCTCACGGTCTGTTTGTCCTTGTCACACACTGTGTGATAGTAGGACTGTTCCTTCGTGGCCAACAGCAGGTGTTTCTCAGCCTTCCATATGGCCTAAAAGGTATGAAGTGTAATTATTACGCCTAGTTGTACTTACAGCCGATTTCTGCTCATCGGGTTGGTTAGCAGCTCTCACAATGGCTGTGCTGTTGGATTGGCATACTCAACAGAGGTCGCTCATAGGCTTGGTGACCATCATGTGAGGAACCACTTGCCTCGAGATAGAGACGAAGGTGGAGTATGCCACTTGTTGGTGAGGGGTACTGACTATTGATGTGCAGTACTGCTGCCAAACCTGAAGTTTGGTGGTGCTGGATGGCAGCAGCTGCACATCAGTGCATATATATCCTGGGATTTGTCGAGGAAGGAGGATGGCGTTGGCTTCTGCATATGTGTGCAGTAATTGTACCACTCTCTGCGTGTCTCTGAAGCTGATGGTATTTGATGGTAGCCTGTGTAGGTTGGCATGTCATCTTGGAGCTAGTCGGTTCGTTTTCAAGCTCTGCTGCACGTTGCGGAACCTCCTGTCGGAGATTGTGTGAAGGAAGAGGAAGGTCTTCCTGCACACTCTCTCCACCATGCCAAAAGAGCCTGTAGGACCTCTGCCGATTGGTTGAAGGGTGACGGTCCTTGTGGAGTACAAAGTGAGATCACTGCTGGCTTTGAAGGCCGAGAGTTGGCCAAGGAGTGCCATATCCAGCTCTGCTCATGTGAGTTCACTGACTTCTCTCCTGTAGCTCTCCATACTGTCAGCCGTAAACCTAGTGCTGCAACCCCCATCCGCCAGATCACACCCACATCCGTCCCTGAGGTACTTCTCTACCATCACTCTCTCCTCTCTCTCCCGATATTCTCTGCTGGGGCTTGGACAGGCGCAGCGTTCACCACAAGAGGCTGGCACATCTCCTGTTCCTCCTCCACCAGGCTGTCTTGCAGCTGTGATGACTGACTGGGAGCAGTAGCTGACTGGCTGGAAGGATCATCTTGCCACTCTATGTCACTCTCTCCTCTCTCTTCCTCTGAACTGTTTTAATAATCATAGCTAGCTATGTTTATTTTAACTGCATTTCAACTTTACGAGAACTAACTTCATTGTCATCTGAGACAAAGTAGTCTGTGAGAAACTCAGACAGCCTATTCTGGTCACCATGCGAAAGTGCCAGTTCCCGTAGCACTTGCGCTACTGTCTACGTTGTTGTACCATCAGCTCCAGATGCCATGTTGTTTATTCTGAGGGTTTCCTTGGTAACTCGTATCATGTGCTGTTAGTAATCGCGCTTCGATCGTGTGCGCGTCTGTGCACGCGGCCACGAAGTCAAACCTCACGTCTTTGACAGGTCGCTGTGAGCTTTAGGAACGGCGGATTGCCACCGCTCTTCCACAAAAAGGTAGGGGAAAAGCTCTAGTTTTCCATGGTATGAAAAACCTAATGTACCCAGATTCATCTATTTGCAGGCATATCTCGAAGTTATAATTAGCGCCGAATGGTACCTTTTCCCAGAGAGGGTCACATAAGTGTAAACCCCTTTGGCGAAGTGCACATGCACGGTATGCTAATTGATGGGCTAGGCTATTAGTATGCGTTTACTCGTGGTCTCCATGCTAGTAGTTCGCGGAGAGTCTTTCTTGTCTAGCTAGGTGGAAGCTTTATGGAGTGCAAAACTATTCTTGTCGAGCTCGAGTCTTTTATGAAAAACAAAGAGAGCTAACTTCCAGCTCTAAATTTGTCAAACTCACCTGAAGTCGGATCGCTGTTAGTTGAATGCACCCACGTTGAAGCTTCCGGTTTAATAAAACATAAATCTCGCATTATACGAGACATTTGCAGAACGACTGCAATGCTATGTATATCCCATTCCTATCTTGTCTCCCTTCTGTTTTATACCACCCCTACATCCATCCTTTTTTATAGTTACTACTAAATACCTTTTCTTTTTAGGTGCCGGACCGGTACTTTCTCCGTCTTCACTGGAACGGTCTTTCTGCAAACAAATATATAATTATATATTATATATCATGAGAACAAAATTGTGTTTCTCACTAGCTAGAATTCGACCCATATTTGTTTGGTACCCCATATTGCCCATATGGAGGTACCAAAAAATATGGGTCGAATTCCACTGTGACAAGGAGCAATAAAAAGGATTTTTAGGCTTTGTTTTATTGAATTAATGAGTTCACATTCCTATAGGAGGGGGAAAAAGTAGAAGCCGCGCATGCTCGTGCATATGTATGTGTGCAATTGCATTGCGTGCGTTCTACGGTGTTAGTTTGACAACTTGTTCGGAGCAAAAATATTGTTCCTATGTATGTTCTGCCATGTTCGCTACATGCACAAGGAACAGGACATGAAGGAATGTTTTGGGCTTAGAACAAGTTGTCAAACTGAACGCGCACAATGCAATTGCGAACTTATGCGTGGATGCGTGCGCGACTTATATTTAATACCAACTTTAATGATGCATTAACAAAGCGTGAAATTCTGAAAAATGTAGTAGTATAATTCAACCCATAGATTTTAAAAACTGTGGTGAGGTATATACCTCTTACAGGTCATATTTGTGCCCATTCTCATGTAGGAACTACGTAGCCCTCTAATATACCGTAGGACACGGAGAAAGCCGCTGTGCATAATGCCAAAGAACTGTTCCCTATAGGCAGTCACACACTGGTTTCTCTTCTCATAGATAATGTATGGAGGAGGAATATGAACTAATAACCTTGTGAACAATCGCCAAATATTTGGTGACTACCACCCACACCCATATCTAAGTGAGCAAGATGCACATTAACCCTGGAGCAGTAGCCATGTTGATAATAACCCGGAAAGTTACCTCAAGCATAACGAGTAAAGCATCTTCTAGCCACTACTTAAACATTCCTGGTTACAGGAGTATAATGTTTGCAATACATTTTTGGCTAGCGAAGCAATCTTGACCACTATACATTTGCACATGTTCATTGTTGTGGTCGTGTCGGTACATAATACATAATATGGCAACACAGTTGATTTGGTGGGTTCGCTTCGGTCACCAACGTCTAGTACCTTTTTCCTTGTAGGCTTAGAATCAGGAGAATGTTCAGAAAATTGCAAAAGGTTTTGTGTCTTCATTTTAAACTGCGTTCTTTGTTCTTCCAGTTGCTGTGCCTGAAGTTCTTTTTGTCGAAGTAGCTCACGCTGCAGAGAGAAAGAGAGTATTAAAAAGGTTATGTAAAGTCCTCATGCTTCCACTCATGAAATATGTCTTCAGGGACAACTGACCACTTAAAACTATTTTTAACTCAAACTTTTAAACTGGGACTAGACTAGGTAGCTGACTCTTAGAAAAAAAGCCAGTGCTCCATTATGAAACCTGCAATGCTTGCAACCACTTACTCACTCATGCTTATACAAACAATATTCACCTGTTCTTCCTCTTGCTTTAGTCTGAGAGTATGTTTTTCTTCTTCTAATTTTTCTTTTAGGGCCCTTTCCTCATCATCTACTCTTCTAGCCCTAGAGAGGTGATGTTGTGCCTAAATTTCAAAATAAAACCAAGGTCAGGTACACCTAATAAGCGTATACAACTCTTTAGCCTCATCAACAGATCCTATATATCCGTAAATGGCATGCTTCTGCAATATACATACTCCATGAAGAGAGAGACCACTCCGCAATGGAACCAGTCAAGCAATAGAATAACTGCTGGTAGAACACCACCTTCACCCAAAAACATGGTGCCCCTACTCTTGTGACAGCATCCAGTCTTCAAGTTTGGTGGATCTATATAAGTAGGAGTGCAGATCGCCCAAGACACCACCCCAAGCTTTTTGTGCTGTATTCTATGTTGCCCCTAATCTTTAGCTTCGACATAAGGCCAGGTGATTCAACCTACGAAAGGGTTCTGCTGGACGATAGGCAAGCCCGGCATGACCTTGAATTTCATGGGATTAATTAAATAAAGTTTCTTTTCATTCATAAAATCCTGTTCATGCACAAACAGTTAAGAATGGCACTCCCCTTTCTTAAGGAAGGGACCTAGGGATGAGACTATTAACGTTTCCTACATCTTCAAGTTTGAACTCTGATCTCTCGTGAACCAAGGTACGTTTTCCCCATGTGTATTGTCTCCAGTTTGACGTATTAGAGTGACTGTATGTAGGCTCTCTTAGCTTGTGCATCATAACCTGTTTGCTTCTCCACTTAGTTGTAAAATTGTGACCGTGCATTCTGAAAAGTAGTAAGTATTAGCAACCTTTTGTGAAAACCCTTTACTGAAATGATGTCACTGTTCCATTCCGGATATAATTGTAGCTGTTATTGTAGCAGGCTTACAGATATGACACAATGCCTAAACGGTGATTTATCAATCTTTCTTGATACGCACTCCGTGACACATACCCCCCCAGCAGCCTTTGCATGGCGTTGTCCCGCTTTGTGTGACCGTTAAAGCGCAAATGCAAATCAGACATAGCCGTCGTTTATTCAAAGGCGACATATTATGCATCCACTTCATGATTGTGCTGCAACATATAAAGGCGTTTTGCCAGTTGGCTAGGCACACTAATATTAATAGTTTTACCATAATTATCGAATTCATTTTACCACGCTTGATTTCTTTATTCCAAAAGCTGAGCTTAGCACAGAAGTACATTGAATCGCATGTTGGCTTTTCACTCATACACCTCATGTTTCACGCCATACTCTCGAAAACAGTAGTTTCAGGAAAACTCTCTTCAAAAATTTAAGCCTTAATATGTTGGGTATCGATCATCATTTAGCCATCTTGTAGTCTGAAGTACTACAATAGCAGTAACCGACAAAGAGACATGAAGGAGTTTTGTAAACACCTCTGCACCTTTGCCAGTGTAGACATCGACACGTTGTGTCACTGCACTACTGCACCAGGGAGGCATGATAATCATTGCTGCCGACTGATAAAACCACACCACAGAAAAGCACCTTCACACTTACACACACAGACAGTCTCACCACTAGTGGATACACATACCTGACTGAGATAATCAGCACATTTGCGAGCCTCATGTGTGGCATGTGACAGATCAAACTTCATTCGGTCACCCTCTTTACTGAGGTAGACAAAGAATCTACAGAAATAAGCTTTGATAATTCAGCCCTAATGTTCATTTTTTGGGGCCGAGGACGCATGATTATATATATATATATATATATAGGTCACTAATACGGAACATTATACATGGAAAAAAGCGAGCACATAGGATAGAGTATTAATCAACTACAGCCCTTTTTCCAAGGAAAAAAGAAGAGCCGCCTAAGGGGGACATATTGGCTGAATTCTACACAAACCCTATGTGTGCGGATAAATTTTTTCTGTACTCAAATAATATGCACCTGAAGACTAAGATTGTGCACATCCAGTTTAAGTTCTTAACTCCCCGCCAGAAAAAAATCAGCCTAACCTGTTTTCTGAAGCAGAGGAGATTGGAAGTGCATGTAATGTTGCGTAACTGGCGAGCCTTTTGTGCATACAACAACACTGCTGCAAAGTTTAAGCCCAAGAAACGGTGAATCGGAACGTGCTGTGGCCTCGCTTCATAATGAACGGTGCTCCCTGGTTGTGCCTTCAATGTCTTGGTATGCGTGTGCAAGGCACATTCATTCCTTGTGTGCCAAAAACAGCATTATAGAGTACAGAAGTAATAAAGAAGTACTGAAGTGTAAATCCTTGGCATGGTGCGTTAATGTGTACTTTATGCTTGCGTCCAACTGATGGTTGATGGGTCGGGCCACGCCATACAGTCTAATACCAAGCAGCAAGCTTCTCGTTCTAACGCAGGCTTGCTGCATCAGTGTGTAGCGTTAAGAGCAACGCCGGATCTAATACACATCCTAATACACACCTTGAGCAGCTTCATCCCGCAGTGGTGCAACGAGTTGGCTAAACCTGGTCGAGGTAAGCCAGTGCTGATAACAGTCATTTCAAGAAAATCACATTTAGTTATCACACACTGGTAGTTCTGAAGTTCTTTGTATCGCTTATAGGCCACCTTGTAGCCTGTAGTGCCAGAATATGAATCGACAAACACAAACACTGAAAAACCTGTAACCCCTCGTTGCGCATGCGAGGGTTAATGAACATTTGTAATGAGTGTGAAATTTACCAGTTAGTAAATTTCAACACATTGTATCATCAATTGTGAAAAAATTTATCATCCTGACACAAGATGACAATAATATAAACATACCTCTGAGCCATCTCTAACTCCCTAACCGCAGACAAAACTGTGTTCAGGCTACTCCGTTCATCCCTGGTGTATGCAAAATAAGACATTTTCTGAATCATATGTGAGGTTAAGCAAGTGCAAATACACACAATCCAGGACGAACTTTTTAATTCTGGGGAAAAAGGAAACCCAGACACTCTGCAGTCTACACCGAGTGCTCTACTACCTGAGCCAGGGCCCACTATCTACTTTATTAGAACAAATGCTATGCATTTCTAGCAAGGGAGAGCCAGCATATATTCAGAACGACATTCAATTTTTCGTGTGTATTCACTAGCTACTCAGTGCCCGTGCAGTGCCCGTCAAATACATAAAATATTGACGCATTCAGACGACTTGGTAGGCTCACTTCATTCGTCAACAATACAACGGGAAAAAAATGGAACTACTCTGAGTGAATTCTTGGAAAACTTAGCTTATATATACACAGAACACGAGTTGGTCAAGGTAATTAACTGCAAGATGCCCAAACTCCACGCTAAGCAACATGCATGAATGATATGTGTGGTAGATAGCAAAGCAGCATAATTTAATTCATACTGTTAATGCTGCATACCAGCTGCTAAACAATATTCTGGGATAGCAAGCCTAATTGTAGCTAACTGGCCTAATTCTGGTATGGAATGTTAGTTGCGTACAGTGTTTGTCTGATCTATAATTGCCGAGCGCGTTAGCGTGAGGCAACTACTCCGGGTTGTATTCTCGCGATATGCGTACGTACGTACGTCGTCAATTAGTCACGCTTAGGAATGTAAATTAGTCACAAAAAGGATGTGTAACTTCCGCCGTGCGTGCAGATTCGTAGGAAGTCAGGCTTTGCGTGCAGTCAGTGGTTAGCTGTGAGTTGAATACCGAGAGACTATTGTGTACACTGCTCAATCTTCAAAACCCAGGAGTTTGGTATAGTAGCTACAGCCCTTGGCTACACCAAAGGAAAGGTCAGATCTAAACACAACACAGCAACTACTACAGCGTAACTACGCCGACAAGTTTTCCAACACGTACACTGAACCTGGCACACATGCAGCATCTGCCAAAGATCATCTCATGAGAGGCTTTGTTTCGTTTCTTTCAGGTTTTAAGTAGTACACATGTACAATGTAAAACACTGTCTATTTTAAATAAGAAACTTGTTTTTCAAGAGAGGATGTAAACTGAAGAAACCCATGTCGATATGGGTTTTTAAATAGACAGTTGTAACTATGCCTTGCGGGTGAAGTGAGCATTCACGTGCACACTAGACAAGCTAACAACGGAAGAACTTAAAGCGGTGCAGGAAGAACTTAAAGCTTCCTCATATTCTTCCTGCACATAAGCAAGTTGTGCGGAAATTCCTGCACATGTAGGAAATTTCTGGCAATACATCACGATATGGGGTTTTTAAATTTAAATAGACAGTTGTAACTATGCCTTGCGGGTGAAGTGGGAGTTCACGTTCACACTAGACAAGCTAACAACGCTCTATTGCATTAGTCCAGTGCCTTACTGCACTCGTGATGCCCACTACAATTGGTTTGTTCGATGAACTGCCATAAAACAATGGGTGGCGACTGTATTCGCAGCAGAAAAACTTCTATTCTCAACAGGGATCCTTTTTCATTTCAACTAGCTACGTACGTATGCGACACTTGATTTATGGTATGAGATATTGAAGCGAATTTGAAACACCAACAAAATGGAGAAAAAACATAAACAACACCTGCAAATATATTTCACTCTATTCCATAATTATTGTATGTAAAATAGTGCACAGCATGGATCACCTGAGAGCTCCCATTGCCAGTCTCTGCTCAACTAAAGCCAAGTTGAACAGTAAGAGAGAATCACTTGGTGCTATATGTCGAGCCTAAGGAAGAAAACACGCAGTAAAGTTGAGCAACTTGTAAGGACTTGGCAAAAGGCTTCATCCACAGAGAATTGGTCTATAAACACAATTATAACGAAAGGCACTGAAGTGTAAACCCTCCACATCCACGGTACCGCCAATTGATGGGCTAAGCAATAAACGTGTGTTTACTCATAGTCTCACGCCAATAGCATGCGGGAGTCGAATGTGCCTCTGAGGTACACAGAGCAAGCAGATCAGGTCAAGGACTGTAACCCTTGTTGCACATGCGCGCCGAGGGGTAACTAGGAATGCACATTTGCATGAATATTCTTCGACTAACAGCTCACGCATGCACATTTTTACCTTGTTGTTTTCCTGTAAGACAGGCCCACAACAGGTCAAGAATGTGCACTTACGTATACACTGCTCCTGACAGCATTGCTTATCTTTTTAAGAAAAATTTGCATTCATACAAAATGGGTGCTGATTACGTAAGTGACATTCTTAAGCATGACCACCATAACTTACCTATAGTACACGTCTGACACTTGGAGAGTGTAATGCACTCGGCCATAATGTTCAGAACTACATACAAAAGGCATCACAATGACAGTTTAATTCACCTTAAGCAGGGTTTGCTTGCATTCAAGTAGTCTGCCAGCTTTAAAATAGGCCCGTGAGAGATATAGAAGGACCTCAGTGTTGTGAAAGTTGTAAAACTTTCGTAAACAGTTCTCGTACTGCAGAAAAAAAGCAACATTTGTTAACTGTGGTGCTTATGGGTTTTATAGTGCTTTATGTCATAGCTCATTAGTAAACCTATGCACACACAAGTCTGTAGCTAATGCATTGTATATTGAAAAGGATGAGCTGCCTAACCTATTTAGTAAGTGGTGCAATTACTGCACATGTGTGCGTGGTTGCAAGAGGATTAGCATAGCAAGCACTAGATATAATTTTTCAAAACTGTTTCACCCCTAGTTATCATGTAGCTACAAAAAACACCGTAACGATTTCTTGACAGCATTAGCTTCAACAACCCCAAAAGCTCTTAGACGGGACGAGTGAACATCTCCAAGTAGCACCTTTCGCCATTGTTTCTGTTCTACCAGAATCTCTGGGGTGAAAAGAACTAGCCGATACATATTATTCCCTAATCAGTACAGCTTTCTTCAATTATCTCCTTGTCCTCGGTGGCTCCTATAATGCCGCAGGTTTTAAGCCCTTGGAGGAAAGATTGGCCACCTGCCTAAAATATTACTGGTTTACTGGTTGGCTTCACTAAGATCTATGCACTGGCCTGGTCTTTTATAATGGCTGTCAGGGGCTATTCTATTACAATTGATAGTGGACTGCCAGGATGGAGGATGTCGAATGCAGCTGGTAGGACTGCGTAACAAAGTGTCTTTCCGTAGCCAGTAGGCAGTACCGCGAAAACATCCTGTCCTCGTAAGACTCAACACATCTGGTCAGGCTTCAGAGAAAAACAACCTAAAGCTTGCGCCGCCTTGCTAGGCACAGCTACGAACGTGTCTGAAGCTGGGGTGTGGTACTCGTACTGTGTGACTCACTATCATAATCACACGTGTGCACATCACTGACTGTGGGTCACACAGAAACAAATACAAAATTGAGCAATTCAAACAACCAGGTAGGCTTAATTGTTCGCTACTAAGGTGCAGTCCACAGATTGGCTAGTGGTCTGTCAACGTATTTGTACATGATATAGTAATTAAAACTACAGTGCGATACCATTTGTATTGCTCCAATGTACTGCTTCTGCTCAACATATATGTGAGCAAGATTTAGCCACACATCGGGAACATCAGCAGTTGCTTCTCTCACTTGGGCAAACACATCCCTAGCTTCTCTAAAATAGCCTTTATGAGCAAGAACTGCACCTGGCGAAAAGAGATATGAATGAAATTCAGCAGTTCTTCTTTTGAGAGACCATCATAAATGAAAAAGAAATCAAGAAAGTGAGTTAACAATGCAAGTATGATAGGAAGGAAATAGCTACTAGGATGAAGGGTGAGAAGTAAACACATGGGTATGTCCCAACACCATGTGAACATGCCCTTGTAATAGCACTGAGGGTGCTGTAAAAGATCGTGTGCTTCACATTATTTCAATGCCACCAGCAACTGTTTCTGCAACTGTCACAGGGAGTGCAGCGAGGATGACCGTACTTGGTCTGTGTGTGTCTGTAGGTATTTTGGGACTACAAGCTCTTACCAGGTGGCCTTTAGATGATACCAACGGTTTCAGGCTACCCCTTACTGAAACAACAGCGATCAAGAGATGGCGTGAAAACAACAGCAAACGTCAATATGAATAATCAGCACAGACCAGGTTTAGAGCACCATTGTGGAATGAAGATACCTGAGGGACTACATGCTCTAATTGCTACTCATTGATGTAGCTAGCCTGTGCATGAAGCTGGTTCCGTCGATGGGTTAGAGAGTGTGCCGTGGCCTGGCCATCCATTTATGTGCATGTGTATGTGCATTTTCATTTCAAACTATAGCTTCATGGCATGCATGAACATCAAACAAACAAATAACCTGTGAATAAATTACATTACGTAACATTCTCTAGTTTTGCCACTGCAAATCATTCTCCAGTTTTGCCACTGTATTATTTTAATACACTATACACAAACAGCTAAACATCATAGGTGTATATACCTATTCCATTAGCTGCAAATATATTCTTTGAATCTTTGCGGAGTACAGTCGTATAAAATTCAAGAGCCCTATCCTGGTTTCTTCTGTCTTTTGTACGATCTCTGGTTGGAACATGAAGAGCATAGAGCCACACATTACCCAGTGAGAGCATGGAGTAAGTATCTCCCTTTGTGGCAGGGTTTTTCACTATTCTTTCAAACTTCTTCTGGCCTGGACCCCACTGTTGCTTTGCTAGGTGCAGGTTTCCAATAAGAGCCCAAGCATCAGCATGTTCCTGCACACAAAAAACCGCAATGACAGCATAAAAGGTGATCAGCCATAATGCCTTGCAAGAAAAAAAGGAAAAAAAAGTAGAGGCTCCAGGCTCCTCTTTTCATCTACTGGATCCACATGCGCATAGTATCACAAAACGCATACGCGTGTCAGTCGTGAAAGAAATAAAAATGACGGACCTGGCCGCGGTAAACAAAACGCACAGTAACATTAAACTTTTTAGGTAAGCAGTTTTAGAGAAAACGGCTTTTTTATTTTGTTCTCAATAATCTAGTGTCCTTTGTTGCGTGTGTCATACCACGAGATGCAATATTAAGCAGAGTGCACAGACAGACTTACGAACCAAGTACCGTAACCCCCTGGCGCATGCACACCGAGGGTTAACAACAGAGTATTTACAATATGCTGAACAGTTTGAAGTGATAGTGTAACTACGTACACTTGCATCCCTATTGCGCCTGCAATCGAAGCTGTTATGATACTGCCATCTTCAACGGTTCAGTATAGTTCAAGGAGTTCATATATCGACAGCGACCCTGCAAGCTAGTTTATGACAAGACCAACCCAAGCGTCCATCACCATCTTTATATTTCCTGGCATCTCACAACCTTTTTTTTTTCCTCATAGGCAGCAACGTCCACGCCTAGCTGCACTCCAGTTGTCATGCCTGCAACAGTGCTGGTGAGTTGCTGGGGAAGGTTTGGCGCAAACTGGTAAAGATCATCGTCAACCTGGAGCTTGTTGAAATGGCAGACCTCCTGCCGGAGGCATGGCTACTGGAAAAACAGCAGTGGAAGATTAGTTGCGGTGGCAGCAAGGGTCCGGTGACCAATATCCTCCAGTGTGTTCAATGCTTCACTACTTTTGTGAACACTGTGGCGACTGCTCACTACGATAGAGCTTTCTGGCGGAGAGCTGAGGTGACGAAGGACTTTAACTGGTCGGTGGTTAGCACCTTTGGAGGGAGGGCTCACCATCGGGGCAATATGTCAAGTGTGCAGCACACAGCAGAGAGGTGCCCTCGGCGGGTGTTGGCATTGGGAGGCACGCTGGCATACTCGGCGGGGTAATCAAGACATGACAATTATGTTCCGGCTGGCATGCAACTATCGTACCCTGTCACACACACAGCGCAAGAGATTTGACGAATATTTAATACCCGGGGTGACAACCAATCCAGGTTTCAGCAGTGCAAGTTTGCCCACCTCTGTTCTCGGTGCAGAGCTTCAGGCCATGGAGCCGCACAATGCACAGCTCCAGGAAGGAGCAACAGTCTTGGAGGGAAGCGCCCCTGGTTGGGGTAGTAGGACATTCTACCGAAATGCGGACAGCAGCCCTTGACATTGCCTAAGCAGACTCACTAATGGACCTGGTCGTACATGAACTCCTAGCATAGGAAGAAACAAGGGGTCACATTACACAGCAAAGATGCACAAAGCTACATGACACCATCCCTATGTCTTTAAACGTTGCAATAAAACAAAGATGTAGGGATGACGTCATGTACCTTTGCGCATCTTGTGCTGTGTAATGACCCCTTGTTTATTACTTTTTGGTGCTTCAAGCCATCCCTATATCCCCTCATTTTGAAGAAAAGATTTTTCCACTTGTAGAATAGCAATTACGTTCAGACTACAATGATAGCTCTGGGGGACAAAGAATGAAGGCTCATTTGTACGCCTGGCAAATCTCGGGTAAAATGGCGCAGACTGCCAAGTTGCTCCTCGTGCAAATCAACAGCAAAACGCAAGCTAGCCAGTTAGAAATGTGTTTACTGACTTACAGAAGGCACTGGAGGATGTGAGTTCCTCTGCAGGCATCCTGGCTTAGTCTCGTGAACCTGGTTTACGACCGAGGCTAGTAATGCACACACCACATTGGAAACGCCCTCCTCGGCGCATGCGGCTCACTGATGCTGAATTAGTAGCAAATTGCATTGTTCAGTGACTACCGAGGAAGAGCTCAATGATCTACCGTAGTGACTTGCGGCAAGAAAGAAACGATCGTCCCCATACTGCTCCTGCAACTAGAATCGGAAACATTCCTTCAGTGCGATGCTGGCGGATGCAATGGGAAGGAGATCCCACGCAACTTGAAACCACAGGCCCTGCCAGACGGCGCCACATCCCCATGAGCCTGACGCATCCGACCAGAGGTGCACATCCGTACACCTCTCCCGGACTGGTCTCAGGATAGACGCCCTGTTCCAGTGCCAACTGAACGAGACCCACTATTCTAGCTCCGCCTGGCTTTCGCTGTTTAGCTTGACTTTGCCTTGAACTTCTGCGTCTGTGGCAGCAAGTGCTCGCGTGCTGCATGATGCAGACCAGGGACTCCATCCCCCAGCAAGCGGCCCAAGCATCTCGTGTGCCACTCAGCGAGGAGAGACTGGGGCCTTTCAAGTTTTTCGGCAGGTAGCCGAAGCACCATGACCTGCGTATCAAACTTGAAAGAACGAAAAAAAAACCTAAGTTCTCGCACACTTGCTGTAAGCACAGCAAGCCCCTTTCGCACTTTACGCTGCCAGGCAGGCCAAGGAGGACGAAGTCATCGATGTAATGGAAAAAATGATCGAACCTGGACTCCTTCACCGCCAACTCGATAGCATCTGCGGCTGCAGAGAAGAACAGCGGCGGCCGAGCGAAAACCGAACGGTAATCCACGTAAAACTCGGTCCTCCACTGCATCCTGCCATCAGAGAGCCCCTTTCCGAGCGAGAAAGAGGCCTAGGATTACAAACTTCTTCGGGAATTATCACACCCGAAGGTGGAAAGGCAACATGCTACGCATGATCTACTGACCCCGTTTGGACCACTTCGGATACTAGTGCCTGCTTATATGCCCCCGCTCGGCATGCATCCACAATAATACAATGTCCATGTATGCAACAAGGGTGATGGTAGAGCCCATGGGCGACGTTCACCGTCCACTGGCTTGTTGCAGCCGGCTCCCTTCACTTTTCTGCTGGCTTATTGGGCAGAAAGGTGCATGTTTTAGCGCAACCAGATCCCCGCACATGTGGCGAAACCTGCACCGAAGCCTGAAGCTGCTGACGCTGCTAGAGTTGAACAAGGCGCACACGTCTGAGGCCAAGGTGCGCCTCCGTTTTAGGCCCGACGACCCCGACTGCGACGACAGTCCTCATTTCCTGACCGGGCAGTTCGCTGGCAGATGCTGCGTGCTATCACATACATGGCAACATTCAACTGACTTTGCTCGTCCAGCAAAAAACCTCGTGTACAGGTCGACATCCACCTGGACCACTCTCTATTCCCAGTCGCTGCGGCGGCCACTCGAAAATGGGTATCATAAGCCCTCCACTATAGCCCGTCATATTGCTGAGCAGCCTTCATGATTGTTACAGGTATGCCAACAGCTCATTTACCAGCTCCGAGAATTTTCTGAGCAACGCAGCGACGACCACCGTGTACGCTTTTGTCCACTCGATCTGCTACCGTTTCAGGTGTCGATCATCTGATCGTGGACGGACTGCGGAGGCACGAGCTCTGTCAGATCCCACTGCTGTATTCTTGATTTTGGCACTGTCGGCAGACACCCGGTCGCTCGTCAGCGTTTCGCCTGGCCGATGTTCCCCGACACAGCATTCAAAACCACCATACACGCTGTAGCTGTGTCGGAGATGTACGCTATAGCCGTGTCGAAGATGCCAGCCGCTGACACAACTGTCGGGGAGGGGCCGTCCGACAAGCATGCCGCGGCCCCGCTCGAGGCTGTAGCCGCTGGTGGGATGGTTGTTCCAGACGCCGCTACTGGCAGTGCGGGAGCTGATGCAGGTATGCCGCCCAGGGGTTGCATCCGATGTGGCCGGGGCCAACACTGTGGAACGCTGCTCGCAACTGGCCATACACACACCGCCAACTGCCGTACAAACTAGCCCCAGGAAGGCAACATGCTACCCTAAACGGTTCACAGTAGTCCAAGAAACAGCCTGGGGGTTTTTCTGGCTGTACGATAAGGTAGTGTATGTGACAAACGGCATCGTGTCAAAACCCGTGATATAGCTGCAAAATATACTTGTGCATCCACAGAAATATCACTATTAACCCTTAGCAAGCCACAGACATATTATAAATATGATGTCAAGAGCATCCATAAACCCATAACAATTTCTATGGGGTTATATATGTTATACATCAGTTTCTGCTTATTTACGGAGATAGCCATGGCATGGCGTCCAAAGGGTTAGGCTAGGGAGCTGCAACTGTAGGTGTGTGCCAGATGACCTTGTTTACTGTTATCAGACTTTATAGCTACCTTTCACCTGGTTTTTCTGTAATGCCTCCTTGAACCAGTCAGAAGCTTCATAGATTTGTTCCCGGTCTCTAGCCATGCATCCCAGTCTAAGATAACAGTCAACATAACTGGGGTGTTCCTGAGAAAATGTAACAGAAAGCGAAGGCAAGTGTGGCTGTGGACACACATGCATGTAACTGTAATACATGTTCACTCGATCACTACATTAAATAGGGACAAAGTACTGTACACATACTAAGCACGTACATAACTTGAGTATATACTCACTAAGATTCACATTCCAACAAACCTTCAGTATAATTTTGTAATAATTCTCAGCAGCCTCAAATTCACTAATGGCTTCATGCAGGCGGCCCATGTTGTAAGAAGTAGTGACTGCCAGACCATTATAGTAAGTCTCATCCTGTATAGACTCCTGCTTGCACCGTTCCAGAGCCTGCTCATAGTATGACTGCACAAATGAACACAAGAAAAACACACATAGAATGTGTTACCTTTTATTGTCTAGACTCACATAACTGACAAGAGGCATTCTGTAAACACCTAGTAAATATACTAACTTTTGCTTCTTGAAAGTGTTCAAGTTTGAAGTGCAAGGCTCCAATATTGTTGAGAATCTCTGGAGGAATGTCAACTCCAACTGTGTCTGTCAGAATGGAAGATGCCTTCTCATATGCTTGTAAAGCTCCCTGTATAAACATAGGTGGATCAGGTAGCATTCTTTCTCACACTAATCCCCTTACTATTAACTTTAATGCTACTACATAATTCCCGATTCTTTGTAGAAACAGCCATCAGTCTAAACATGTGGCACCCAAAAAGGCCTACTACAGCAAAATTATGTAGTAGCAGGGAATTTTTATCCTTTCTCATTAGCAAGTTCATTAAAACCTTATCCATGGAAGAAAAGGTGAGCATACGTAAGCAAACTCGAAAAGATATATTTTCTGTGGGTTTCTGGTGGGCTTGAACTTTCAGACTGACAAAAAATGATCCTGCTGCATGAGGTAGAACGGTACAATAATGTACACATAATATACCTACGTATACGTATATCACAGCACAGGAAAAAAACTGTGCACAATTCGTAAGCTTCATTATACTGGTTAATAGCAAATGTGTTGCGATACAGAAGTATCATGGAAGAGTTCTAATGATATGCACTGCCTACAAATCTACTTGCTGCTACATCTAAATCTTACATGGCCCTAATAGGCCTGGGCTTACAGTAGGATGAAGAACGCTAGTGCACATAATGGCGAGGAACTGTTCTGTAAAGTAACATTCTGCTATACTACAGTCATGCTGTGCACATCAGATACATGCTGTGCACATCAGATACATGCAACAATCTCAATCTTAAGGGCAGCTCCATATACAAAAAGTCTCGTTAAAGCTTTGGAATCAAATGCCGTTTCACACTACAGAGCATGGTTGGAAACTTCTTCCGCCCTTCTTGCAGCTCATAAGCTTCTGGTATAATAACAAAACTCTTGAGTTAAAGATCTCACAAAAGCCACTACTACATATCTCTTGAGGGACCCTCAGGTGTTCGTGTGCTCATGTGGACTGTAGCTTCTGTAGTTAGAAAAGACCCATAAAACCTACGGTAATATTATTCTCCTCAAGAATGCCAGCAAGCTCAATCCAAGCTTCCACATCATCAGGAAACTGTTCTGTAACCTTCTTCAAGTAACCCTATAGAGAATAGGTAAAAACATTCTCCTGGTAAGAGAGAAGGACCTAACCTTTGCACTTTCCCTCTTTTGTGGCTCTGGAGATGTTGCATATATCGAGCCTAGTATTTTCATTGTTTCATAGTTTCCAGGTTGCACGGCCAACACTTTTTCAAAGCATTGAGAAGCATTATCTAGATCTCTGGGTATATAACGCAAAGATTTACTACCACACTAATAGTATAAAATTGTATACTGTCAAGTTTTTGAACATGTCCTATATTAACATTAATATCTACATGAGCTCAGGTTATTAACCCTCGGCGCCCATGCGCAGCGAGGGTTACGGTACTTGCGCATGCTATCTACTACCGCAGTTCACCGAGGGTTTGCACTTTATTGCAGAAAAAATATAGAAGTTGTGGATGCATCCATGCATACATGCACAATAACATTATGTGCATTGTAAGGTGTTAGTTTGAAAACAACTGAAGCCAAAAATAACTGCATGTCCTATGTTGAAAGCCAATGTGCAAATTACTCAACACTTGGTTACATAAACACCTTGGGCGGCTTCTGCTTGTTTTTTCATGCAATGGAGGAAAACGAGTATGGATTCCTGTGATTCAGAACATTTTCTACTGATCTACCCCGTATTCTATGAGCGCGAGAAACCATGAGAAGAAACTTGGTACACATATGCATATTACCAAGACGACCACATACTGTTTGAACAACAAATAGCCTCATGCTTGAAAATACCACCAAAAAAGTGAGCAACCAACACCGCTACGGAGTCCAAATCAGAGGCAACAATATTATGCCCCTTTCGTTAATTCGCAGGATTGTTTATTAACCTGTTGCCTATTGGACTTTTTCCTACTATATACATCACAACTGTTCAGCAGCTTCATCTACCCACAGTGGACTTCAAAAATTTCAATGAGGGTATTATATACGTAGCTCTATGTATGCAAATGTATATACAATATACCTTCTTGCAATGTACATTTGTCCCAGTCCGAAGTGTGGAAGCACATATCCTGGTGCAGCAAACTGTGTGGCCTGGTAGTAGTACTGGAATGCCTGGTCATAATCTTCCTGGAAACAACACCATGTGATGTCCTACTAAAACATGTGTTTTGCTGGGGTAACATTATTTTGCTGGCCACAGAATAGAATGCTCGTAGCGCTGCTTTGTCCGCTACGCAAAAGAGATGAAAAGCCTAGCGATACTAGCTGGCTAGGCCCTTAACACTGCCCTTAACACTGCCAACACTCAGAACACTATAATACAAGGGCTCTCGGGTTTCTTAACGTGCGTAGATTACAACAGACGAGAAGCCTAACTCATTGCAATTCACGTGCAATGTGTGTTCGGGTTGCGTGGGAAAACAGGGCAGTTAGTAAACATGATGCGATATTAAACACGCACTTATATGCGAGTGTGTACTTATCTGATTTTCTATACGTACAACACGTGTATTTTTTATTCAACAAATTGGATGTACGTTGTAAATTGCATCACCAGAGCTAGTTCCTTTGAATGCAGGTGAACCTTTGTACTGAGTATGACGTTGGGTAGCCTTAAACAACATTCTCTGATTTTGTTTAGATCATGCTTTGGGAATTATTTTCATGCTGGAGAATTCGAGCGGAAAAGCCAATATCACTATATATAGGTTACACTATGCCCACGAGACGGTTTAGTGTATGCACTAAACCGTCCAGTGGGTGTAGTGTAACCAATTTGTACCACAGGAATGCGCACTAAGACAACTTATTAGTATGCATGCCATGGTGTATATACACCACATGTGGAGTGTATGGCTGAGTCAGCACACCATAAACCATGGCATGCATACTAATGAGTTGTCTTAGTGCGCATACACTGCGTGCGGTGCCTTTGATTTCTAGGGCTTCTGTGGTACAAGGTAGTATACACGTACAAACAAGCTTTAAATTTGTTTGATGAACTTTTATTATGGTGGTGTATCAGTATACACAGTTTCACCATTAGGGGACAAAGCATAAGCAAGTTATAGGAAATAGGCCAAAACATACGTTACAGGCAAAAACACCTTTAATTGTGTATGCATCAGTGAGTACGTATACGTATATACGTGTAACTCCTCCACCATAAATAGCTATAGCTCTGACGTGTAGTTTAGAGAAGAATGATACTCTCTGCTCTAGACAAAGCAAAAAGCAAGACAGTGGAATACTATCCACAGGGAAGATATTAAATGCCCACTTAGTTGAGGTAGCGTTGTATGGAGTTTATAGGGATCTCGTTTTGGACTAGGGTACCGGTCTTTTGAGAGAATATGCAAGACATTAGACAAGTCTCGCTGTACAGAGGTCATACATACTTGTACATGAAATGCTCTGGCTAGCTGATAGCAGCTTTCAGCCTGCATCGCTTCAACATCTGTCCCATGGAATGCATGTAAGGCGAGATGCTGAACTTTGTTGTAGTCCTGCAATCACAACAAAGTTAACTACAGCATACTTTTCTTAAAATCTAGCAAACCTTCTTAAAAAAGAAGTGATCAGCAAGGTGGTTCAGAACCATAGGGCTGGATGAATCAATAGTGTATGCCTTTGACAGCAGCTCGACTCCTTTCTTGATGGAGTCATGCTAAATACGAAGAGATTACAAACTTCACTCTAATAGTTATGTCCATTTGTATAAAGTAGCAATATGCCTTGGCAGACAAAGACATACAACTGGTATCAAAATTGGTGTAATGCAGTTTTGTGTGCTTTGCTGTGTAACCAACCCTTAATCGTCATCCTGTCTCTGTGGATTTGCCAGTAGTCTTCAGTTAAACCTTCATGGTACTAGCGTTTTGTATGTATAGTACGGGTTTGGGGTCGTACGTAAGAGTCAGCTGTCTATGCCAACAACTTTGCTAATCATCAGGCGAAAAAAGTGGCCTTTTGTATGTGGCTCGTCAGTTTTTTTATTTTGCTGTCGGTGGTATTATGCCGTGTTTGTGTGGAAAACAGCTTGGCGTGATCGAAGGTTGAAGACAAGTAGCCAGTGTTTGTGTGAGTGTGATTAAATCAAAAGGAAACTTAAGCGTTTCTTGCTATGGCTTACATGTTTGCTGTTGAGTTCTAAAATTGACATCCCAACTAATGCTCCAACGCAACGGGGCTCAAGTTCCAAACATCGCTGGAAAGCCATCCTTTCATGAAAATAGTAATACTAAGTGTCAAACAATACAAAATGAGTATATATAACTAACCTGGCCTTTTGTATATTCCCTAACTTCACAAAACACAAGCCAATTCCAAGTCTTACAGCTCCTACACAGTAATAATAAAGCTGTCTAAGAGTGCACATGAAAACAACAAGTCAATATGTAGAGAATATGTGTCATTTGGCAATTAAAGTTGAAAAGATTAGATTGTGATTTTCAATTAATGACACAAGTAGGCACATTGTAGGGACTGTAGTTGTAGGAGATGCAGCTGCATACAATTCTGGTCCCTATAACTTGCTTTCATTCATCCTAAATTACACTCTATAAACTGAACATGTTTGTTTCCTGCAGCTGCAGACCATCGCGTCACATGGATAGTTGACTTTACAGACCTTAAGCTCTAAATTGTTTATAAGGCACATGATCACTTCAGCATTTTCTTGCCACGCACTGTTGCAAGAACAATTCACGTGCTTTTGTAATTGACCAATGAATGTACAATTACAGAGTGATTTCTATGCGGATAAAATCGTCAGTTGAGAAATAAATCATTAACCCTTATTTTCAGCCTGGTTCCAGGTTTTCCTTTGATCTTCTGAAGTGTTTACTCAAGCTAGATCCACTGCAGACAATTAGCTACAATGCACGTACCTGGACACAGTGCAAGTACAGTGCATGTATCTGATACTTGCATTGTTCACATGGACCACAGGCTTTACAAAACAACCCGATTATAGCAATCTGGCTGGTATACACACACGAAGCCCAAGAGCACGTAATCCCCCAATGGGGTGTTATAACTAATACATATGGACTCTCAAACACAACACAATTTTGCCAACTCTTTAACATACTTACATACATACAAAGGGCAGTGAACTCTACATACCAGGACAGTTAGGATTGGTCCTTAGGGCCTTCTTATAAAAAACAAGAGCTCCTTTGTAGTCCTTTTTGTTAAAGGCAATGCAGGCTTTTCCAATCAGGGCCGGAATCTTTTCTGGTGACTATACAAGAGAAAATTAGGTACTACAGTAAATAGCTGTACCATGAAGAAGAGCTTCTTAAGAATTCCTGTTGTACGAGAAACACGCAAACACAATAAAGGGGGTTACTTATAACATTTTTAAAAGGCTGCTAATGCCACCATGTGAACACTTTTTCACACGTTGACTGTCATTATAATTTCTGCATTCTATTGCCTAGTTCTGGAACTTTGCCACCAGTTAAACTTCATGGGTTGAATTCTACTACTACAAAATAATAATGCCTCATTAATATTTTCATAAGTTCAGGTCCCATGCGCTCCTATAGGAATGGAAAACTGCGCATTAAAAAAGGAGTCGTGCATGCACCCACACAGGTGTGCAATTGCGTTGCACGTGTTCTACGGTGTTAGTTTGATAAACCAAAAATTCCTGCATGTCTATTCAATTACCCTTGCATTGAAAAAAAAAATAGGGATAGCATAAACGAGGCATGTTTACATACACGCACTGCAGGGAAAAAGTATTCTACGTATACATATATACCAGCTGGAAAAATCTGACAAAACTTTATGATTCCTGTCCACCCGTAAAAAAACTAAGCACTTCACCTGTTGCAAAACGAAGGAGAACTGTGCATCTGCTTGATCCATTTTATCTCCTTCCAGTAAGCAGAAATAGGCTCGTCCAAGGAGGTGGTTGATGTCATACATGATAATCTTGTCAGCAGTGGTGTACAGGACTGTTGCCTGAACATATCAAATCACATTTTACATTATTAACAAGGTTGCTACAATGTTGCAATTCTTGGGGCCCTGTTTTAGTACAAATGTATATAAGTTGGCATTTACCAGACTACGTCCCATGGTTTTACTCCTTGTTAATTGGTGAACAGGACAGGCAAAATGTATTGGCGAGTAAAGCAAGCCCACCTGTGTACATAGTCGTTTGAATGAAGGATTTTTCAATATGTTGTGACTCGCACTGCACTTACTGTAATGTTCAACAGTATGTGATTCTAAATACGGCCGAAACACGCAAAAATAATTTCTAATTCGCGACAACTGCCCATGCACAATATGGCCATATCTTAAAAAGAGAAAAATCAGACTGTTGTTATGACTGCAGCATGTACTGTTTAAGTGAACGGTTACTTCTTTTGGTTTTCATGAGTTTCCAGAATATTGGCGATACAGAGTTACATACAAGGGTTTTATGGACCAATAGATAGGCATAAACAATCAAACTGTAGCCGTTTGCTTCACACACGCACCAAAGGTTAACGCTTTCGGAGGGTTCAAATAGAGTGCAACATTGCCTCAAACAGTACCAATGATAAGAGCCATGAAACATGTGCAAGTGTATTTGAATTGAGTGGGTTCTGCTTATCTGCATACAAATAACGGACAGGTTCGGCACTACACACACTTCATAACATCATGTACAGTCTACATATGTACAAAGAGTATCTGACCTGGGTAAAGTAGTCTTTACGCTTCTCCCGACGTTTCTCTTGACGAGCTTGTTGTACATAATAGGCTGCCAATGTATCCAGGGCCATCATTTGGTCTTTTTCACTGTCAGGGTAACCTGTATCTGAATCTAAAGTACATAGTAAGCTGGTAGAGGATTTGCACCAACGACTTATCTCTGGAATGTTACATACCCGGAAAAGCCATTAAAGAAAGCATCAGAGGTGGTCAGCAATAATCATTATTCATAACTACGTGGTGACGTTTAGCCTCTGTGGTTTGGACATGGCTACTGAACTCATGGAGGCCCCAGTTCGTTTGGCCAGTGAAGAAAAGTTTATGCGAATCGATCACGGTAAACAAAGAGTTTGGATCCTTCACAAGTGATCCTAACGTAGAGGACATGCAAAAAGGGCTTGGTTGGAGGAGCAATGATGATGCCAAACGTGGTACTTTTCCACCGTGTGTGAAAAGTGGTCGAGCGTATCAGGATTATTGTGAAAACCACATCTGCCAAACATTTCTGGTCTAAGGAACATACGCATTTTGCCTCATATGTTTCCCTTTGTTTCAATAATCTCCATTCTAAAACCATGCGTGCTTAAATCTGTTCGATAACCATGCTCCATCCATACCTTGCCTACCTATAAATCACAGGATTTTTCATCTGTGAAAGGGACAAGCCCTCTAAAACTACCCCGTGGCTATTTAATGAAAGATGTAATATGCATTTTGGAATTCTTAGGCTTTGCTTTTACGCCTCATTAATGTATTAATTACTAAAAGTGCAAACCCTTGGCAAACTGCGCATGCGTGGTCTGCTAATTGATGGGCTGGGCTATTAGTATGCGTTTACTCATGGTCTGCTGCTGGTACATAGCTCGCGGGGAATCTGACACAGGCTAGCTACAGTAGTAGATAGTATGTGGGAGTCCCTTCAAGATACACAGAGCGAGCGGTCCAGGTCGAGGTAAGCCTGTGCTAATTAGCATATTGGCACTTGGTTTTCACGCCATAACTTTAGAACGCAGTACTTTCAGGAAAATTGCCATTTTAAAAATGAAGCCAGTGTAACGGTGTAACTTTTTGGCCGGTTTGTTGCGTGCAGAAAACGTGGTAACAGACTGACAGACAGACACAGACAGACAAACAGACCAATTACCGTAACCCTCGCTGCGCATGCGTGCCGAGGGTTAATGAATTCGGGTCCCTATGGGAGTGGTAAAATGCATATTAAATAGAAGTCATGCAGGCATTCACGCACATGTGCGCAATTGCGTTGCATGCATTCTACGGTGTCTACGAGACAAATATATTCATACATGTTCTGTTCCACGTGCTGTAGCCCCCCGCCTACTGTTTCTGGCTGAAAGCTCACTCGAATCTCTCATCTGTCGCGCCTTCACACTCATTCGAATTTCAGTCGCCTGTAAACGGGCACTGCGCATATGCGGATTTTTCAGCGAAGGTGCAACAAATACCCCGGACCGATATCCGTTGAAATCTAAAAAATTGCCGACTTATACTACATTTCCACGTGCACAATAACAAACGTCATCCAGCATATATATGTAAGTCGCAGCAAGCATCATGTGACAAATCATCCACACTTCCCTCCGTTTTTTACTCCGAGAAGACCTAAAATTACATTGTAAATGCATTTTTTGGGTTTCAGAGAAACACACCCACAAAATAAAATTTACTGGAAATGCGAGAGTGGGTCACGTGATAATAAAATTATATGTATACACAAAATGAACTACCAGCAAATTTATAAAATGTAGCAAAATATGTACCTGTACGAGATGCTTCTAAGAGTCTCAAGAACTCCTCATGTTTATTCTGCTTGAAAGTAATGCAGCTGTGAAAGGTGAAAGGCAACACTGCTTCATTTTGTAAATTACCTTAATTAAATGCAGGTAATACAAAAGTATTTGGCAAGCAGAATGGAAAGCAGAAGCGAGCCACCATAGTCGTTGCAACGGGAAATTTCTGTCGTTTATAGCGAGTAATGCGATACGGCAACCATTGATGTAACACAAACATACGTCAGAGTGAGGAGATGCAACCCTTATCTGGATGCCACAAAAACCTCCTATTCCTAAAATGGTTTAGACTGAACCGATTACACGCTGCACACACACAAATTTGCACGCCCTGGCAGTGCTGTTGTTACGTATAAGCAACATTCGTACCAGTTTAGAGCCAAAGCGCTGCCGCTGCACGGTCCCGCAATCTATAGCGACAATCTTTTCTACAAGCCTAGCACTAAAGTTCAGCTGGCAACCAGTGCACTTTGTACGTTAAACTTCAATAAAATAATGGACAAAGCGGACCTTTTTGGTTTATAAACGCGGCTGAAACCTAAAACGCCCTACGGCGTCCGCACGCATAAATTTTACGACATATAATCGGATAATGCAATGTGTTCAGCTATCATAAGGGTAATCTAAGAGCAGATTCAGGGTACAAATTCAGGGTATAGGGAGAAACTGTAACGGACTGATTACACGACCCTTAAGGGCCTATCAAGCCTCTGACTACACAGACAACATTTTGCACATCTGGATAGGAATTAGAAGAAACTAAAATGTTATCTAGACTCAACAAGGAACACAGCACCCTACAATTACATTAGTGACAAATGTATTGATTTTCTAGATACGAACCTCATAAGGGGGGATATAGCCAAGCACCTAGTTAAGTGAAAAGTACAAAAGTGCAAACCATTGGCACACTGCGCATGTGCGGTACCACTAATTGATGGGTTTGGCCAAGAGTATGCACTACTCGTGGTCTCCATGCTAGTAGCTCGCGGAGAGTCTGGTTACAGTAGTAGATAGCATGCAGGAGTTGATACACGCCATTCGTTGTGACTTGTTGAGCCTCCAAGCAGAGCGAGCGGAACAGGTCCAGGAAGCACGCTATTATGCATATTGGCTTTTTCGCATGTTTTCATGGCATATCTCTCAAACACAGTCGTTTCAGGAAAATCGCCGTTATATTTCAGGCTCTGAAGCTGCCGGTATTGCTAATAGGCGGCCTCGTGGCCTGTAGTGCCAGAGTAAGCGTTGACACACAGACAAACCAAGTACTGTAACCCTCCTTGCGCATGTTAATGAGCACTAACTTCCACTAGAGCTCTAAGGACAACTTACCGCACGCACAATGGGGTATTATGTTCATTTAAAATGAATCAGAAAGTGAGGGTGTTTCAAGGGGTGGCAAAAAGATTCACACACCTGAATACTTGGTGCCAGTGCACTGGCACCAAAATTTATCCTGGTGTCAACTGAACAGAGTTAAAATCATGGTGTTGAAAGTGTTAAAAAGTGTACAAATACATAGTGCATGGAATGGACAAAATACTCAGTGTAGCAAAAGAGAAAAGGGAAGTCATCTACAGATCTGCTCCAATCCAACAGCCATTCAATGTAGTGTCCGTCATTGCTGTACGTAGCTCGTTCTTGACAAAATTCATGGCACTAAATCCACGTTCGCATTCACAGGTGTCAGGGGCAATAGTCAGGACTAGAATTGCTTGCCTTGAAAGCTCCTTGTACTCAGGGAAGTTGGAAAAGAGATCGCACCAAAAACCAACATAGTCATCACTTTCGTCCCCTGCTGCGCAATTCTAGTAGATGGCCCCGTACATGGACATGCGGCACAGGCTGCGCTGAGCTAGTAAGACTCCACCCATTCAATCTGTGTGCGCATGCGCGTGCTGCGCGTAGGAACGTTAGCCAATTTTAGTTCGAGGATCGCCAGAGGACCTTTGTTATCGCCAAATTTGGCGAAAAAGCGACAGATATTCACCCCTGCCTAACGCGCATGTGCACGGGGTAAAGACAAAAATCTCCTTCAATGCCTAAAAACCAATCCCAGACGTGTCTCCAAAGGATCAGATTCTTACTCTCCTATGTTCAAACCAAGTCGACTGTCAGTGTACCCCCTCAGAGGTTTGCAGACGACTTTTTGTCCTTGTTTGTAACTACTTATCCTCACCGCCAAAGCCACCCAGGTGTGTAGTGGGGCACGTTCATCACGTAAGATGGAAATCACCTCGTCACCTTCGGGAAGCTGATCAATATCCAATTCAATTACCTGTGTATAGGTAGTTAACTTACATAGATCATCGTCTATACGTATACACCAACCTCATCTGTATCCCTGAGGGGAATCTCTATTGAGGAAGAGGTCGCCATGCCTTTGGCGCGACTCACAACTACTATATGTACTGCACGTGGGCAGGGCGTACTAAAGTTCAAAGTTCGTGGTTCATGTTCAATGGCCCGCCCTGGAGTGTAATTTTACGCATGCGCACGAGGTATGGGCGAGGTTTGGGGAGTCGGATAACTCTCCCAACTTCTCCCCGGCCCTGTCATGGCCCAGACTCATAGTCAGTCTCGGGAGTCCTCTAGCTCCGTAGTACTAGTTACGGGGTTCGGTCCCTTCCACCATCATACTGTTAACGCCAGCTGGGCTGCAGTGCAGGAACTACAGAGAATAGGCGTTCGTGATGCAGATTCCGACGGCGTTACCCTGGCCATAAGAGAGGTATAATAAGTAGTCGGGTGTAGAGGTTTATGATGCAGTAGCGACCTCCTCGATTTCTCCCCCAGATCCCAGTAGCCTACGAAACGGTACAGCAAACCATCCCGAAGTTGCTGAATGAATTGACACCAAGACTGTGCGTTCATGTAGGCGTTTCTCCGTACAACTCTGTGGTGTTAGAAAAATATGGCAAAAATTCGGAGTATTTGATGATTGACATCCATGGCAAGAGACCTAAGGGGCAATGCTGTGTACCAGGTGGTCCAGAATGTCTACAGACTAAATTTAATTTACATAAAATTGTGGATAAGGTGTCTCGGAGACAAAGCGATGTTGAGTTCGTTGTGTCTTCTGATGCTGGCCGCTACCTCTGTGATTTTATATACTACACATCATTGCATGTGAACAGCACACCTGTTCTCTTTGTTCATGTGACTGAGTTGGAGAAACCCTACTCTGTGCACCAGTTGGCAGAAGCACTGAAGAATATTATAGAAGTGCTACTAGAGGAGATGGGAAACTATGCAGCTTGAATGGATCTTGTGTTGCCAAACTGACATGAGAAATTTTCATGTTATAGAACAGTTGCGAAATATGTATAAACATACAAAACAGTCACTGTTTATGGCAAAAGAAGCGCATCTTACAATCAGACCCACATGTCATGAATGCTGGAGAGGTAGGACTATGAGCCAACCAAAGGATTGTTGATATATGACCTACATATTAGGAAGGAGAAAGAAAAAATGTCAGGGGTGAGAGACAGGATAGGGACAAGTAAATTAAAATCCTGCGAATAAAAAAAAAAAGGCATATCCCTTTCGGTCACAAAATGTTGTAAATTTACACACTTCTAGAAAAGTCAACAAAACTAGCACGATTGTGAACTTCGACCCGGTAGGCGGCGGCATGGCAGCACTATCTCATAAAAACCACCCACGCATCCTCAGAAGTAGTCAGTCGGCACTTGGATGTAGCGGTCGGAGCTTTGATGTTGCTTTCAACTATCCTTTCAGTACTTTAATACACTACTACATATATCTCTGCGACAGTAGGCAAGCCCCCTATACAAATTAATTGCCGAGTGGAAGCGAGTGGTATGAACGGCACAATTCCTATATTACGTCCCTATGTCGTTCAACTGTGCATGCGTTTGAATTACGCGCTTCTTTTATCCGAAATGATTTCAAAATCTTTACCAGCTGATCCTTGATGGGCGATCTAGCCAGCGAGATTGCAGAAAGGGTTTGCCATTCAGGTGCTGTTCACATGCAATGATGTGTAGTACCTGGGGAGTTTGTTCAGATTGTGCATGTCACAAACAACCACTGGTGTGTGGTGTCCACGAGAACTCTCATCTATTTGGCGGCCGTGCTCTTCGGTTCCTGACTGAGGCTGTATATACCTCTTCCAATCTTCGTCCTTCCAAGGTGCAAGTTGTAAATAGGCTAGGGTGGCTCGTGCAGATACAGTCATTGTGCGCTCGCTCCGGCTCTCCAAAAATGCCCTTTATTCGCTTACTAGTTTAGAGAAAAATTTTTTACAAACATGTGGTCATCATGGAAAGGATGTAATACACATGTGTACCAAGTTTCATCTCCGTGCACGCTACTATTGACTTAATTTTGAGGAGCGAAGAAGTAAATTTAGAGAATAATGCCTGAAGTTATTTTTTGTTGTTGTTTAAACAAAGTGTGGTCGCATGCATACCAAGTTTCATCTGGGTGCTATCATTAACACGTTTTAGGAGTGAAGAAGTAATTTGAAGAAGTGCCTGAGGCTATTTGTTGTGTGGTCGTCATTGAAACAATGTAATATGCATGCGGACTAAGTTTCATCTCTGTGCGTGGTAGCGTCAACAAATTTGAGGAGTGAAGAAGTAAAATTGCCTGAGGCTATTTGTTACAATCATGTGGGTCACCATGTACGTAGTTGTCATTGTAACGATGTTACACGCATGCGTACCAAGTTTTATATCAATGCTTGGGACTTTTGGCAAGTTAGAGGAGTGAAGAAGTAACTCACTTGTTTCCTCCTCTTATAGTTATAACAGGGCAGTAAGGGTGGCATGCGAATTATACGCCCAATGCAGGAATGCAATTAGTACCTGAAGGCATAGCCTAAGATTCTTATAGTATTCCTGCACGAGGGTGCATACCCGCAAGCCACTTGCAACCGGCCTGGTATAACTGGTTTGTAGCCCTGTAAAACCAGTTTGAGTGCGGTTACATAGAAAGGGTTTTGGCAGGTTTACTTCAGAATTCTGGTGCATCAAGGAAGACTGAAGTGTTTCGCAAAGGTGTCGTGGCTTGGGAAAGAAGGGAAACTTCTGTCCCCTGTGAGGATTATTGCTTCCAGGGAGGTAAGCCCAGGCTAGAGAGAAGCTGTGCGGACCGTGGAGATATTTTCGCCTCTAGTAGCGTACCTCGTGGTTGGCTGTGGCAGCCTGGCTGGAACATCATAGAACTTGCTAATACACGATTGTACTGTTCCCGCGGCATTTTTGTGGGTAACGGCAGTCATGGCACTGACTGCTTCAAGCGCTGGGTTTGATGTCTTACTATGCTCTGTGTACTGGGCCACCATGACGTACAGAACTTCAAAACCAGCATCGAAGAACAGTCTGTTTTCATGTATATATTTCAGTTCAAAATGGTTATTAGGTTATAATATACAATGATATTCATTGCTAATACACCCATTGCCATGGGTATTAACTGCTAATACACCTGTTACTACAGTAATTAATCAAAAGCACTGAAGTGCAAACCCTCGGCACGGTACCGCTAATGGATGGGCTGGGGCGATTGGCGTTTACTCGCGGTCTCCCGCTAGTAGCTTGCGGAGAGTCAGACACTGGCTAGCTACAGTAGTAGATAGCATGCGGGAGTCGATACACACCCTTCGCTGTGGCTTCTTGTGCCTCCAAGGTACAGAGAGCAAGCGGATCAGGTCGAAGTGAGCCAGCATAATATCGCGTCTAATGCACGCATGCGCACCGCTTATTGATGGGTTGGGCCACGCAACGCTGTCCGCGACCGTGTCAGTTTGTCGCTCTCGAACGCAGTCGTTTCAGCAAAATCGCCATTTTATTTTTCTAGCCCATGTACCGCTAAAGCTGTTGGTATCGCCCATAAGCCGCCTCGTAGCCTGTAGTGCGAGAATAGTCGTAGACAGACACTACAGTAACCCTCGCTGCGCATGCGCGCCGAGGGTTAATGATATTAATGCCTGATCACAGGGCGTATTAGCAATCAATTACTGTTTTATAATGAAAAGCACTAAAGTGAAAACTCTCAGCGATGGACGATACCGCTAATTGATGTGCTGGGCCTATTATTATGCATTTACTCGTGGTCACACTTACAAACCAACCAAGTACTCTAACACTAGCTGCGCACACGCGCAGAGGGTTAATAATAAACCTTAGGTCGTAGCCAATAACTTGCTGTGATGTATGTTGGATGAGCTGCTTTTTAAGTGGTTGCCTTACCACAAGTGATACATGGACATGACAACGACATGTTGTCCAATGATTCTCACAACGTTTACATGGGACCTTGTGTGTGTGTGTGGAAACATATGTAACAACACAGGAATCCAACACTGGTTCGGCTATCTTCAGTGTGTCGGCTTAAGCTGCGGCTGTACTTGTAAAAAATGTGTGGGAGATTCTCGCAAAAAGTTGCCCAGTGTCCTTGGGAAGTAATCTATCACTCTGAAATACAGGTCTTCCCTTAAAAGGCAGCCACAATAAAGCACTGCAAGAAAACTGCTGCTTGTATAATTGATTGACCAAAATGGATGAAGTATAATAGTTGCAAAGAGACAGCAAAAACTGAGCAGAATGTACATACAAGCAAGAGAAAGAGAGAGCACAAATACTAGAGAGTGAAGAAATTCAGAAGAGAGAAAATAGGCTCATACATCTTTCAAGATTTCAGTAATCGAAGGCTTCTGTACTAATGGTTGCATGTCATAGTTGATAGGGGTGTGCTGCACAAGTATTCTTCACGAGTATTCTTCATTTGTTTTATTTCTGTAACGTGTCTAAGTGATATGTGTAACGTATCACTTAAAAGATTTGTTGGAAATAACTGCATTGTGCATTTTGTTTTGCACTTTCCTTGAGTTTACACCCTGTAGTTAGTGGTAGTGGGTTTTCCTTTGCCTTGTTAACCCTCAGCGCGCATGCACTCCAAGGGTTACGGTGCTTGGTTCGTGAGTGTGTCTGTCTGTCTGTCTGTTACCACGTTTTCTGCCACCACTCGCAAAAAATCGGCTAAATTGCAACGGGTTCAGAGCTACACTGGCTTGATTGTTAAAAAGGCAATTTTCATTAAAAAAATACTGCATTCTAAAGTTATGGTGCAAAGACCAAGTGAACAAGCCAATATGCTAGGCTTACCACGCCCGGGTCCAATTGCACTGTTTTTTGAAGGTACAACAAAGAGCGTGTATCACTCCCACATGCTATCTTAATACTACTGTAGCTAGCCCGTATCAGACTCTCCACGGGCTACTAGCAGGAGACCACGAGTAACCACATACTAATAGCCCAGTCCATCAATTAGCGGTACCTTTTTAAAGTCGTGCCTGTTGTGCTGTGTATTTAAGCTGTGCCTAGTTGCTCCATGGACAGACAACTGTCTCAGAGAAAAAGTAACCTTTAATACTGAATCTCCAAATAAACAACCTTACTACCATGGTAAACAAAATTAATGATATCATGTAGGTGTATAATACAAAACAGCTCCAAAATACCTGAAACTACAGGTGCTAGTAACTGTGAGGACCGTGAGTTCCAGTTGAGGACTAGCTGTTGCATCTTTTCTTCTTGCATCAACACTGCAAATTTATCCGAAATGTATGTAAATCACGTAATATGTATGCACCAACACAGGTCTCAGGCACCTAAGCATGCTGGCACCTACGTAGCTGGCTAACTGTGCCAAAAGGAATGTGTCAGTAAGTAAAAGCTAAATTTAGTACCAAACATATAACTACAACAATGGGGCCCAGTGCAAGAATGCAATTAGGTTTCAATTTTTAGTAAAAATTTAGCCCTTATATACTGCCGAATTCCCTTTAGCGAGTCAATGGCAACACATGAGGGCCCTAAACGTGTAATAAACATTAGAAAATTCATTCACACCATAGTCTTCAGTGTGATTGAAGACAGCACATGGTCTGTAAGGAAGCAGCTTAACACTTGATGGCTGGTAGGTATTCAGTGGTCGGGCTAGAATAAAGGAGATCAAATAATTATGTCAATCATTGTCTTTCTGACAGCAAGGTGGAATTTGCTTGCTGACTAAACATACATACACACAACAGTTTCATGCAATACATTTTATGCACGTAGAAGTCCAAAAAGAAAGACTTCGAACAGCTGTGATAAAACATTATGCTACTCCTTAAGTTTTAAAACCAATTTTGACCTCTTGGTTGTCATCAAAACTTAGAACTATTATTTACGCAACAGCATAATAAAGACAGGAACAATTAAAAATTAAAAGGGGAAAAATAGAGAAGGGATTGTAAAGGAGTTTAAAAAAAGTAAGATAAGTATAATATAAAAGTAAAAGTAGAAAGACTTTTATCATGTCAGTTAGCAGATAAAGCACAGAGAGTACACATGAGGCAGTTAAGATTGGTGAACAAACTTAGGAGATCCAAGCTTAAAGCCATAGAGCCAGCCACAGGCATAGAAAAGTAACTCTTGGACGTTCAAGGGATGACCAATATTAACACTGCTTTATACCTAGCTTAAGAATGTTGAACCTTGCAGTTACACTCTGGATGCTTTAAGATGTTTGTGATGAATTTTGTCCAATACAAATACTAAGCATAATTCCATATAAACTCCAAAGTTAACTAAAGTACACATGGCACCTGAAGTGAGTTCCCACAGGTGAGCACTGCCATCCTTACCACTAGACAATATGTACTGGAAATTAAAATGTGAAGGAAGAATGATACGATAACTAAACACACTTGCATGCTTTGGGAGATCGGTGTCATAATTCTAGGCCATGTTATTTTCCTGAGTTCACCTTATTTTTTGCAGCAGACACTCTTTGTTCTGCACTGTCGCTACTTTTATGGCGCTATTATTCTGATGTCGCTACTTTTCTGTCGCTATTTTATTGGTAGCTACTCACTCTGTCGTGTGCGGCCACCACACCTCCAGCCCTAACTCCACCTCTTGCTTGAAGATGGACTCATCCAGGTTATTTGGACTTTACTTAGCGACATAAATAGCGACAGAAAAGTAGTGACATCAGAAAAAGAAAATTAGCGCCTTAAAAGCGGCGACAGTGCAAAAATAGCCAAATGAAAATAGCGTCTGCTACAAAACAATAAGGTGCCCGCATAAAAATAACAGCTGTGAAAAATGGCCCACAATTATGACACTGATCTCCCTTCATATTTATCACATATTGAGTTTCAGATTATTAGGCATAACCACATCATTCTCTGCTTTTGACCATCTGCCTGTATGATGGGAAGTGGGAAGAACAAAAAATTATCTATGGTCGGTCAGTCATTCGCCTAGAAGACATATTTAGGGATAGTAGGAAAAAACCTCTGTCAGAAGTCAAACTCTGGCCCAGTGTACTGCGGGGAAATGCACTAAGCACTGAGTCACAGCTACCAGACAAAGCTGGTGCTTCCCTTTCCCTCTAAGTTTGTGTAGTATTCCGCTAACAGTACAAAAGACATGCGTCGAAGATTCGCACTTCAATGCTTAACTTCACCACACCTTTGCATTCCTTGAGAGCTTTACTGATGAAACCTATTTGACAAAAATGGTGAATATTAACACAAAGTTATAGTGATGACAAACCAAGTGTATGTAACAGAGTAAAACAGCGAACTGCGCATGTGCGATACCGCGAATTTGATGGGCTGGGCTATTAGTTTACTCGTGGTCTCCCGCTGGTAGCTCGCGGAAAGTCTGACACAGGCTAGTTACAGTAGCAGATAGCATGCGGGAGTCGATACACGACCTTCGTTGTGACTTCTTGTGCCTTCAAGATACAGCGAACCCGCACAAGGTAAGACTGTTCTAATTAGCATATTGGCTTTTTCGCTCATGTTTCACACCGTAACTCTCGAACGCAGCAGTTTCAGAGAAACCCCTACATACTTTTCGACCTATACCCGACGGTGAATACCTGGTATTGTTTGTGGAGCGATTCATGGCTCGTGAAGTGAGATGTTAGGTAACGGACAGACAGACACGACAACTACTGTAACACTCGCTGTGCATGCACACCGAGGGCTAATTATAGACATTGATGATGAAATGTCCTAGTATGTATCATAAACAGGATTGCATTAGCGTACATTGCACAACAACAATATCGGTCAAAAGCAGTACCATTTGTCCACTGTGAGCATTGTGAAACGTGGACACACATCTATTGCTGATACCATCCCAGACCTATAAATGCAATGTGGAATAAAAGAGACAAACACAGGGGACTAATTACATACTGCAGCCTATAGCTATAAATGCACATTTGCGGTAAAGAAGTAAAAACAGGCAGATATAACCAGCACACACCTTGATAGAGCCATCTTTACTGCATGTAGCATACAATCTTCCATCCAGTGAATAGTGTAAAGCTGTCACAGGACCTAATATGTAACAAGTATCACCGAACATCAACCACTCTTTGGGGGAAGAGGAGCAAGAAACACACACTCATGGATTCTGAAAATCACTATATTAGGACCAGTGCTACCAGGTTATTTGCGGATTCATTTAGGGACAAAACTTCCAAAACTTTCATACTAAGAAATTGCCCAAGGTAAATGGCCCTACATAGCAAGAGAGCTAGATTAAGAATACACATGCCAAATATAAATCCGACTTCACTTGCTATACTACACAACAATTATTATTATTGTGCAAGAATCTAAGACTGACATGATGCACATACATAACACCACCGACAGAATGGCATGACACCTACCCTAGAGCAGCACGGCTAAAAGTGCACAGCTGAAATGTACTCTTCTGGGCTATTTACCCATGAGTTGCAACAAGCAATGTTCTACGCAATCCATATTGGTATACATAGAGAAAGGCATTCAACAATGGACTAACACTGACTTTCCTGCTAAACATATTTTAGGTAGGTGATGAAGCTGATAAATATGACCCCCACATCTTTCTTATACACCTACAAAATGGTAACTATGATCACCAACATACCTGCATGCTGATCTCTGGCATCTGATGATACAAAGCATTGCTGGGTTGTCATGTCATATAGTCTCACTGCATGTTCATAATACAGCTAAAACATTTATTAACCCTCGGCACGCATGCACAGCGAGGGTTACTGCAGTTGGGTCTGTCTGTCTCTCTGTCTGTCGATGCTCCAACCCACTTATCGATGGTTTATTCGTCCCACAAACGATACGACGTAATAAACGGGTAATAAGAATCAGTTTAATCGAACGGTTTTCTCTGAATATGCTCCGTTGCAAAGCTAGAGCGCTTCCACCATTGTACGGCTAATGCGTAGTCAGCCATTTTTATCGCTGCGGAAAATGCGCATGCGCTTATAGCTTGAACAGGCGACCGGGCCGCTTGGTCTGTGTATCTCAAAGGCATAAGAAGTCACAACAAAGAGCGTGTATCACTCCCGCATGCTATCTACTACTGTAGCTAGTCCGTGTCAGACTCTCCGCGAGCTACTAGCGTGGATACCACGAGTAAACGCATACTAAAAGCCCAGCCCATCAATTAATGGTACCGCGCGTGCGCAGTTCGCCGAGGGTTTGCACTTCAGTGCTTTTCATTCTTGTTATGTATTTGATTGACGACTGAGAGTAAGATCAAAGGAATTCCAGGTGTGCGTTAAAAATAAGGCACTTTTGAAAGCGTTTGTGGAATCTCATTGGTCCAGGGCCTTACCGCCGGATGTCTTCATACAAACACGTTACACATGATGGCTTTGGCTTGTGGTCTACTGGTTCACATTGTATAACCGATACATAAAGCAATTTCTATACGCAGTGACCCAAAGCGCAAACAGTGGAACCTCAGATAACGTACTTAACTCACACTGAGTGCTGTACGTATTTACTTAGTTCCGAGCTAACTGTATGACATCTGACAAATCTGATTATGGAATCTATTCTTCATGTACTGTATGTATCTGGGCTGCCAGTTTGCTCCAATTAAAAATACTGCGAATTTAAAAAGAGGGATGAGTATTAAAAAAATTAAGAAAGGGAGACAGAGATGGATACAAGAAGCATGGTTAACGAGCAGAGGTGAGCATGCTGACACCCCCGACCCCATCACAAAATCCCTATAATTGTTGCGTGGTTAAGACAATAGTCAGGACCATAGCTTGAAACTACAAAAAAGGCATGCTGCTGAGTAACAAACACTGTTTTAGAGTCATAATTGAGTTTAAGAGTGGCACGCCAGGCACCAATGTAAAGATTGTGGGATTGAGTCAGGGGTGTCAGCTTGCTCAAAATCACCATGCTTTACGTATTCGTCAAACAGTCTCCGTATCTTGCCTCCCTTTCTTTTTATACCATCCCTATATGCCTATTTTTTAAATTCGCAGGATTATAGAATTTACTTGTCTCCGCTCATTTGTATACACTACTACGTGAAAGGGGGTCGTCATGGAAACGAGTTTCATTTCCGTGCGTGCTACCGTTAACTAGTTTGCGGAGTGAAGAAGTAATTTTAAAGGGCCAGAGGCTATTTGTTGTTGTTCAAACAATATGTGGTCACCATGGAAATATGTAGTTGTCGTGGAAATGATGTAACACGCATCTATGCGTGCTACTGTTTGCAAGTTTGAGGAGTAAAGAAGTAAATAATTAATAATAATAATAATAATAATAATAAATGCCCTAAGGCTATTCAAACAACAATTGTAGTACCCACATAATGACCCGTACTTTATGAATAAGAATCTACTTTGTTATACTTGCATCATAACTCACACGTGCTCTGCTCAGTTCCAACAATCATAAAGTCTCCTGATGGGTGAAAACTTATGCAACGAATTGGGGCGACTTCTTGCACCACCTGGTAAGCTCGCTTGGCAGATGGTTTCGAATAGTCAAACAGTCTAATGGAGCAGTCTTTACTTCCTGAGGCCAGTATGGACACAGTTGGATGAAAGTCCATTGTGGTAACTCCCTGCAAGCACACAATTATTGTATATACCTAATGCTGGAATAACCGGATGTTAGGAAGTGATATTCGAAATGTGATTGCTCACTAACAGTTACAAGTGTTTCTCCTTATCTTGACCATTACTCACTAGCCAGTGAGCACCGGCTTACCTCGGCCAGCTCTGCATACCTTGGAGGCACCAGAAGTTGCAACGCAGGACGAGTATCGACTCCCGCGTGCTATCTAGCAGTGTAGCAAGCCTGTGACCGACTCTCAGCGAGCTGGTAAGCGACCACGAGTCAGTAAAACGGTAAAATTGGACCAGCCCACCAATTAACAGTGCCGCGCATGCGTACGGTGTAGCGTGTACGTCATCCGCATCTACACCTTGCATGGGACAAGGCTGCGTAGAAAAGCATTGCAGGTGACCTGCTGAAGCACAGCCTGCCAAGTAAAAATGTAATATTCTGTCCCCCCACACCATTCAGACATGAGGGTGAGCAAGGATCTACCATTGCTAACCTACTGGTGTAGCCAGCCCATGATGACATGTAGCAGCTTAGTAGTATGAAATTATAGTTCATAGCATACCAGCCATATGTACATGCACAGGTCAAAAAAGTAAACTATACGGTAACGGTACTACCTATGCGTTACCGCTACGTACCCTTCACGTACCCTTCACGTACCCTTCACGTACTGCGGAAGTACCTACAAAGTACCCGTGAAAAACAAAGCGCGCAAACTCCGCATTATTTCGCGGTGGTTTACTACGCGTTGTTACACGCTACTACGCACGCCGTGGGCGTGTCATTACGCGGTTAAGCGTAAACAAGTGCGGTCGCACCCCCAAGTATTTACACTCTGGAGCGCTGTTCCGCACAAACGTGGGTGTGTCAGTACGCGGTTATGCGCGAACGAGCGTTTGCTGAAAAACTTCGCGAAATACCGCGAGCGTAGAGTGTACGCCGGCGATTGCGGGTGGATCACGCCGTCGCGCGTTATAACGCGCGAACGTTAAGTCTGCGTATATTGGAGTGACTTCCCGCTTGAGTGCGTAAAAGCGCAACCGTTGCCGTCTGTGCGCGCTTTTACACACATTATTTTACACGGGTACCTTTGAAGGTACCGTGAAAGTTCGGTGAAGTATCCTACCACGGAACCGCACACGAGGCGTGAGGTATCGTTGAAGTAAGCTTCACAAGTAGTACTGCGAAAACAGGGAAATGGCAGATTTTCGTCTTGTACGGTAGTAGCGCTAGCAGTGCTACACTTACTACCCAATAGGCCAAGAATAACACGGGCGAGCCACGATCCTCCCGTCGTTCGCTCTCTTGGCGGTCAGTCTCGCGCGATGGTGGTGGGGGCGTGGCATCTACTGTCAGCATGGCAGCTGGCATGCCTAGTGGCCGAGCTCTGCTAACGAGCCATCACTCGCGGCACGATCCGGATCTAGGCTGCTCTACTGCCCCATGGCCGTCATGACAGAGCTCTGGAGATAGCGCCTATGCCGCGGCGGGGTGGGCCACGTGTTCCCGCGACGTTCACTGCGTCCGCCGCAGCTACTTGGCTGCATGGTAGTGCGTAATGCGCGGGCTTTGCCGTGAAGTGTATATATATACCTCTGCCGTTACTTGGGTACCCTTCGCCGTACCTTTCTGCACCGCAGAAGTGCCTATAAAGTACCTATAAAGTACCGACGAACTACCATCGAAGTACCTCGCGCGTAACTGCTATTATTCCTCAGAAGTACTGCTACCTTTTACCCTACCGCTACCGCTACTGTTGTTTACTTTTTTACTCATACTGTATTAAGCATGTGTGTACAAATTAATCACACCACTGCGCCGAGGGTTAGCACTTCAGTGCCTTTCATTACAGTCGAATAAGCGTCTAACTATTTCAGAGTGAGCGCTTCACGTTGAGCACTCTGGCATTCCTGTTCGTTCATATGGCGGAGCGCTCCTAACGATGACTCGATGGAGACAGGCTCAGAGCACCAGAAAATGCAGCGCAAGGGCAAAACGCAAGGTAATGACTCCGCTTTCTTTCCCTGCGCGCATGGTCTGTGTGTGCGCGTGGACGTGTCAAAGTAGATTTAGTTGTTTACATGTACATTTTGTTATGTTTTCCTGTTTTATTCTGGAGGTTTTGTAGTTTTTTGTAGGTGTACTACATGTAGTAAACCCTGTCAAGGTTTACTATGGGACCGCCACCACGTGTCTCTTCCACTTCGCTCTTCTTGCACTGCATTTTCTGGCGCTCTGAGCCTGCCTCCATTGAGTCATCGCTAGAAGCGCTCCGCCATACGGAAAGCCACAGCACTCAACGTGAAGCGCTCACTCTAAAATAGTTAGACGCTGATTCCTCAGTAACTACACGTCGGTAGAAAGCCTCATGCCCTGGGATAGTGCCCTCGCTGCGCTTGGGGGGCACAATGCCGGGGCTCTCGGCTTTCTACTGCGCGTAGTTACTTCGAATCAGCATCTAACTATTAATATTACCGTGCTTATCCCAACAATACTAAGTACTACGGTAGTTAGTGATAAGGATAATGATTAAATAATTGTGCTTACAGGATTCCTTACCCCTGCGTGATCATAAAAGCTGCGGATGACTGGGTGAACATCAGTATGATGCCCTTGAGCACTACGTGAGAACACAGCTTCAACATCCACCATCTACACAGATTAAACACAATCGAAAAGGACCAACTGCAAACACTTGGAGTCTTGCACGCGCAGAGTGGCGCCAACATAAAACTGACAATGCAAACGTTGCTTATTCAATTAGTCCACACTGTTGACGAAGTTAGTCTCCGACTCTAACATGGGATTGCCGCATCATCGGGTTTCACGGCAGCGCTAGTAGTCTGGATTCTTGTCCGTCATGGGGAAATCCACGATAATGAAACCAGACAGTTTTGGCATGAATTTCAAGAGGTCAAGAGGTCATGATACCAGACTACATGCTGCACTCACCTTTATAGAAAAATCGGCAGATCCTGATGCAGCTAACTTTCCGTCATGACTGAAGGCAGCAGTGAGGCATGGTCCCTTGTGAGAAGTTACATAGTTCACCTGATGTTTGCTTAAACTAGGAGCAGACACCGCAGCTACAAAAAATTTAAGAAAAGTACAGAAAAGTACAGCAAATCATGAACCTTATAATGGCTACTGTTGCAGGTGCATTGATTCCCCACTACGACGCACAGTAGAAAGCAGAGGGCACAAGTATTATGGCTCCCCAAGCATTTTAGCGAAGCAAAGTAAAGCAACAACGCAAGTGCCTGAGGGCTTCTAACGCGTGTAGATTTTAACAGACGAGATGTTTAGTAATTAACGCACACTTGTTTTTCCTAGGGTGCGGGTCGCACAAGAAACCGCGCCGTGGGAACTTAGTAAACACGAGGCGAAGTACTACGAGATTTAGTAAACACATTTTCAGGTATGCGTGCGTACTAAGTTTACTACACATAATAGGAAACCCTGTCGACCCTTAGCTCTGCAATCTGATTGGTCAATTCAAACCTAGAACAGGCTTGTATTCACTCCAACTCACCAAAAATTCTCTGCATCTACCTACTTGTATTAAGCATGGATGTCAGGGGTCTTTGTTGCGAAACACACCAGCCTGTTAGTTAACAAACCCTGTGTTCCACACAGAGGAATTTGTAGGTTACTTCTGCTTTGTACAATGAGCCCTGCCAGCATCTAACCCAACGCAGCTCTATTTTCCTTGGAAAAAAGTGTTGTCCTGGGTTACGTTGACTTGTTTGGTGAACAAGTTGATACACAACATAATGAGTGAGGTATGCAAGCGAAACCCAGCACAACCCTTTTCCAAGGAAAACATCTGACCTCTTACCATCACTTTCGTATTCCAAATCAATAGCTCCTTGACTTCTGACCTGAGGCACGTCGGCCATCATTCCACCACCAGATGCTGTAAATAAACATTACCATGAGGAAACACAGGCATTAACGTTTGAACGATATTTAGAACAAGACTTGGTAATTTATACCTTTCATTGTGTAAGTACCAGAATTAAATGGCATTATAAAGGATTACTAAAAACAACTTTCCGTACTGGGCCATATAGTGTTAATCGTCAGCGTGCACGCGCACGCGCAGCAAAGGTTACAGTACTTGTTGTGTGTGTCCGTCCGTTAGTCTGTCTGTCAGTCCGTTACTCGACATCTCATTTCACGAGCCATGAATTGCTCCACAAACAATATAACACATTCAGCGTTGGATATAGGTCGAAAAACGTGTAGGCTTTTCTCAGAAATTGCTGCGTTCTGGAGTTATGGCATGAAACACGAGAGAAAAAGGCAATATGCTAATTATAACAGGCTTACCTCGAGCAGGTCCGCTTGCTCTGTGTATCTTGAAGGCACAAAAAGTCAAAACGAAAGACGTGTAATGACTCCTCCATGCTATCTACTACTCCAGCTAGCATGTAGCACAAGCCTGTGTCAGACTCTCCGCGAGCTACTAGCAGGAGAGGACGAGTAAATGCATACTAATAGCCCAGCCCATCAATTAGCGGTACCGTGCATGCGCAGTTCGCCGAGGGTTTGCATTTTAGTGCTAGTTTTGTAACGCTCTAAATTAATCCGTTGTGTCTTTCAAATTCAAGTTGGTATCTTTTAAACTGTTGCACACAATAACAAAGAGAATAAGGGTTACAGTCTGGTTGTAATATTAGTATGCAGCCCACCAAAATTTCAGGTTGCCAAAGTGCGACGGGTCAACTGCTACTATAGAGCAGGAATAACACAGATATGTGGCATTGCATGTGCTGTGCACACATGTTTGTTACCCCTAAATTACTTTAATGCAGTTTGTGTACACCGATTGAGCACTGCACAAAACATTCTCTAAAACTTGCAGTCTATCTAGACTCGTATACCTTTCGATACAGCAGCTAACAGTGGAACACCTCACTAACAACATGCCTAAACTGAGGATATCTGTCCACTAGGACAACATGGACCCCTTCTTCTGTCCCTACTTGTGTGTGGATCAGAGGGTCAACTGTAGTTGCAAGCCAATGGAAACAGCTATGTTGGCATCACATTGTACATGTACACACAAGCCTTAATCACCAAACCCATACATACAATTTTCAGCTGCATTTGGTGATGTACTTTGTACTGATTTCTGATCCTGGTCCGCATACTCACAATGAGGATCTATAGCTGGCTTTGAGAATAGCTCACAAATTCCATAGTGTACAAGTAAATTCAAAATCCTGCGAATTTATAGAGGCATATAAGGATGGTATAAAAAGGAGACAAGATAGGGATGGGATACATGAAGCATGGTTAATGAACAGATTTGGCCACAGTGACACCCCCAACCCCACCACACAATCCCTACATTGTTTCCTGGTGTGCTACTCTTAATGTGGCATGATATAAGGGCTAAAGGTTACTAAAAGCAAGCATTCTTTCACTGTGCCCCGTTGTTTTTAGTAACATATTTACTTTTAAGCTGCCACATTCACTTTAATTACACTCCAGTTGGACTCTATAATGGAGTTGGTTACTCAGTAGCATGACTTTGTTTATTGTAAGTTCTGAGTATTGTAATGGTGAATGTTTAATACTTCACCTAGGCAACAATATAGGGATTGTGTGGTGGGGTTGGGGGTGTCAGCGTGCTCAAATCTGTTCATTAACCATGCTTCATGTATCCCATCACTATCTTGTCTCCATTTCTTTTTATACCATGCATATGCCTCTTTTTTAAATTCGCAGGATTTTTAATTTACCACACTACCACACTCAGTGTAAAAGGCCTAGATATCTGGGCCGGAGAATTGGAGTGATATTGAAAAACTTCCGTGGCTCTCAAACAATGAAGCATTCATCTAAAATGAGCTCAGAGTATGGCCAATAGTTTTTCCAACCTTCTCCTTCAGTTTGCACTCCAAGTTGAAAAAGATGAGCCAATCTGGAAGAAGGGGATGGTGGTGGAAACGAAGACACGGCATGAGCCAGAGTAGATGCTGCTGTCTCATAGCCATCATACCGCAGCTGACTGTAAGGACAAAACCACTTATTGTATAAACTGTCAATTTGAACTTTAGTTTGCGATATCAAACCGCGTGCCACCTAAAGAACGTGATCATCAAAAGAGGTTAATTTGTCAGAATTGGATCGAGTCATAGGCTCCCTCCAGCTCCGCAAAATTCAATTAGCGGGTAAAGAGAATGTGCCGCCGGATGCCGACCCCTAAGTTTATCGCCAAGTTTGATAACTTGATTGTACTACATGCTGCAGCTCAGTTATTACTATCACTCGTATAACTATTGTATGCCGAGTGGCACAGATTGTCTAGTATTCCCTGTTATCCCACTAAGAGCAAGTTGTAAAGGGTGGCTCATCGGAAAAGAATTTGTAGGTGGGTAGATCTGACTCAAAAATGTGTTACTGATGAGTTGAGGCTTCTATGCTCTCTGGACATAACTAATAAAGTAACAAAATGTGTTGTTTGCACCAGAGTCGGTGAAACTTGATAGACCAACGTTTCGAGTCCTCTCAGGTCCCTTCATGAATGAGGGTAAAAGACTGAACTACACAACCAAATGACTGCTAGCCTCATTATGAAAAACAGTTGACGGAGATGACTACATAGGCATAGGAATTCCATTACACCTCAAGTAGTGTAGCACACATGCGTGATGTCTCAAGTCCATCATCTCTGTTCATCAGAGAGGCTCCACTGGATCTCCTAATATGGCAGGCTGCTGAATCAGCAAATTTTACTGAGTCTTGTAGCGTTGCGAAATGCTTCCAACCTCTGCTCCTTACACTAGTGCGTCGATTTTCATATTGCTGCGGACCCCTACTATAGAGTTACTATTATGCAAGTTGAAGAATTGACATTCATTATGGCATTCAAGGCACACCAAATTATTCATGTAGACGCACAGCAATGCTCATTAGCAAAGTACCTTACAATCAGTCTATAAAGTACATCTCTTTCCTTTACGGTGTTGGCCCCCCTTTTCGTATCTCGACGGTCCACTTGCATGTCGCTTCCGCACGTGTTCGTTCCCCGAGCGCATGCGCACGTAACTCCCGTAGACATAAAATGTACGCACGAAATGTCACCTGGACTACTAGGAAGTGAAGCCTCCCGGGATATATTCTACGTTCTAAGGTGTTATGAAAGATGCTCTAGCTCCTAGCCCTAGCTTTTTAACTAGGTCCTAGCCCTTGCCCTAGGGCAAGATTTTAGCCCCTAGGTCCTAGCTACTAGCCCTAGAAGATTGGTTTTGCCCTTAGGCCTAGCCTTGTAGCCCTAGAACAGGTTTTTGCCACAGAATATTATTGTTTGCCCTAGCAACAAGCATTCTAGCCCTAGAGCAATTGTTTTGCCCTAGCTAGAACAATTTTGTTCTATTTCAAGGCCAACTTCCAGTTTTTTGTCCTATTGTGTTTTTTTTGTTGAGGCAGTGTTATTGTTGCAGAGGTGTTGAGTTTCCTCTCGAGTATTGCAATTCTAATGACATTGCCTTGCATTACTGGAGTAGATACTGCTTCCTTGGCATAATTATCAGCATTGCATGTCTTTGAGTAAATTTTGGGCACTGGAGAAATCTCTATAGGTATGTAGATAATCAGTGCATTGAAACTAGTGGTGGAGAACTAGTGTGCTATTTAGAGGAAAAGTTTCAGTATATACTAAACATGAACAGGGATAGATTCCATGACAATGGGTGTGGTGTCTGCAGCCTGAGGCTGTGCAAGACCACCTGTTTTGCAGTTTCACCAGTTATATACATGCACTGAAGTGATTAAAATTTCAATCATTGTATGTTTTTTTATCGCTTGAACACATTCACTATGTAAGCCACGGTCATAGGTTAAAACCCTTTCGTCACAAAATGTTGTAAATTTACACACTTCCAGAAACGTCAACAAACTAGCACGATTGTGAAGTTTGACTCGGTAGGCGGCGGCACTATCTCGTAAAAACCACCCACACATCCTCAGAAGTAGTCAGTCGGCACTTGGATGTAGCGGTCGGAGCTTTGATGTTGCTTTAATCTACCCTTTCAGTAGTCTAAAAAAATAGCAACAAGGTCCAGATTGAGTGAGACAGGTCATTAATTTCTGAGCAGACTGAAAGGCAGGCACAGGGGCTGTGTGTAGGTCTGTAAAACGGCAGAAAGAAAGATCGCCACAGCACGCGTGCGCGGGATGAAAGAGGGTGTGTAGATTTGGGCAGAATGCCACATGCATGCAGGAGAGTTGTTGGGCTCATAAGCCGAATTCGTGACTGAAAGAGTTTTAAACAGTGTATACTGCATAAAAATAACAAAAACACCAGTGCAGGGCTACAAGAAATATCATTGCTTTGTTGTTGTCTTGGCAGTTCCAATGTGACATTGGTTAACTTTTGAAGCAAACCTCAATGAACTGAGTGTTTCCTGCACACCAAGATCGTTAAAATACAGGAACTATATATTTTTTATAAATTTACCTGCACTGCCGAAGGCTGCGGGGAGATATTGACAAACATGAGTGTCTTGCTGTTCCCACCCAAAGAGTTTTGTAGCAGATACGTTAGTTTAGAGTTACGGTATGGAATATGCTGCTCCTATAAAATAAAAAAAACACACAATTAACATACACCAACTTAGTGGAGAACCTGGTGAAACTTCCCCTCTCAAAAATACCCCCCCCACTCCTGAACTGTAAATCTTCACAAATCGTCATAATTATAGAGTATGCCCAAATTTCTCCTGTGGCCAAGAGCATCACTGCAGCTGTCAGGGTAGCTAAACTCTACCCAAGTGATTTATTAAAAGTACACAGTTGTATGCCAATAGACCTGTATTGCTTAAACCCCAACCCCAACCCCCACCACCATAAGTACGTAATAGCATGGGTGGGACATAATTGTGGGTTGTACCTGATTGGCAAGAGCCATAATAACATTTCCTAAATTGCTCAGACTCTTGTTGATACTCTGCGTCTCTTTGAGCCTCTCACTTGCACTTCCGTTACTTACCAGTCTTTCAGAACCAGCGAGGTCAACCAGGTTCAATGTACCTGTAGTTTGACAAATTGCTAAAAACAAAGCATATGAAATACTGCAACCCACCATGACAAGTCTCCAGGGTTTTGCTATTAGTGCCTGACAGAGTGAGTCGAAATACACAGTGGCTACGAGAGGAACGTTCATTAGACTCTGTTGCAGCCACTGCTCTACGCTTGGCTGCAGTGTCTAAAAGACAGGAAACCTAAACAAACAAATCAATTGGCTCATATACACAATTTGGCACTGATATAGTGAATTATTCACTACAAACAAACAAACCTGCTGTTCAGATGTAATAAGAACAGGAGTGATGTTTGTGACATACACTTCACCCTCATTCTTTGGATCGATTCTAATTTCATGTTTCAGGTCCCTTTTCCCAGCAGCAGAGCAGGTCATGTAGTGTTTCATTGTATATTTCAATGAAAGAGGCTTCCATTTTGTACTGCAAAAGAAAGAGTCTCTATCCTTTAAAACACAAAACCTTTTGTCAACTCACAACCCATCCTTTCTCATTGAGGTCCCGTGAGGAGGTGAAAACCTGCTGCAGGGCCCTAGGGATCATGCCTTGAGTGTGCTCATCTGCATTAACAGGTCCTTCCATTGTGTATGTCTTTCCTGACCCCGTCTGAGAGGAAGCACAACACTCACAAATGAAAAGCACTAAAGTGAAAACCCTTGGCATACTACATAGCTCGTAAGCATTGGACCCCAACGACAGAACCGGTAATTGGTGGGGTTGGGCTGCACTATCGTGGTAACTCGCTACAGTTTAACACCGGCTAATATGACTAGTACATCACGAGTAAACATCACGAGACTCGCAACTGGCGGAATGCAGTTGAGGCAAGCGACTCATATTGGCTTGTTCAGTTGGTTTTCATGCCATAATTTTTGAATGCAGTCGTTTTATAAAATCACCAAATCTAAAATCAAGCCAGTGTAGCTACTGAATCCGTTTTGCCTTGCGTGAGGGTGCAGAAAACCAGATAACAGACAGACAGACAGACGGACGGAAGAACATAAACACACACTCGCTGTAACCCTCGCTGCACATGCGCGCCGAGGGTTAATTAGAGGTATATAATGACAACTTGTAATACACTCTCATGATACTGTTACTATACTTGTGCACATACGTACATACTATTTCACGGCAAAAACACTGCTGTTAGTCAATAACATTATGCTGATACATATGTCTTTAAATGGTACAGCTTGATTCGCTGGCCTTTTTATTGGCGAGTGGGAGCGAGCCAACGCAACAGACCAATTTTCCATTAATTTTTTACTTTCTAGCCGGCGATGCCACAAATACATGTTCTACATGACTGCATAACCGCCAGCCCCAATGCAATATTAGCGTATGCTTCGCATGCTAGTTGACACCAACGCACATCGTGACGGATCCCAGCACATCTCCACATCAGAGCTTGCACTAGGGAGCCCCTCGCTTCAGAAAAGCTAAGCAGCACAAGACAGAACTCGCGGGAGGCAGCGTCTAGTTGAGGACAGCATACGGCCTTGCACGCAGGAGAGGCACACCTCCAGCAGCGGAGGACAGCTACATATGCGACAAACTATAATCCTCCATGTGCATGCTCACCAATTGTTGTATAGCTGCAGTTGTGCCACTCCCGCTCACCAAAAATGCTTAGTAGCTAACTCACGATACATGAAACTTACTTGTCCATAAGCAAATATGCACACATTGTAACCATCCAAGGCGCTCTGAACCAACTGCGATATCTCACTGAATACAGCTTCCTGACTGCAATCCGGACCAAACACACGATCAAATTCAAACTCATACTGTTGGGTACGTGTGCTTCTCTTACTGGTATGGCCATCCTGTCAGTAACATCAAAGAGAGTACTATACAGAAGCTAGTAACAGACTTACTACTTTGTGAGGAGAGAAATGGATGGAGATTTTTCTGCATTCTTTTTCTTTGTCAGGAAATTCTATGAGGAAACTCCCCCTGTCTCCTTTTATGACAGGCTGTGACCCAACACTACAAAACAAGTCCTTTTTTCGTAGCAGATGATTCATAATAAATAAAAAAAACATTTACCTGGTGCAACAAATTGAGGTTGTGTCTGTACTTGCCGTACTGCCATCAAGTGCACTGTTATTGAGCTCACAATGCAGCAAAGGACGCATACGACAAAATACCCGAATATTACCTACAAAAACACACATCAAGCTATACATATATAACTAAGGCTACCAAATAATATACCCTTGAGTTCTTGTATTGTGTTATGGAGTTTACGTCTGGTACTCTCATTCTCCCTGATCTCTTTATGGCACTGCAACAGAGAGCTTCGGAGCTTCTCTATCTCCTTTTCCAGATCAGCAATTCTTTCACTTTTACACTGGCTTTCCTGCAATTCTTTGTCTCTAGACAGCTATAAAGGAAACACAGCTTGAGACATCATAGAATATTATGTACAGTTACATGCTTGTTACAAAGTTTACCTTCATAGCCTCCAACTGGGAGTGTGCAACAGTTGCATTAGTCACCATTTGAGACACATTCAATTTCAGGGTACTGATTTCTTGACATGCTCCTGTCAGATTAGTTTCAGCATCATTATAAGCTCTCTGCAACGAGGCCTAAAAAGACACCAGTTTTGTGGTCAAGGATTAGAGGAATATTACTTTAAAACATTTTTAGTGAATTATGCCAATGCTTTTGACATATGTACACATTGTATATCCTACGTACCTTTGACATCTTCGCTAGTTCAAGGTTATGCTCACTCTCAGTTAGGAGCCTTCTGGTCTCCGAAAGCTGCTCCAGTATATTCTAAACAAAACACACAATTAAAAAGCACTGGAGAGCAAACCTTAGAAAAGAGCAATGTTTCTGCAGCTATAGCTATGCGATGTAGTTTAACAGAAAGAAAGGGGAGTCACTATCGCACATCTTCTCGCACTCCGAGCCTGCCTCCATCGAGTCATCGTTATAAGAGAACGAACAGGTAAGCCAGAGAGTGTCCAACGTTGCGCGCTCACTCTAAAATAGTTATAGACGTCGATTCGACGGTAATTGCACGCTGGTAGAAAGCCTCGTGCACCGGGGGTAACGCCATCGCTGCGCTCGGTGCGCCACAATGCCTCGGCTCTCGCGCTCGGCTTTCTACTGCGCGTAGTTACCTCGAATCAGCACCTAACAATCATTTAACAGCAGACATGCGCAACAGTACGAGTCGTAACCCGCATGCGCACAGGCATGCGCTTGCTTGGTCTTGACAGCATGGCAGTGTGCACTAATCAGCCCGTGAGCAAGACCGTAGTTCGCCTGTGGTGCTATTTTAACCCAACCCACCAACCGCACCAGGCGCCACAATCATATTTGTACATGATGTGACATCCAAACATGAAGCATGCAGGGGGACACACCTGAGTTTCGGCTAGGCACCCGTCAAAACAGGGCTCACTCGCACTTCCCCCATTGATGTTTATGCCGGGGGTGTCCGGACAAAGCTCGTACAGCCGCGAGGGTCCATGACGGCTGGGTCACGTGCGGGAACGTGGCATTACGGAGTGCCCCTGCCCCAGTCACATGCCCAGCCACGGAAGGTGACATATTAGTGGGTAGTGTGTGGATCCCGTGAGCAGTTTGGACACGCTCAGCACACACCACGCCCAAGCATACAGGGACACCCCGCTATGTCTGGCTCCTTCAATCAGTACACGGGGCGGACTAGAGTTGAAGCAAAGCAATGCATTTTCCTGCAGCAATATTTGCAGCAACAAGGAGCAAAACTATTCACTTTGATGGACACATCGTGAACATTTAGATCACCGTGGGCTTCCACACAAAATGGCCGACTCAGCCAAGGCGAACAAAACACGCACTAAATCTTCATGTAAGCAGTTAAATCGCTTTTATCTTTTTTGCACACGTTATAGCATGAGATACGAGATTTAGCACTGCGACTGACGGACAGACTTACAAACCAAGTACTGTAACCATCGCTGTGCATGCACTATAACCCTCAGCACACATGCACAGCGAGGGTTACAGTAGTTAGTTTGTCTGTCTGTGTATGTGTGTCGACACTTATTGTGGCACTACAGGCCACGAAGTGGCCTATTAGCAATATCAGCGGCTTCAGAACTACGCGAACCTGAAAAATAAAAAGGCGATTTCCTGACACGATTGCGTTTGAGAGATGCCGTGAAAACAAGCGAAAAGGCAATACGCATAACCGCTTGCTCTGTGTACCTTGGAGGCTCAAGAAGTCACAACGAACGGCGTGTATCGACTTTTGCATGCTATCTACAGTGTATCTAGCCCGTGTCAGACCCTCCGCAAGTTATCACAAGTAAACGCATACTATTGACCCAACCCATCAATTAATAATAATGATGATGAAGCCCACCTGGCCAGTGACAAAGAAAAGGCATGATGACACAGGGACGAGGGTTAAAAAAGGTTATGCAGGCAAAGGAGGAAGAGCGAGGGAGACAGGATTGAACCCTGACGAATACCACGTTGCAGATTAAACTGGAGGAGTTGTGGCAGCCCACACGCACGTGGCTGTTGCAGTTGGTATACCAGTCTTGCACCAGGCGCCAGGTCTTGGAGTTTACGCCAGCCTGAAAGAGTCTGTGAAGGACAGGGATTTCAACGGAATCAAATGCTTTCTGCAGGTCGTGGAGACACATAAAATACATTGCAATCCTCCTGAATGTGCGCATAACCCACCTTTCCATATGCAGATTTATTTGGTTGGAGTAAATCTGCATCGCAGATCGATTTGGGTGGAGAAATCCTGCATCGTTGAAAAGTGGTTCCAGAGATACCCATGGCGTCCAAAGGGTTAATTTTCTTCTGCAAGGCGCATTTGACTTCCTCAACAGTGAATGGTATGTGAAGAAGAGCTCCTCTTTTTGATGGGATTCAGATGCCAAAGGAGCTAACTAGCAGCAGCAGCTCTTGCAGGCCTTCATGCATTGAATCTGAAATTGAGCAAGATCTTAGAAACGAGAGGTCCAGGCCTCAAGGGGCTGTGTGGGGTCAGATATCAGTTTGCCACCAACACGCAACCTTGTGCACTGAGATTATTTCCTTTTCTGTGGCAACCTGAAGCGTGAGTTGGCATTCTTCCTGAACAGTTATTCACGTCTCTGTACTCCCTTCCTTTCCTCCATAGGCGCACACACCTTGATGCGTCTCCTCACTACATTGCAGGCAGAGCATTTGGCCTCATGCGGCGGGCCCTCATTGGGCCTGCCGGCATTTTTCCATACTCCCATGCCACCTTGCTCTTGGCACATAATTGCACAAAGTGCAATCCTTAAAACGACTCACTTTCTTAACTTCACAGTGTGGTAAACGAGACCCTGCTGCCTCAATGTCGCTACATGCTTAATCTCTTCATCTAGTTGCTCAACACCACAGCATAGTTGCCAATGAATGGGCTGAGACTGTCTTTCAGGACCTCCTGATAAGATATAAGCGCTGCACCAGCTTTAGCCCAATAAATTCTGACCCAGTTCAAAACTTGTGTAGCGACAGCTTGATCCATAGTGGGAGGTGGTTCAGATCTTAATCATCATGAGTCCAGCAGTGGTCAATGCAAGAGGAAGCCTCTACATCCATCAAGATGTAGTCAATAGTGGTGAACCTATCGCCATTAGCGGTACCGCGCATGCACAGTGAACAGAGGGTTTCTTTAGTGCTTTTCATTTTCACGGCATATCTTTCGAACGCAGTCGTTTTAGGAAAATAGATGTTTCACTTTTCAGGTTCGCGTTGTTCTGAAGCCGTTGGTATTGCTCATAGGCCGCCTCGTTGCCCGTAGTGCCAGAATAAGTGTCGAAACACACACAGACAGACAAATCAAGTACTGTATCCCTCGCTGCACATGCACGCCGAGGGTTAATATGTATATTTCTTTCATAGCAAAAAAAAATGAAATGATCGCTTTCAGGCCACAGGAAGGGTGTGGCTTACCGAAAAGTAGGGTAAGAGTGGATGAATGGCAAACAAAGTTGTTATGTACATTCCCTTAACTGGGGAGCATTCGTCAGGCATCCCAATCAAACTAGTACTGTGTACATCTCACATGAAATTTCTCTCCTTCTTGGTGCATGTCATCTGTATGTTTGCTCTCTGCCTTCTCAGCCTCTAACTTGCTCATTCTAGAAGACTAAGCAGAGGCAATGACAACTAACGATTAGACCTGCTCCGCATATACTGTATACCTACCAGTTTCTCAAGTTTATCAAGAACTTCTACGTCCATCCTTCCCTCACAACTTTGCAACTTCTTGCTGTTTATCTGTGGAGAGAGTATAAACACAGAGCATTGCAGTCCCCCAAACACATACTGATGATTTTCCAGCCATAGGTCTCTTCTCATTCCCCTTTAGAGTCTGTGTTTTAGCTTTTGACCCCGATGCAGCAACTGTTGATGATTGTTTTCTTGTGGAAACAACATTTCTAGTTGGTGGAGGGTGTTTCACAGCCACTGTTTTAGACTTGCCAGCAGGTACTTTGGCGGTAACAGTCTTCTCTCCCCTTGCAGCTCGTTTAGATGGAGGAAGAACCTGGCAAAAGGGATAGTAAGCAACCAATATAACATTCATTAGGTGTGTGCTTGTATGGATAGCTTAGGAGATCTAAACATTAAAACTTCACTGGACCAAAGAATAGCAAGGAAACTCATTAAGTTACAAAAAAGGAAACTTTATGTTAAAAAAGGTATGTATCCCTCGTGCAAGACCGCATGCTTCTGCATTTCGGATACTACATGTGATGATCTCTTCTCTGTACACAGAGCACTGTCTCCTGTTCCATGTCCCAGTGCCATTGTGAGGCACACAGCTATTTTCTTACAGGGCGTACACAACATCCCATCCTCACATTTCTGAAGGCAAGCTAGGGTACGTATTTAGCCAGCAGGCAGAAAACCCAGACTTTCGATGCTGCGACAGTGTCGATGTTGGCACAGGAGAGTGTGACTTGCTTGAGGATGGTGCTTTCTGAGCTGCTGCAGCTATCTAGCCACAGCTGTTTGCAGCAAGGACCATCCTGGGCATCAGAGTTCTCAACTTCAAGTCCAGTCACACGGCTTCTATCGTGTATATTACACATGGCCAATTTTTATGTGCATGTGCAGGACGACACCCATTTGCGTAAAACTTTACCACGTTTCCACGCTTTAGGGAAAACACTGATTGTGTACTCAGAGTGTTAGCATGTTAACAATATAAGACATCAAGTGTGTGAAATCTAAGCGTGTTTAGTTATAACATCCCCATGTGGCACACATATTAACATAAACTGTATGTAAGATGAGCAAGCAACCCTCCCCAAATTTTAGACCACAATACTAGCAATGCCTTTTTGATGAACAAAGTGAGCAGTTCCATTATCCGCGTATTTCATACTGTAGAATCACGTATAACATTACAGAATGTGGCAGTGCCTGTAAATAATATTCATACAGAAAAAGTTTGACAACTAGGAAGACTCGCTTTGCTCGCTATGAAGAAGGTGTATCCGACAACCTTGACCTTGCAGTAACACATTATATGGATCAAGTTTCCTCTTCATACGTGTACATGTATGTTAGTTCGTGGGTTTCTATCTTATGTGACAATAGAGGGATTGTGTCATGAGCTCAGGGAGTGCCAAAACACTCATACGAAAGAAAATCACTTTGTTGCATCAAATGTAATTCATGGACCATACGCTCAGCACTACTTCTACAGACTCATGGGATACAAGGTAAAGATTAGGCTATAAAAGTATAGAGGTCGGCTAGCTGACACTAGGGCCAGACTCGACCAGGGATCTAGCCTCGGAAGTCTTCCCCATTCACAAGTACAGTAGTATGCGTACTACTAGCATACGTGGAACAATTGTGCGTGGACAATCTCCGCGAAGAACAGGGAAGGTGAGCTCAAGCATCACGTGAAGGTAGACACTGCCACCACACAATTATCATACACTCTGAAACAGCGGCAAATTCAGGTTAACGCTAGCACTTACAGGGACCCTGCTAGTGTATGCGGGGGCAGTGTCTACCCCGTTCACGAATTGTTATTTGACGCACCCTTTGAGAACTTCATTTTCACGCTTTATACTTGCCATGTAAGCATGCACAAAGGGCGGGGCCACGTAACTGACAGTTTGCTAAAAGCTGTCAGAAAAGTTGTTTTACATACAGTATCTCTCTCTAGATGCCTAATTCAATGGTTTTATGTACTTACAAACCAGCTTTCCACTTGTTTTGAAATTTTTTTTCCATGTTTTCATCGTGCGTCAGTGCCGTTTGGCCAAATCAGTGATCGGTTTATTACATGTCTATATATCATGATATACCCAAAGGCACGTGTGCATCTCTTGTAAAAGTTCGTCGCAGCTAGTCTCGCACGCAAGACCAAGCATGCTAGACTATGTCGCAGTGATTGGCATGCCAAAGTTAGACTAAAACAAGTTGTAGCACCACACAAGAAGAGCTGTAAGTAGAAAGGATAGAGTAAGCCACCGATAATCGGACGCCATGTATTCTCGGACGCATTTGTGAAGTCTGTGCAGGACTAGATTTGCTATTGTGTATACCAAAGTGTAGTTCTTGGTCATAAATTGTTGTATAAAAATATTCGCTCTTATCCGAGCTTTACCGTGGGAATGACGTTGCCGTAAAGTTACGATTCGGGCACAGCAAAGATCGAACAAGCGCATCAATGTGGTAGGACAGTCTCCCAAAACGGAAACAGTATGAATGATCCAAGCGAGTGTATGCTTGATGATAGCTGTACCTTTTGGATATGCAGCGACCCACAAATGGCCCTTTTTTGTCTTCGCTCTGTTTGCTCACGAAAGCGCAAATAGGCGGGGTCGCGTAAGCCACGTTTTACGCGAAAAGCAGTTTTCGGCTTGTTTCTTCTAACACACGCGCCGGATGAAGCTATAGCCTCGTTCTTCTTGCCTTATATTAGATGCCTGCATCACAATTTCCGTTTTTGTAAGATTTTAATGTAATTACCAATAATTATTTTTTGTAATTACCAATAAAAAGTTAGACCTCACAAAAACGGAAATCGTGGTGCAAGCATCTAGTATATAAGGCAAGAAGAACGAGAATAAAAACTTAGAGCTTCATACGGCACATGCGTTAGAAGAAACAAGCCGCAAACTGCTTTTCGCGTAAAACGCGGCTTACGCGACCCCGCCTATTTGCGCTTTCGTGAGCAAAAAGAGCGAAGACAAAAAAGGGCCATTTGTTGGTCGCTGCATAGCCAAAAGGTACAGCTGTATCAATCGAGCATACACTCGCTTGGATCATTCATACTGTTCCCGTTTTGGGAGACTGTCCTACCATTGATGCGCTTGTCCGATCTTTGCTGTGCCCGAATCGTAACTTTACGGCAACGTCATTCCCACGGTAAAGCTCGGATAAGAGCGAATATTTTTATACAACAGTTTATGACCAAGAACTACATATTGGTATACACAGTAGCCAATCTAGTTCTGCACAGACTTCACAAATGCGTCCGAGAATATATGGCGTCCGATTATCGGTGGCTTACTCTAAATGCTTGGTATCTGTTAGAGCACTGAAACACGAGTGAAAACGTCCGAGCAGAAATATTGAACTACGTAGCCACGCCTACTGTGCATGCATGCATACATGTGACAGAAAAGCAACGCGAAGGCTATAGGCACCTAAGTCAAGCCTTACCTCCCTCGGCCAGTTGCTAGAATGTGCGCTAAACATGCATAGAAGCCGTTGCACCTATGGTCTGGTCATCCACCAGCTCCCATAGTAACTGAATCGGCTGTTACATACCAACATGCCCTCAAAAAGCTCAATAATCATACCAAATTCTTACATGTTCTTCCTCGAGCTGTGCCACGTGAGCGGTTCGCTTTTTGCCAACTCCAGATCTCGCTGGCAAAAGAGAAGGCCTGGGAATATTTGAGGCCGCCAGTGGTTTCTTCTGCAGAAGTAGAAAAATAGTACCCAGCAACATTTTTACAGAAACAGCTAGTACCGTAGTAGGTTCCATGCTGTGAAGATGTGGTCTGAGAGTCAGTCAGCAAATCGCTAGTAAGTGTGTGCGTGTTTTCCCGCCTTTTCCTTACAAACACGCATGCGCAAAGTAGCAGAAGGCGATCCTCCTGCTGCTCTGGTCTCTGTGCTGTCTAGTCTCCCCACCATCTCGCTAACACGTCTGCAGCCGGCCTAGGGCGACGGCGCGCAAAAGGCATGTGCGCTGATTTTGACTTCTTATCCCCTGCCCAGCGAAGTTGCATCAATCTTGGCAAGGTTGGTATTACTAGCTATTGTGCTTCTATTTCACGATTCTTCATCGAACAGACCGAACCATGTGTCAGGAAAGCCGTTCAGGTGCTAAAAAGGCTAAAGAATCAGCTTCAGCACAACATGGGGTATGGGGAAGTGGAACGAACCTTTCTGTCAGCTGACAGACCCAGCAAACCCATGCACTTGGAGGGTCTGTGCATTGAAGGTAAGGTTTGGAACAAGTGAATGATGTTACGTCATGGTAAAGAAGATGAACAAGAATATGTATACACAGGCAGGAACTCTTTCATAACCCCACATCTTTGCCTTTCAAAATGTTTGGCTGGTCTAGCTACATAAAGTACTTTAGAAATTTTGTGTGGAGCCGTTTCCCTGCGCAAGCTGCACACAGGCATTAAAAGTGTGCAACAATTGGTTAATAAGTTAGTCATCTTTTCTGTTGGAATCTAGAAGCCCTGAGGCCCTTTACGTAGCATCCTTGTGCCACAAAGCAAGATTTCTCGGACTCACTGTGTAACTATGTATTACCGTAAAAAAGGAAAAGAGAGCTACACTATAATGGTGCGATATTGCAGATTGTGAGGTTGGTGTACTAGTCACTCCACTGGTGGATGCTAGCATAGGTCCATTTTATCACTTGTTAACCCTCAGCACGCATGCGCAGCAAGGGTTACGGTAGTTGGGTCAGTCTGTCTGTCTGTGTGTCTGTTACTCAACATCTCACTTCTCCAATGTTTTTTTCGTCTCACAAACGATACTACCTACATAATTCACAATTCATTTGTGTATGTAGAGAATCTTACAAGTCAAATACATAAGTTTTAAACAAACATCATCAAGGGGCTTGTTCTTCAAGTTCTGAAGGAATTAGGTGAAACATTAGAGGGAGGGAAGAGAGAAAGGAGTGCCTTATGACAATGAGTGTGAAAGTGTTAGCCATGTTGAGATGAAGCCTACGGTGACTTTACTTAAGTTTTTCAAGACATACGTATATGTATTTATTTGAAGCATTAGGTTGTGAGTTTAGAGGATAAACTTTGTCTCATTAAAACTCATGTAGTAGGTATTTGTACGGCTAGGATCAATCCAAATAATCAACAGTCTCAGTGTCAGAATTCATCTTGCATTGGAGCAATGGGAAGTTAAGTTAACGTGTCAGGGGCGTAAGACTGACACCCTATCTCATGTATGTACGTGTGTGCTATTGGCTCTACCCAATTCTCTGTCTATGGCCTTGGTACTATTGCTGTGTAGGTAGGGCAACAGGCTCTCAGAGATCATATGAGGATGACATGAGAAGTGATTTGGATTGGAACGGAGTGATAAAGGGAGTCCTCGACCTGGTTTTAAGGATGGAGACAGACAGACAAGGAACTTTAAATAGATTGTGTAAGAACACAAAAGTTTGTAACGCCACTAGTAAATTTAAAATCCTGTAAATTAAAAGGGGGAATGTATAATAATGGGATATACGGCATGATTTACAAACAGATTGTTAGCACACTGATTACCCACGGTTGATCCCATCACAGAATCCCTATTGTTGCCTGGTGTCCCACTCTCAAATATCATTGCAATAATTTTGTGCTTTTCCGTGTTATATATATATATATTATATATATATATATATATATATAATTATAGTATGGCACTTTTGCCACCCGTCCTTTCAAGCTATAGCTGTTGCTGAAACGTATAATGGTGAATATATCAACTCATACTTCACCTAGATATTGTTATTGTGTGATGGGCTCGGAGGTATCAGTGTGCTAACACTGTGTTCGTAAACCATCACTGCCCTATATTAATATCATCCCTGTATTCCTACTTTTTTGATGTTCACATGGTAAATATGTACTTCTCTCATATTTATATAATACTACACTATCTCTTTGGAAAACCCCCTTAAAAAGTCACTAATTGACTAGCATGTAAATTGTAAAACCCTGCAATGTTGGGAATATGGGAATCATACGAAGCATTGTTTACGAACCAATTGTGAGCACACTGACACCCCAGAGCCTATTTCCAAATCCCTGTTGTTGTTGCCATTCTGAAACTTGGAGCATGTTTTGTTTACTGCGGCAGGGTCCGCTGAGTTGGTGGTAGTTTTACAGCTAGCAAAACATCATTTTTGCAAATTGCTGGTGTGATAATATCATTACAGCTATAGCTAACACTACATGCTAAAATTATCACTCCAGTAACAGCACTGGTTCTCCGCCGAGGGTTTGGTTTGCACTTTAGTGGTTTTCATTAACCCTCGGTGCGCATGCGCAGCGAGGATTGTAGTACTATGGTTTGTAAGTGTGTCTGTCTGATCCGTCTGTCTTTCTGTCTGTTACCACGTTTTCTGCGACTACGCGCAACGAGATAATAAAATAGCGATATCAACAGGTTCATCGCTACACTGGCTTCATTTTAAAGAAAGGTAATTTTCGTATAACTGCTGCGTTCAAAAGTTATGGCGTGAAAGGCAAGTTAACAAGCCACTATGCAAATTAGCACCGGCTTACCTCGACCGCGTCTGCTTGCTCCGTGTATCTTGAAGGCACAAGAAGTCACAACGAAGGGTGTGTATCGACTCCCGCATGCGCTCTACTACTGTAACTAGCAATTTAGTGCTTTTCGTGACTACTGTAGTTAGAGTGATTGTACATAGTGAAAACTTGTTCTGCACACTAAACGTTTTGTTTTTATATGTACATGTAATTGTACTTTGCGTGGGCGGGTCAAAGGCACCACCAGTGCTTTATTTGTCATAAAAGAAAACTTGCTCATATAGCACAGTTTTTATAATGCGGTAGTACAAACAGCTACCAAATGGGGCTCTTCAGGCACAGCGAAGGGAGAGACGGGTACCAGAAGCGTATCTAAGGGCTAGGAGGTAAGCTAAGACGGCCCTGCAGGCTAGCAGCGGCCCACGAGGAGAGGCGATCAGCTCAACCTCGAACCGGTTTCGTTACTGGTCGTTAGCCTTTGAATCGCCCACGGTACAATAAACCACAAAAGGGACGTGCTGTACGCTTATAAAGGTACTCAGGCTGGTCTCGATAGGCCATAAAACACTCGGCTTCACCTCGTCCTTTATTACTATCTCGACCATGCCCTCTCGTACGTTTATTTCGCATACAGCACTACCTTCCGTGCTTTAACTATTGCTTATATTGACAGCACCAGTTGCTTGTATCGGTGTTATTTTTTAGCTGAAGAAAAAGAAAAAGTGCATTACTTGAGCCAGAAACTTGATGTAGAAGCCAAAAGACGATTGTGTTCATTAGAGAGTGCAGTTCAAAGTGGTAAGTATTGTGAGGATTTCCATCTGTTGGTGTCGTTGCTTGCATCATCATACATCTGTGGGCAATTGTGGATGCCTGTATACATTTTTATGCAGTAGACTATGTTTTCTGTGAGTCAGCAGTTATCCATGCATGTTGCCATTCCAGAATATGAACGTTCAGTGGATGAGTTCAAGGAGTTGCACTCAGTCGTAGAGAAGGAGAGAAGAGAGTTGTCTGAAATTCTTTGTGACCTTAGTGTTACCGGTACGATGTATTATACGTACTCTAATTTTATCAGCTGATGTTAACAGTACTGTATTTATTGGCGAGCGAAGCGTGCCTACCTAGTCTTTTCAATTGGGGAATTTTATGTGTCACTGCACATACCGTAGTGATTCTAAGTACGCGCAAAACACGCGGAAAATATTGAACTACTAGCATGTGTGGCCAGATTCTTGTTGGCAAGCACAACTTAAATGGCTCTCAATTGCATAATTTTCCACATCTATGTGTATGCACTGTCGCACATTCCATAAACGATTTTGCAATCGTGTATTCTGCATGCATATGACTGCATTCGGTCACCAAAATATATTCTAGTATGTGTGTTTACTTGGCATTACACTTCTTTTCTGTGTATGCCATACCCCTATACTAATGTGCATGGGGCAATGTGATCGGTTTGTACATGTAATGTCTTTCGTGATCGATTTCGGCATCTAAACTTACAGTATGTAGGCATATGAAATAGTTATGAGGGCTTATCAGCAAGGCAAAAAAATAACTGGCTTGGCTGTGCTCGAAATCAACAACATTGCCCATGAAGCCAAGATGTGGGGCTACAATTTGTCACACTTGTCAATTATCACCTGCTCATGTGCAAAAGTCAATTGACACATAGTCATTGCTAGTTGTATGCATATGTGCTCTCAAGAGCTCTAGTTTGATGGTGCATATGTATGTAGATTGGTCATGCGCGTAATTACAAATTCAGTGCAGCTGAAACGGAGAATGAGTGCTACCTTCTCACTTGGAAGTCGATAGTGAAGACGTCGACAATGAACTCACCTTGACCGGCATCTTCGCAAACAACTAAGGGACTCAGCTCAATGTACGCGTGTTATTGCGCATGCGCCAAATTTAGGGTCTCGAAAATTTACTCTACGTCATTAAGAGGTCTGCGCATCGACCAACAAGATTACGCTATTTGGAAGTGTGTGAAGCATTAGTGTGGCCTCAATCCCAACATTATTTCTTTGAGTAAAGCATATACACATTTACACTCTACTCTGACAAGGTGTCCGATTTGTGTTGATGCGTTTTTACAAACATAACCGTTTTGTTTTGCAGATTCTAAGCACTCACAAATGAAGAAAGAAGAAGCGGAACTTACACATAACAGGTGAAAATGCTTATCTGGTTGCTGATGTTGACCAGTGGGTATTACACCAGTTGAATCATTTTTGGCAAGCAGATCTGGTCTCTGGTTACAATGAAAAAGCACACTTAAAGTGCAAAACATCGGCACACTGGCAACGGCACAGGTTAAACACACTCACACCAACCGCTATAACCCTCTCTGTGCATGAGCGCCATGGGTTAATGACAGTGTATTCCACTTCACATCATAGTTTAAGTCTATACTTGCTTACAAACACCACAGATGTTGGTGTTGTTTGCAACTCTGTGTTTTATTGGTGATTTTTGCTATACACTGTTTTATAGTTCGTTGCTTGAGGAGAAGATAAGTGATGAAAAACAAAAAATTGATCATATTAAACAACTTTATAAAGAGGTGCTTACGTATAATGAATATGTAAATGTGTACATTAACAGGTCAACAATTTTTGTAATAAACAAATTACACTGTATGTGTGCCCTTTAGTTCATCAATATTGGTTACTGTTTTTGTATGCACTTGTAGACTTCAGAAAAAGTGGTCTTAGCAAAAAAAGCTCTGATGGAAGTGGAGGACAAATTGCTTTTATCCCAAAAGAAAGAAGATGCTGAAGGCAGGGAGAGAGCACGTAAACTTGGTTCTGCTAGGAGACGAATACAAACAGCAAGGTGTAATTTTTTGTTACTCATCTTGTATTGTTATGAATTGTCCTTGTACATAATAGAGACGAAGTAAAAGACGCAGAAGAAAGAAACGAAATGCTGCAAACTAAGGTGCTTAGGTTCCAGCGTGATATTGAGGAAGCAAATAAAAAAGAACTAGAGTGTGGTTAGTTGATGTAATCTACATGTATGTGTATATACCATCTCCATTGTGTTGTTCTGCAGAGGCTTGTGCTTCGAAGAACATCTCAGATTTTAAAGGCATCCATACTGAAGTATGATGATATATTGTATGTACATCTCCTATTCCACGCACTGTACGTTCGCCATTAGGCCTACCGTTCTGTGTTATCTGTGCTAAGCTCTTTGGGTCAACTGGATTAATATCCAGTGACCTGCGCATACACTAACCATTCACGACAGCAAGCAAAGAGCATATAATCTGTGCATCAAGGAACAAATTAAAAATTTGTTTAGCAGGCCTGGCTTCTTTCACGCGATTAAGCATCGGTTTAGCCGTAAAGTGGCACTAGGTGTAATCGCTGATGTTTATGATGGAGCATTGTACAGTGCTCTTTCTAGATCTGGAGAGTTTCTCAGCTCAGTATGTAATATTTCCTTTCAATGGAACACTGATGGAGTGCCTCTCTTCAGGTCATCATCTTATTCAATGTGGCCTATGTATTTCAAAATAAATGAACTACCGCAGAGGATGCGAAATGGGCTTAATACTTGCTGGAGTATGGTTTGGGACCACAAAACCATCTGTAAATACATTTTGAAAGAAATATTTGAAGAAGGTGTTCAGGTTCATCCACCTGAACTTTCATCGCCATTCATGTGTAAGGCAATAGTGTTAACTGGAACATGTGACCTGCCCGCAAAATGAATGTCATTAAACATGGTTGGTCACAATGGCTTTTACGCATGCCCTTATTGTGAGCAACCTGGCAAAACCTTATCGTTAGGGAGTGGTGGTCATGTGCACATATATCCGTATGTATGCGAAAATCCGACAGGCCCTTTAAGAACAGCAAAAAAATTTGAGAAATGTTCCAGGGAAAGTTACAGAAGTGGGGATAAGAAGGAGATAGCAATTTTCTATTGGCATCAGCTATTTTTTTGGAGCAAGACCACAGTTGAAGGTGATGGCTGCTGTCGAACCAAAGATTGATAAGTAGTCGTACAATATTAAGCAACACACAGTGCATATAGTCAATTCCTACACCATCAACTATATTGAAATGCCATAGTGTCTGCAGACAAGAGCCAGGTGGATTTATTCCCTCCCATCCACAATTACGTGTACGCCACGAAGCTTAACTGAACGGAAATACTGGAAGGCGTCAGAATATCGTGCCTTTTTATTTTATTATTCTCTGCCCGTTATGATGGGTTTATTACCTACGGAATATTTTGAGCACTTTAGCCTTCTTTGCCACGGAATATATATATATTAAACTCTACTACTATATCTACTTCCGATTTGAATAAAGCCAATAAACTACTTCATCGGTTCTACTATCTATTTGCTTCTCTCTATAGCGAACGATACTTGACACTGAACCTGCATCAACTTGTACACCTTACGCACAATGTTCGAAATTTGGGTCCTCTTCATACATTTTCTTGTTTTGACCATGAGGACACAAATGGCCTCTTGGTTAAAATGGTTCATTCAACTCATCGAGTAGACTTACAACTTAAACCTACAAATACATTTACTTCACTTCAAAGTATATGCACCCTGGCGCAACACAGGAGTGTTCAGGTGGAATATCTTAATGATATTATACATTCTCCTCCATTGAACAATGGAATAGAATTATTTAGTCCAGTTGGGGAGACACCAATTGACCCATTAGTGGCTCAACTTTTTGAGCATTACACATCATCACCTATTAACAGAATTCTTAAATACAATAGGTTAAAAATAATGTCGTGTACCACTCCGTTCATTATGAAAGGCCCAAAAAATCAACAACGCTGTCATTTCATATAATATAAGTTCGTCAAAGGATACTTTTGGTTTTATATCATATTTCACTTGTGTTAATCATAAATACTATGCCATAGTTCAACAGTTGATCAATGTACGTCCCATTGGTTCTGTACATCATGTATTTGCTTGTAATAAAGAAGTTCTGGGCCCTATTGTTATTGTACCCATAGATGCAATCATTAGTACGGTTGTATTTATGTCATTTAGTGACACAGATGATGTGTATGTCGCCAAATTTCCTAATTGTATTGATAAAAACTGTTCAAATAATCACAGTAATCGCATTCTTATGGATATGTATACATTGGCAAGTTCCCTAATGATATTGAATTCAACTTCTACTGGTTACGCCGCCTTAGATCATGCGCTGTACGGACTTTCTCTCAGATTCGTACCTGCCGTTTAAGTACAATGCATGGCCTGATATGCCTGTACTTCTGTGCACCTATCGATATGATGCAGAGCAAGCAAAAAGTCTCAACTACCATCTCTATGCAGGCATGTTTTCAGCCTGCACTATAGGGTTGTACATGCTTGGTTAATTAGACATATGGTATTGCTTTTACATGCTTGTTGCAAGCTTGTTCAGTTGACACGAGCTTCTTCCAAGCATGTGCAAATCACACACAAGCTTGTTCAGTTGACACAAGCCTCATCCAAGCATGTGCAAATCACACACAAGCTTGTTACAGGCTTCATATTGTACTGTATAACAAGCTTGTTTAAGTCGTGTAAGTTACGCAAGCTTGTAACATGCTTGACCTACGCTTGTCCATGCCTGTTTTAAACTTGGACCATACATTAGACCAGCTTGAACAAGCTTGTTTATTTTTCAAAGGGTATTTTCCCTTATCAATATGTCTGCATTTTCATCATTAGCAGGGACTTGGGTCCCTTTCGTCACGCTCACACTGGTCATCCATTTTGTGTCTTGTGCGTTTAACTGAGTTCTCTCATTTGTCTTTGTTACTCTTCTGTATCTCACACCAAACCCATGCATGATTAACCCTCGGCGCGCATGCGCAGCGAGGGTTACGGTAGTTGGGTCTGTGTGTGTGTCTGTCTGTCTGTTACTCGTCATCTCACTTCTCGAGTGTTCGTTCATCTCACGCTCCGTTGCAAAGCTAGAGCACGAAAAAGCCAATATGCAAATACACAACGGCTTACTACGGCATGATCGACCCGCGTGCTCTGTGTACCTACACGTCACAGTTCGCCGAGGGTTTGCACTTCAGTGCTTTTCATTCTATAATGAAGACTGCAAAGAAAAACTTACAATAATTGTATGTACATACATCACGATGTTTAGGTGTGTGCATTGCAAGAAGTGTACAGTCAATTGGAAATGAAAAACAAGCAGGCCGATGACCGCAACAGGTCTTTAGAAGCAGATTGGCAGAAAGAGGTGTGTTATATTGGTAATCCACACAGAACTGTGTAAATGTTTCTTTACTTATAGCATGAAAAGATAAAAAGGCAAAATGTAGCTAACACCCATGACACTATCTCAGTACCATTGAGTTTTAAATATGTACATACCCTGGATAACCTCCTCTTTATGCTTAGTTATTATAGCTCGTCCAAGATTGAAGTTTTTAAAACCATGGCCTGGTGCATAATGTAATGTATACTAAGTGGGGTACATAATTGAAAGTGGAGGGAAATTCCGATGTCTTGTTGAGTGTTTCGCATTTGGGCATTGCCAAGAGTGTGGTCAAGTCTTCATGACTTGGCACTCGAGTTACGTATGTATGTACATAACTAAGCATCTTGATATTTCAGGCTGTAACAGCATCAGTTTTGTAAGTCGAAAAGGTGCTTAGTTATTTTTTTTGTGTTTCATGCGTGTTTAGTGCAGTTCCCATCACATATATGTAGAAGATTCCTGCATGCAGATGACTAGGTAGGCTCACTTCGCTCACCAATTACTGTTAGGGGTTATTTAGTCTTAAAACAATCGTTTAAGAGGGATAGGTGCTCCTCGAAGGATAAATATAGTGCTGCTCGAGGGATAAATATAGTGCTGTTGTTGGGTTTTGCATCATGAATGTTGTGTGCTAAGTCTATCCTTATATGCAGTATGAAGCTCTTAAAGGGCTGAATGCTGGACATATGGCTGCACTGGAACAGACAAAACACCAAATGTTGGAGTTGCAGGACAAAAAGGAGGAATTGGAACAAGAAAGCGATAGAATTAAAGAGGAAATTAGTCTGTGGTAAATGTTTCTTGTGATGCAGTGGTACATGTAGTAGAGTGCACACTCATTGCATCTAGTTTGTCCCCATGTCTCTGCCGCTGTTTGCATGGTAATCATTATACTGGTGTCATTGTGTGTTCCACAGTACAAGACAGCAGGAAGATGACAAGAAAGCAATAGAAAGAGGCAAATATGAACTACTAAGACTTGAAAAACAACTGGAAGTATCATGTGCAGAATTCACTAAACTTCAAATATTAAACCAGGAATTATTACAGCGTCTGGAGGAGCTAAATGCACGAACAGGAAGCGAGGAGTACAAGCAGAAGGTATATTATTGCCGAGCGCGTTAGCGTGAGGCAACTACTCCGGGTTGTATTCTCGCGATATGCGTACGTACGTACGTCGTCAATTAGTCACGCTTAGGAATGTCAATTAGTCACCAAAAGGAAGTGTAACTGCAGTTCGTAGGAAGTCAGGCATCGCGCGCAGTCAGTAGAGCGTGCGCACGAGTGGCCTCAGTCGGACTGTTTACGCATTGGCTGGCAGGCGCGAGGCAAAATATGCGCATGCGCATTCCTAGTAATTGTTGTGCTTACTACGTAATTACATACTGTGCCTATGATGTCTTGAGTACATGCATAGGCTTGTCTGCATTTCATCACGAGCTCATGCTAGACGAAAAGAAAATACCTGCAGTATGCCAGAAGTTGTTCATTCACATTACGATATATGTGCTATTGTAATAGTGAAGTACACGGAATATGTTTTTCAGATGACCATTGAGTCCCTGCAAAAGAAGATTAGAAAAGATGATGTAACTAATAGAAGTCTTGAGGTATGTTTATGTGTGGTGGAAGTGCAGCACATGAAGAAACTAATCAATAGGTGCAGGAAAAGGAAAAAGGAGAAACATATAGAAAGTTACTGATGGAAGTGGAGGCTATGACTGAAAAACTTAAATCATCAATCCAACGTGATACAGCTACACAAGAGGCACTGGATGAGGAGGTATGTAGTTATGAAGTACAGCTTAGAGTGTAGGCATTGAAACTACTGGTAAACTACATTTGGACTCTTGGTAACTCAGCATGACTTTTTGTATTTTCAAGCTATAAGTCGTGACTATTGTAATGTTGTTTAATACTTCACCTAGGCAACAATATAGGGATTGTGTGATGGGGGCGTTGTCAGTATCCTCAAATCACCGTACTTTATGTACCCCATCCCTAACTTGTCTACCTTTCTTTTTATACCAACCCTATATGCCTCTTTTTTAAATTCGCAGGATTTTTAATTTACTTGTCCCCACTCATTTTTATATACTACTACGTATATCTCTGTGAAAGGGGGCAAGCCCCCTATAAACGTTTATGCCTTTTGCAACAGGTGGTCATCATGAAAACGATGTAATAAGCCTGTGTACCAAGTTTCATCTCCTTTCGTGCTACCGTTAAGGAGTGACGAAGTAATTTTGAAGAAAAGTGACTGAGGCTTAATTGTTGCTCAAACAATATGTGGTCACCATGGAAACATGTAGTTGAATTACGCATCTATGCGTGCTGCTGTTTGCAAGTTTGAGGAGTTTGTTGTTGTTCAAAGAATATGTGGTCTTCATGGTAATGATGTTTTAAGCGTACATACCAACTTTCATCTCCATGTGTGGTACCATTAGTATGTTTGAGGAGTGAAGAAGTAAATTCCTTAAGCTATTTGTTGTTGTTCAAACAATGTGGTCATCATGGAAACGGTGTAATATGCATGCTTACCAAGTTCATCTCCATGCGTGCCTCCGCTAACAAGTTTGAGGATTGATGAAGCAATTTAAAGAACGTTTGTTGTGTACGAACATGTAGTTGTCATGCACGTAATGCAATACCATGCATGAAAACTGAACAGCTCACGTTATATACATAAAAAGAAAAAGAGAAAGAAAACAGGACTTCAGAAGGGCTACAATTAACATACATAATTATATCCATAAGGGCTTACTTGGGACTAGCAAAACACGCGAGCTGATGCACGAAGGTAGTGAAATGAGTACAACAGACGGTACAGGAAAAAGTTATCAAAAATAATCTGCGATATATAAAATAAACCAAATAAGAGGTATAATAGGTTACAAAAATAATCCATAGGTAAAAGCTATGCATACATAACGTATTCAATCACCAACATCAAACATACAACAATACATGTTTATAAATAACAACAAATAGCCTCTTTTCTTCACTTCCAATGGTAGCACGTATAGAGTTTCGTCTCCATACGTATAGAGTTTCATCTCCATACGTTTCAAGTTCATCTCCATACGTGCTACCATTATCAAGTTTGAGGATTGAAGAATCAATTTTTTTACGAACATGTAGTTGTCTGTAGTTGTCTTGATCATGATGTAATTCACATACATGTACGAACCAAGCTTCACCTCTATACGTGCTACCATTGGAAGTGAAGAACTCAATTCAAAGAATTGCCTGAGGCTATTTGTTGTTATTTATAAACATGTATTGTTGTATGTTTCATGTTGGTGATTGAATACGTTATGTATGCATAGCTCTTACCATTTATTAGTTACACTGACAAATGTGTGCCCTATTACCTGAGGCTATTTGTTAACCCTCGGCGCGCATGCGCAGCGAGGGTTACAGTACTTGGTCTGTGTGTCTGTCTGTCTATTACCGCGGTTTCTGCTACCACACGCAACAAACCGGCCAAAAAGTGACACCAACAGGTTCAGTGCTACACTGGCTTCATTTTTAAAATGGCGATTTTCGTTAAAGTACTGCGTTCTAGAGTTATGGCATGAAAACCAAGTCAACAAGCCAATTATGCTAATTAGCACAGGCTTACCTCGACCGGTCCGCTCTCTCTGTTTATCTCGAAGGCGCAAGAAGTCACAACGAAGGGCGTGTATCGACTCCCGCATGCTATCCACTGCTGTAGCTAGCCCGTGTCAGACCCTCCACAAGCTACTAGCAGGAGAACATGAGTAAATGCATACTAATAGCCCAGCCCATCAATTAGCGGTACCGCGCATGCACAGTTCGCCGAGGTTTTGCACTTTAGTGCTTTTCATTGTGTACAGTAAGCAATGTTGATTACAAACAAATAAGTATGACCAGTCTCT